CTTGTTGAAGGAGTAGGTGCAGCCTTTAAACAAAGAACTGGTTTTGGTGATGCTTTGTGTGCTGAGCAAGAGATCAAGTGTCCACAATGTTTCTATAAGTGTGTATAATGGTCTTGGTTAATTGTCTCGACGAGCCTTCGTTGAGCGGAGAGATGTTGAAAAGCACCCCCTGTGCTGATGTTAAGTTTGGCTATAACTCTGGCTTCAGTGTATAATACCTGCGTGGTTCGATTCATTGTTGCGAGGATTCGAATGGTCGCAGTAGGTTTGTCCACTTTCTCTACAAGTGCCGTCCCAAACTTCGAAGTTATGTATTTGAAATTAAATCAAATTTGGATTTTATATTCAATCAATTGGGAATAACAATTGAATGTGCTCTTAAAATGGCCATAAACATGCCGTGTTTCTTGTTGTGGAATGAAAATTTAGCTACAGAAGAATTCAGAGTGATTCATCGAGATTATGGTCTACCATTGGGATCTAACTACCTGGATTACCATACTGCACTGTTATACCCAACAATGGTGAAGTCTTTGTTCAAAGTATCTCATGGAGCATTGATGAATAAACCAAGTCCACAATTAGTAGAAAATCTTGAGTAATGTTCTCAATGTCAGATATTTTGAAATATTAATTTGAAAACTTGCAGGGAAAGCCAGGGGATTTATCCAGACATTTGATTGACAGTTCTCGAGCTGAAGGCACTAACGAAAACGCAGAGTTGACTGTCTGGATGCCTTTGTTTTGCTGTTTTACTGCTGTAAGGTTTCTGGTATTGTACTATTGTTTAATTCAAAGACTCAGCCATGCAGAGACTGGGGAGAGTATTAGGGTTTAATTAAGGTGGTTTTTAATCGATATAAATTTTTTTTTCGAACCATATCCGTTCCATATATGTTTAATACCAGTATTTTTTTGTATGTAAAAGAAAAATTTTGAAAGCATGCGAAAAAAAAAAATTTGGGAAAGAACTTAAAAACGCCCAAAAGAGATCATCCAGCCTATGCCACAATCTAACCTGGTTATGCAACCGGCTGCAATATACCAACATAGTTACAACTACGAAAGGTGCAAGGACAGTTGCTATAGGAAGAACTCCCCCCCATAACTCACATCTTAACGGCCGTCTAAGGGGGAGATGCACTACGGCCCCCAGACCATGATGTATGTGCACCTAACCGTTACGTCTCAGTGAGAAACAGAGTATGCATCGCCACAAGCCTAGTGCGTCATAGACGAATCAGCTACAGTGGCTAGCCCTGAGAGCGAAGATGAATTTAACGTATTTAAGCTTTTCCTGGTCTCGGGTAGCCTGCATGGCAGGCGGTAGGCGGTCTCTAACAAGCATATGTATAGAAAACGACTATTAGTAATATTAAAGGCACACGCTTGGAAATGACAAGATTTAAACGCCTAAACGTCTTTTTTTAATTGTTTTTAACGAGAAAATAGTCATCAATGCGATACTGAATTTAAACGTGTTACCATTTACCGTGTTACTGTCAAATTTACCGTGTTATGATTTTTTGGTGTTTTGATACAATCCTAGATGAATTTTAACATTTTAACATCAATATTAGCTATGATTCTTTATCATTAATTGTGAAGGCTCATTTACAAAATATCATCAGTATATATATCTGTCTATTATTTCTATGCTGGTAACCGGTTCATCAGAGGTGCGGTTCTTGTCTTCAAGATCAGTCGCAATGTTTCTGGCTTTCTACTGAAAGTTTCATGTTGATTGAATCAGTAAGTCAGTGTTGGTTATAATCATGCTAAATCACGTCGCACGGGAAATAAAATTTCCGAAAATGAAGCCATAGTTAATGAAAAACTCTAGTTATTAGGTGTAGACTGAATTTCACTGGCTCTAGCTAAAACAGAAAGGCAAAAATAATTATTAATGAGTAATGACTTCCTGTTTTCTCGTTGGGATCTCGGCTCATGTTTGTTTAGCAAGTTATCCAAGCGTGTCACTAACCAGTGAACTCTGGTGAGCTCTAACCAGTTCACTGCGTCTTGGTACTTACTAGTTACTCCACCAGGATTATTGTTACGAAAATAGACCTGAGTCACAAAATGCAAAGTTAACATTCTTTGAGCTCTTTTTTAAAATATTTACGCTTTACAAATATATATCATCTGTAACATGTAAGAAGCAGCGATGAAAATGCAATAATTTGCTATTACCAAAAAATATACAAAAGATCTTCAGTTTTTTGGAAAATCACATGAATCAGGGTTTGAACTTTGAAGAGTACTGAATATTGAATTCGTTTTCACGCACGACTTACTGTTTTTTATTTCCGGTGCTATGAGTGTCAGCGCTTATATTACAATTAAATATAAAATGGCACTCAAAGTTTTCTTTCAAAATATTTGTTGTAAAAAGTCCTAAGAAAAACAATAAACACGCCAGGAAAGGCGAGGAATGATGTGAACAGGTACAAAATATGCCCTAACTAATGAACTTATGGAGATAAATCGATAATGCGTTTTATCGTCGTGACTAAAAACGAAAATTCATGATGTAAACAGATTATGAAATAGCCAGGATCGATGTTGAGAATGCTTTCGACTTATAGTCATGGTCAAGTTAGCTTGGCATGTTAAAAAACTGTTCTTGTTATAATACAATGGATGAAGAACCGATAATACTAGACTATAGTCATAGAAAATTGGATGAAGTTCCACAAGAGATATTGGATAATGGTCGAATGTTAGAAGAGTTATATCTTGATTGTAATGACATAGAACTTTTGCCAAAGGTAAGTACATTCATTTTTGCACTTGTTTGTGTTGCACATCAATGTTTATGTCTTCCACTGATATATTTGCATTAACAGATTATTGTTCATTTCTTTAACTCAGAAACTATTCAGTTTGCCAAAGTTGAAAATCTTGGCCGTGGTTGATAATAATCTATGTGAGCTATCAAAGTTTTTGGGAAATTTAGACTGTATAGAGTCGCTGAATGTCAGCAAGAATTGTAAGTATATTGTTATTGTACTACCTAGGAGAATCAAATTTAATCTTCAACCTGTTTTGATCACTGTGCAGGTATAATTAATCATAATTGTTTCCACAGGTATCTCAGAGTTGCCAGACAGTATTAAGAACTGCATACAGTTATTGCAACTTGATGCAAGTGTTAATCCAATTGTTAAGTATGTTCATTAGATTAATTATCAGTAGACAGTAGCTATAGGTGATTGCATGTTAGGTTAATAATAATGGTAACCAGACCAATTAGTTATATTCCTAGTATAATGCAATTGATTTTGCACTGATGAAAGCCTGGGTTAACGGACCGAAAGCTTTGCAGTATTAATTACTTACGTGGTGTACCTACAAGCTAATTAATTTCTATTGTGATATTACCATGCAAAATTACAAAAATATTATAGAAACTTTGTTGTAAACACAATCAAGTTGCATGATCCAATTAATATATTTACTTCTCATAGATTGCCAGATGGACTGTTTAACTTATCAACTTTGACTCATCTGATGTTGAATGAAACATTTCTGGAATATTTGCCAGAAAATATTGGGAAGTTAGTACTGTATATTTTGAATGATTCCATAATTTACTACCTTTCAAAAATTTTAAATATATTTATTCTTTTCTTTTAATCATCCATTATATTTTCATCATCATTTTTTGTATCCTTTTCATTTAGTATATCACAATTAAAAGTTCTTGAACTACGCCAAAACCAATTAAGCGTTTTACCAAAGTGAGTACACCTGTATTTGTCTAGTAATATCTTGCATTTCTTTTCAATATGCCTTGTGAAATCAAATGCATGTTGCAATTGTGGGTTAATTACAGCATCCAGTTTCTGAAAAGCCTCACAATCAACTAATCCTAAGTACTTCTCCTTTACCAGCTAATATTTTCAGTGAGGAAACGTCTACATATTAAAATCACATTACAGAATTAAATATTCAGAATTAAATACTCTATATTTTGAATCAGTTGATTCATCTTCAATGAAACTTTTTGGAATAACTTCAAATCTAAATTAATAAGTCTACATGTATTTGCCTGATTATAATTTCAAAATTTTAAAACTGGCACGACAACCCTGCCCAGCTCTTTTTGTGAAAAGGGTTTATTTTTACCCTAGATCAATGCAGAATTTACAACAGTTGAAACGACTGGATATTGGAAACAATAAATTTGCAGACTTGGTAAATATACGTTTTTGTAGAAATTTTACTCTTATATACAACGTTTTTGATCGTTTCCACAAGATATAATAATGATAATAAATATAAACATTGTTCATCAAAGTTTTGCTTGAAAGATTTTTTTCTTCGGTATCGTCTGTGAAATTTTCACAATTCTCACGTTTATAGGGTTAGGCCCTAGGGCCGCTTGCGGTTTTCCAAAATCGTTTAGTTAGGAACATAGATATCCTAGTTGTATCCATTATGTATCTAAAAATATTGCTTTTATCTCATTTAGCCTGTTACCATTTGTCACATGACAAATCTTGAAGAATTGTTGGCTGATGGAAACGCCATTGAGGAAATTCCTCCGGTAAGTAACTTCATGCATCGTCATCTTATTAAAGCTTTCAGCCTTGCACAGCAATGACCCAGGTAAAATGCAGACGTAAGTCTTGGGTATCGATAAAATTAAAACCGAAAACGATAAACCGATAAATATCCACTTTGCTGTATTTTAATTAACTCCTTAGAATTCTTTCGTTATTCTTTATAAGGATATATGTTATCTAATTAGTAGCTACTACGTATGTGCAGAAATATTGTAACTATAAATTTGGAAGAAATGATGCATGAGGAGATTAAGCTGTGCCTGTTCTGCTCGAAAAATGGTTCTCCATTCGCCAACTGTCCCCAGTCTTTTTCCAGATCAGCAAGCAGTAGAATGTCTTCAGCGACATTCCATTTGTAAATCCATTTGTAATCCTGCTGTCATCCATGTGTAAATACTTGATGAAGAATACATATCAAGTTTCCCTGCTTTACACTCTTCTATAGAAATAGATATCGTATAGAAATCTTCACGTGTAGAAATTATCTACGTGTAGACTTCACGTGTTGAAATTATCGCCAACTTTGATAAGGCATGGTGCAGTTTCTCATGGTAAAATTCTCACTATACACACGTCTGTCAAATACTAATAACAAAACTTTAGTAAAGTAGCATAGCAGCATAACAATAACGCCGTTTGCAAACAAATGTCGTTTCCAGTGCTTGGACCACACTCGCGCTATGGGAATATCGTGCCAATGTATAAGGATGAATATGGACAGAAAACTAAATATGATCTCTATCCCCAGTCCAATTGCAATTCTGATTAAAGATTCTCGTATGACAGACCATGGAGAGATCTCGAAGCTTGTGATCATGTATAACACGATATATGTTTGACCTAGAAGTATTGTATTGTTTTCAAAAAGTGTATTTTGTACCTCAATGTCAGCTTTAAGTCTCCTGTGATGGGGTGTGTCTTCAGGCAAATAAAGCAATCTGGAACAACATGATTGATTGAAATATCTTATGATTCGCGCCCATACCCTTTGCCGAAGACCAACCGTTGCTTTTCTAAGTGTACTCGATACACCTGACAGAACTGACATTCCAGTAAACCACCAAATACTCTTAAAATCTGCTTGCATGAATCGGTACAAGCAAATCCACCCTGCGCGAATATAATAGACACAAATGAAGCTTCGTTTCGGTTCAATAATCTGAGAAGAACGCCAAAGAGCGATATGTCTGCACATAGCAATAGGTACTATAGCTATGGTTGGTGTTGAGATAGCTATTATGAATCTATACACTGCGTTATCGAAGGAATTAAACCAGAAAACAACCGCGTATCTGTAAAACATTGCCACTGCAAATGAGCATAAAAACGGCACCAAAATAACCGTAAAAATATGACGATGTGTGTAGGATACGTTTGGATAATTTCCTTTTATCTTGCGAACAACGATAACACATTCCCATATAACAGCAAGTGCATAGGTAACATTTCCTGGTATGCGATACCAAGAATACGTGTCGTAAACACCATACAAGAGTAAAAAACTTGAATATAACGAATAGAGAAGAGCAGATATCAATCCCACCATGACAGTCGAAGAGTAGTAACGCTTGAATTCACTGATGCCAAACAGAAGCAATAACGTTAAGGGGAACCAAAGATTCAACATTATAACCTCAACACTATTGCCAATTAGTCGTATTTTCATAATTTCAAAGGAAAGTGTGTAATTTCGAGCACGCCATTGTGAACATAAATCACATGTTTTTAAGTCAAAGTAGATGATGAATAACCCGGTAATAAATAACGGCAATAAAGCAACAGTCATGCAAAATGTCACCTTCAGACTTCTGAGTAATGACTGTGTATAAGAACGTTCGATTTGCTGTTCATAGCCCAGCTGAACATATTCTATAGTTGATGGACAATTGTCTTCCTCTGAGGAGGAATATTCTCTGTGAATTCTGTCTTTCCACATGTCCCAATTAACGTGTTCAGATGAACCGTTTTCAACGCTCATCTCGCGAGAAATTCGTGGAGTGTCCAGAGTCAAAGAAGAAAACAAAGATAAAAATGTAGCGATAATCTCCTGCAACATTTTCCTAACGAAAGTATTTGTTTGCGTGCGTAGTTTGTTTCACATTCAACTTTATGATATTTTAATAAATATAAACCACCGTATTATAATACCAACGATATTTCATGGTGAAACCAAGCCAGCCAAGGAACGTATACATGGAACAAACAGGAGGATGAAGTTATGCCACATTTGGGCATTTTCTTTATCTTTTCCAACGCATGTATATAGGGCTTTACTTGAATGGAAAGCTATCATTGCTATAGTAATTAATTAGGGGCCGTTGTCACAAAGGTTGTCGGCTGGAGATAATATAAATACATAATATCGATCACGTGATTGTACTGCATACGTTAAATTTTTGGGAATCGTTTGAAATCTGTCTTAAAAATTTCTTAAATGTCACAGTAAGACGAACAATGTTGATATTAATAATGAAACAAGAGAAAAGTAAACAAAATAAGCCATGTTTGTATAGTCACTTGATTGATATTTATATATCTGTATATATATTTTTACATGCATGGCTAACCTTTTTGACAACGAACAGTTTTGAAAAGCACTCACTTTTTACAAGTACTTTTGAAAAGCAAGTACTTTTTACCTTCCTGTATCTTTATCTATTTCGTTTTCTAGGTTATTGGTCTTTTAAAAAACATGATTTTGCTGGATATTTCTATGAATAAATTGGAGAGTTTACCTCCTGAAATTGAATTTATGGAATGTTTGACCGATCTGTATTTATCCGTAAACGAGCTACTGGAACTGCCTGAAAATATTGGTAATTATCTCTAATTGGTTGATTAAGTTTTTAGTTTTGAACGTTTTATTCCATTGTCTATTCTAACATTCCGGAAATGATTTGAGCCATGCACCACCACCATTAGAATCAATATTAAGTTTATATCACATATTTTATATTGACGAATATATTATCAATTACTCAAATATTTTTAAGGATTTTTGAGTAGCTTGGAAACATTGAAACTGGATGAAAATGATCTGCTTTTTCTTCCACCTTCATTGGGCAGGTAAATCGTTAAATTTGTTGCGCGTCGTTTTGTGAGATTTTAATTAAGCAAACAAACTGGAGGAAAAAAACTTCATCATACTGATACTTTACTGATACCGTACTGATTTGTTTCAATATGTTTTCGGGTGAATTATTTTACAGACTTGAGAATCTGGAGGAACTCGATGTCAGCACGAACAACCTTGAGGTAAAAAACGTGGAGATATTGATTCTTAGAAATCAGAGCATTTGAAACGAGAGAGAATAATTGAGAAGTGATTTGTATTCAAGACGTTAGACTATTAATATTTTGAATAGCGGTTACTTGCATGAGAACCATTTTCAGTTCGATCTTCTGTTTTTCTATTCCGGCTATTTGATAATTTTTATGACGTGTGTGTTTGCCAAGCGAACTATTGTATGATTCACGATCATTTTGCAGGGGTTACCACGTAGCATGGGAAAATTAGCACGGTTGAAAGTGTTGAATCTTGATAACAATTGTATCAAGTCTCTTCCGGATGAGGTTCGTATGGCGAATAAGAATGTTAATTGTTCATCAAAATGTCACCGATAAAGAAGATTGAGTATCAGTACCACGAGAAAGGGGGGGGTGGTGGTGGTCGAAGTTAACAGGGGCCGCTGAGCATAGCGAGCGCCCCCCCCCTCTCTACACACCGGTCCCTCAGTTTATGAATTAATATTTATTTCCTCTCATGCACATCTATATCTATTTGTTTAGCTCGGTAATTGTTCATCGTTATCACTGTTGTCACTACATAGTAATAATCTTGTGTCTGTTCCTGAAAGTTTTGGTGGACTAACAAATCTTCAGATGATCAATCTTAGTGCAAACATGTAAGAAATTGTTATTTAAACAGATGGGGAAACCAACCTTGTGCGATTATATTAGAGTCTCCTGAAGAATGACATCAATTAAGCTTGAGCAAAGGCTTGTGAATCATGGATCGAGTATAATAAACACATGCGCTTTTATCAGCTATTATAAACAGTTTCGACCCATGAAAGATAAAAAAAAATGACCATATGTCACCACCACGGGTCCACGGTGACAATACTGTGTAATTTTAATATACTAGCTGATAATATCATAAAAAGATAATATCATAAAAATTGCTCCTAATATATATACTATATACTGTCAGGAAAATTCAACAACTCTTTTCTTAAGATTACCCGTTTTCTGTTCTAGGTTGAATTTTCTTCCTATTACTTTCCTTGGTTTGAAAACTTTGAAAGCTCTCTGGCTTTGCGAGAATCAGGTAAGTATATCAACATCGATTTCAACAATTGCATCACGGTTGCATATATATTTATTTTCCATATGACAGCCAATTTTTTGAAAGAAACTGGGCTATAGCTATGTCAGAACCACCTACATTGAAACTCAGTCTTATTCAATATTCTTAATCGTTCATCATGTAAGATCAACAATAGACGGTTCTGAGCATACAATTATACGTGTTCTATAGTTTATCTCAGTGTTTATATCCTCATTGCTGTCGAAGCAACAATTCCATCGAAAGCTTTTATAAATAATGCTAAACTGGGTTTATTTTCAGTTTATTGTTTCATTAACAGTTCATGCATAAAAATTATCTTCACTTCAGTCCAAACCAATTGTTCCACTCGAGCGAATATTTGATGAAAGAGAAAAAAAGGAGGTTATCAGTTGTTGCTTTTTGCCTCAGAAAACGTGGGATGAAGGTAGGCAGCAGCATCATGCGTTTTCTCTAAATTATTTCAAATAAATGCGGATTTATATTCCAAAGTATGAAGCCAAATATTTACAAAATGTCAGAAACTAAATTTTTCATATTATCAATCACTTGAATTTCTTTACCCCTTGGAAATGAGTTACAACCATTAGACTCACATCTCTATCTATGATTTTGTTACGGTTCTCCACACGAAAAAATAGCAAGGATGGCCCAGCCCCACTTTCAACACACAAACTAGACATGTGAAATTCTTTTGATAAATGAATTTAGATGAAACTGAGGACCATCGTGGATCGGGAGAGGAAAATGTTTCATCAGCAAATGAAGATAGCGTACGTTTTACGATCTTGTTCCTGTTTGATTTGCAAAGCAATGAATTTTATTTAATAATGATTTTCAGCCAAGGATGCCCTTGCTTTTGCATGTTTTGTAATGATGGCACACGGTAGCAACATAAAGACTCAGATGTTGCGGAACTATTAACATAAGAAATGTCGAAAAGAGAAAGCGTCTCAAACCACATGCAGTTCGCATGATTTTTCAGTTATTTTCTTCAAGGTTTTTATAATAATATTCAAGCTCTCGCGAACTCGGAAACAATGAACTATTCGAACCTGTTTTTCCAGGTTAACAACGCGGGAATTCAAAATAACGAGGCAGTGCGCACAAGAGGAAGTATTTCACAATATCTCATGAACAGAAGTCAGAGTCAAGATGATCACACATCTAGTCCTGGTAATGAGCTTGAGAAGGTGACACCTTGGTATGAACAAGAGGTACAAGTGTGGATATTATATTAATTACAATAGACACTTCCCGAATTTGCATGAGTGCACAGAGAACAATACCTTGGAAACGAGGCGGGTTTTGTAATGTAATGATATAGCACTGTAATTATATGGACACACACGCGAGTGTTTTCTTGCATTGTGATTCCTCGATCATTTCTCCTCCCAGTTTATTGAAAGTATTGAAGACAACGAAGTTTTCTCCGATGAAGATCGACATCTTCACGTTGAGGTAAATGTTTGATTAGTATGTTCATATAGCTAATAGCTTCCTCCGTGGGCATCACCTTTAAGTTGGCAGGCGAGAAGAAATATACGCTTGCGAAGGGGACAGAGAGAATTATTTTTACCAAATTGAGAACCGGAATAAGCCAAGATAATGTAAATCTACAAATTCAAAAAATTCAAGAACAAGCAATGCTCGTTGTGCATACAAAGACTGTATATAGAAGCAAGCAAGCGCGAGATCTCTGTAACAGCATAATATCCGTAACAGATGCTCCTATATTTACTTTTTATTTATTTTGCGGCAGGCGGATATACGAACCTTTAGGAACCAAGGTAGCAATGACAATATGTAACTACATGAAAGAAAATTGAGCACTTACTGTAACGAATCAGTCTAATACGCGGGGTTTTCACGCTGAACAGGTAATAAGGCGCACAACAGGTGCAGGTTTGAGTCACAACAAGGACTACAATAGTATAGACGCATGAGATATAGAGAGCAAACAACGATTATAATGAGATCAGCGTCGCCAGGTAGTCGGAACGTAATATTCATCCCAAAACGCATACTAGCCCGCGTCCAGTTGACGTAGGCAAGTCTAATCGACCGACCCCACGAACTATAATGAAAAAGCCATACGCTAAACCCAACCGCCAAGCGGTTTAATAGCCGACGCCACCAGTGTTGGAAACCGCGGGAGAGGATAACACCAAGCCGAGCAATCATCCTCTAAATTAACGGGTGGGTGTTGCATGAAGAAACGTGATTACTTCAGACGGTCTACAAGCAACAAGTTATACAATTAATGAGCTTAACTTAGTAGTTAAAAGACACGGGGAAAACTTTTTATGTATAACAATTAACATAATATATATCTATATATTAAAACCTACTAATACGAGCAACATTTAAAACTCAATAAACCATCAACACTCTACAAAATGTCCGTAAGATATTTCTTTCTGTGGCTTTCGTAAATACATAGTTCAACGTAAATGCAATATAAAATGGTTAATCTATATTATTCATGCATGCAGGCTTCTGACTTCTGTATTAGTAAACTAGTATAAAGAGCGGAACTTGATCTCGTTCAGATCTTCAAACTTTTATTTTTTAAGAAATCATTTATGTTTAACCAGATTTATATTGGTTCAGCCGGGGTATAAGCATTTAAGCATATAAGATTGTAAAGATTGTATTTTGCTCTCGTTTCATGCATGACGTTATCTGATTTGCCAAGTTTTCTAATTGAAATTTTCTGTATGTCAGTAGTTTTTTAATATCTTAAATTAATCGAGATTAAATTTTTATTCTGTGGCGTGAATAAATTCAAATTATGAAAAGGCTTGTTTCCACTCATGCAGGAATATCTTTCTCCAGACAGGAAGTTTTTTGTCAGTGAGTTCTCGACCTTAACTAATGCCTTTGATACAAAGGAAACTTTCCTGCATGATGCACCGTTTCCATTTTGAGAAGTGGTATTTTTGTTGGTTGGAAACCTGCCTATAAAGTTGACAAGAATGTACTAATTTCAACTTATCATATAATTGCTGTCAACTGTCCACGTTAACTCAACAGTAGCTGTCGTCATCTTTTGATGTTCACTTTAATTCTGATATCGGCCTTTGCAAACGATCGCAAATATCCCCGACTCTGTTGGATACAAACAAACGCCTTCACAGGAGTTCCTCGTTATTACATCTTGCTGGCTGCTGCAAAAATTCAACCATTTAAACAAATTTTAGCTCTAACATTGATGATTACTATGCACATGATGTATATCAATAACGTTGATTTGTGATTTATATATACTTGGTTTTTGAGTTTATAAACAAATGATTTAACAAATCCGAGTAAAATGGTCTTGTCAATCACACAAAAACATTAATTTCGTACATCATGTATGTACAATTGTGTACGATTTTTAAATAAACGTATTAAAAAAAATACTAGGTATATTCTTTCATCCTACTATATATTGGACATGATAAAGCTACATGTAAACACGCGTTTTATGCCTGTACTGTCGGTGATATTGATTTGTATAAACCTTGCTTTGATATTGCTCATCTAGAAAATGCACAATGTATATATTTGTATGATATTTTACGGCAAATGATTTCACTTGTTCCTACCATGGGATTGGATATATATAAAACTTGGATAAAACGATTTGTATATATCTTATATATTTATCGCATATATGCATGATTGAGTAATTTGAGTTATTCTATAGTCTGAATTGTACTACATAGTCCACATTTTTCGCCGACGTTTCCTATACGTGATCATGAATATGGAAGGGAGTGGGCATGAAACCAACCCTATGTACGTGTGTCGTATTCAATTTTATATTTCGACGCGTTTGATATATTTTAATTGATATTTTTCTGTTACCGATTTAAAAACATGAATGTGTGTCAATAATATTAAAATGAAGTTGAATGGTTGGTGTGTGTCACATATTGGATACACAGTTTCTAGAACAGTCTTTCCACCAACGTTACACAAATTATGTCAACCTCTAAACAATTCAGCTGGTTATAGCCGCATAACTTTTTAAAATTTGTTTTAACCTGAAGTATACAAAGAATTCTCGGCGTTAAGATCCAAGGCCTATCAATCTCTACGCGAGAGTTGGTCGAAGGCTCTTAAGTTTGGAGAAGGTCCGGAGATTTTTTGTATACTTTTGGATTCGCTTTACCACATGTGAAAAAATTTACTTGGGGAACTGCCATGCACGCTCTTCCTTGTTAATTTGATTGCTTGGATATACTTATATTTATTTCCCTCATGACTAGTTGAAGTTAGTTGACTTTTCAATAAGAATTGATAGTTTCAATATCCTTCATTATGTATATTCAAACCATGCATCATGCATGCATGTCCTCTTATTATTAATATTTGTTTTCATGAGACACCTGTTGAACATCGTTTCGTTTATATTTTCAAAGTCGACTCAAATATCGAAATTCTAAAATATTGAAATTCTAAAATTGTGTAAAGAGAAAATGTCTAACAAGGAAGCAAAAATGCAGGCAAATTTGATTTTTTCCAATATGGAATCTTTGCATTTCTGTCGATGTTTCTGAGAGAATATTAATGGCTGTTATTCCAGGCAGCTGGTAAATTCTTAGTTGTTTTGAATGCATAGAATCATCGTTGCCCACAAAAGACAAACATATATTTTTAAAATATTCATTGTATCTATAATTAATGCCATTCATGAATTGAATCTTTCAGAACACGACAGAAGAAGAAAGTTATCATTTGAACCGATTGATAAATAAACAAGGTTTTGATTGTCGACAGTCGTCCGTAGAGGATCAAGGTATATAGCTATTATTCCTTTAACTAATTAATGCATCAAACTCACTGCCACCTTCCTGTCAAAATGGCACTAATGCGTCAGGAAGTATTAATGCAAATGAAACAACTATACGTTTATCTAATAAAGGATCTAATGACTTGTCTTTGTTTTCTATTGCACAAGACCACTCCTTTAAAGACTCGGATGCAGGCGGAGCCACACAAGACGACCGCAATGATGACATATTATTGGTTGACGCAGAGGGCAGCAGTCATAATGAAGGAAACACGTCAGTCATAATATCAGAGTTGGAGTATTTGAACAATCTTAACATAACAGAGGAGAGTTGTGATCTGACCACATCAAATGAGGAAGCAATGCGACTACGATTTAACAATAAGAGGAATAGAAATGGAAATCCTTCGTGTACGTACGAGGCATTTAAACCAACTCGGTTTAACCTGTACACAAACTCTGACGAGCCATCGTGGAGCACAATAAAGAAAGATAATTCTTTAGAAAGTTCATCGCCAACAATTAAGAAGAAAAGCGTGACAGGCAAACTAAATCCATTAATTGGAGCGAGACTAGCACGCGACGAGAGTCCCCCTGCGGTATGCTACAGTGACGGTTCAGAGAAACAGAAATACACAGTCACTCAGAAATATGAAGATAAGATTCGTGCTTTGCAACAACAAAGGCAGAAGGAAAGATCTCGTCGTAGAAATCATTCATCTCGCGGTGCTGATAATATAGATCAGACTTTCAGTCGAGCTGGAAATCTTGATTTAACATTTTCTCCCGATATTCATCCGCCGTCATATGCCGAATTTTATCAGTATCGATCCAATCCAACCGCAACCCTTCCGTCACCTTCCGTTTATTTTATCTCAGATGATGGCGACTCTGTTGCAATCCAGTTGAATGATTTTGCTTTAGGATCATCGCGAGTGAAAAATGGTGAGAAGAAGAAGAAAGGAAAAGAAAAGAAACAGAAAGCGTGTTCACCACCTGTTGACAGACCCAATGGCTTTCAACAGCCTCATTATTTATACAATACTGAAAACCGACCACGGAAACAAAACGGAATCTTGCAAAATCTAGTGTCACATCAACGAATTTTGCAGTCTTTTGAGAACGGACATTACGAGACTTCGTTAGAAAGTAAAGCTAACCAAGGAATTAATTCGCATCGCAAAAATAACGATTTTGATGATAAAGAACTCAAGGTGACCGCATTAAAGAGCAATCATATAAACACGATTATGTGTCAACATCTGAAAGTGAGAGGGAAAGATGCAAGGATGAAAATAATTCACCTCATTTTAGGCCATCGTTGAACAATCGAGCAAGTTCCCCTATTTCTGTCACATACACAGGACAAGTAGAAAAAGATTTGTCTTTAAATAAATCAAAACCACAGACAGACCGTTTGGAAAGACAAGGACACCAAATGCCACTGTACAACATGTGACTGTAAAAAGCGGACAAATCTCTAGACCTCTATCACCAAGACTGGTAAAGGCAGAAACTGAAGACACCACCACCTTCAAACAATTTTCACCAGAATGTAGAAATGAGGATGTCGCTTCATTTATAGCTCAGAATATCGATGACAAGACTCTCACACCAAAAGATCAAAGCGGTTTTGATTTTGAAAGTTGTAAATTTGAAACTTCCACTCCTGAACTAAATCAAAATGGTATTGTTCATGAGCGAGTATCCATGGATTGTGATGTTTCTGATGTTGCAAAGAACATTTCAAAACATTTGGTAGAGTTTTGTCAAGTTGAGATTCCTAACAACAGTCAGCCTAAAGAAATAATACTTTTGGTCACAGATTTGGACGCTCCTGGTGCAGCATCTCCCTTATCAAGGAATGGACACCACGTTACGCGAAAAGGTGAGTTTGTGTCTTTTTTTACATGTGTTTAGTACTGTTTTAGTAGTGTTTAGTATTATGCGAGAATCTGTACCTTTTATATACTCCTTTACTCCAAGTATGTACCAACACTCCACAGACCTAACCTGCAATCCTTCCTGTTTAGTCACCATAATCCTCTTTAATTATTCCATCATTGTTTGTGAGTAAACTCGTATAGACTAAGGCTATATATTCATCATGTTTATTTATATTTGTATTGGCAAAAAGTCACAGCATTGAGCAAAGTATACATATAGCTATAGGTTCACATGCAGTATTTGTTTGTTATTTGCATACAAGTCAATTACATACATTGTAGTGAACTATATTGTGGTTGAAATTTATTGAATAATATATTTAGGTATACGATATACTTGGGGGTGTTTGTACTTGTGCATGTGCTAGAATTGCTGTTGCAATTTAAAACATTTGTTGGCCGCCTTTGTCAATGTCTTTGTATTAAATTAATGCCTATAACTTGAGTTCATAGGAATCATGCATGAATTCACAGGTTGGCATCCAATGTTAAATCTGATTATTAGACAATGCTGCGTACCTTTATGTATCACGTTTCTTTTATAAATAGCAGCAATTATAAGGCTTGATAGGAAACCATTTTATAGAACCATTGTTGATAACAGTATTGAACAACGTCATCGACATACGTGATGTTTTATATAAAAAGATTATGGAAATACTCTTAATACGAAAGTAGTCTAGTGTTAGATAAATTATAGGGTATAAAATACTCCATTGGTTGGCAAATATAATTCTAAAGTAAACTAGACCTTTGCCTTGGCATTAACCTAATACTAATATGCATAGAAAAGATCGAATAAAGTGTTTTGTTAAAGATTTCTCACATCGTGTTATTAAAGGAAATATAGGACAAAGCTACGTTTTTATAGATGCATGCACAGACGTCAAGTACGACAAACCTGAAGTAGATTATTTGTGTTGTTCATGAAGTACCGGATGAGGAACTTGAACATTAAGGAAACATTGTCTTGCTACTTTATATTGTGAATATTCTGAAGTATTTTCAAATCAGTTTTTCAAATGTTTTAAGCCATATAGTTAGGTATATTGTTGCGTGACAAGTGGTTTAAACTCCACACTCTCTAAAAATCAAGTTTCGTACTTTTCCGTGGAATTGGCCATCATTCTCAAAAAGATAAGAGACAAAACAAGGTTGTTTTGAAAATATTTTAAAAACTAGATTGTTTTATTAATCAGATCCAATTAGAATATTTTTTATAGCCTTATATAGTTTTTTGTACAATTTTTAGTACAACATTTACAACATTTAGTTCGTAAATCACATAGAAACCTGATACTCAAGAGTGAAGAATAGCCGTGATCTGGCATTTTGCCACATCTCTATAGATTATGATCGGATGTCCTTTTTTTTATAAATCCGTAAAATTGAAGTGTTTTGATACAAAGTTGTGTGCGATGTGTATTATAAGGCGTCAGTAAAATCGCTAAACATTGCTCAGGACTAACTCAGTATATCAGATGTATAGATTTTAACTGGGATATGATATAAGATTATACCTTCAAGACAACATTGTCTTTACCAGGCCAATATTACTGAAGCAGTGTTTGCATGATAATAATATGAAATGTGCCTTCCTGCTATTGTACTTTGTTGTAAAATGTAAAAATACTTTGAGCATGATAATCTAATAGAGAGTTTCATGTTAATATCTTGTGTTATTTAAATCACCTTGCAGACAATTCGTACTTAGTTCAACTAGGAATTTAATGTCTATCAAGGTCAATGTGTATAGTCATGCACCGTTTCTTCTTCCGCTAGCAATGAAGGGTTCTCTTCCTGGGGACTTCTTACTATACTTTTCTCGTTAGTTCTATTCAAAAAGACACAGTCAAAACGTAGATTTTTATTATTATTCCACTAACAAATTGTTTTAAATCTCACTGGGTATTTTTAAGCAGGCGTGTCAACGTTATTTCTTTTTTTGACATTAGGAGAAAATCATGGCGACAACAAAAGATTTGAAGTCTTAAAGCTTTCTTCTGGTGCAACATCACAAGTAAGATTTACCTTCGTTAAAAAGTGAAAGAACGTTAATGATATATGTTCATTCACATCATAATATCCCACGGTTTACTAGCTTTATTTTCTCAACCTGGCATTCATGTGGGTCTGTGAGAGACGTGCAAATGAGTGAAGTGAACGATTTAATGATTATATTTAATATTTTTAGATTGAAGTTACGGTGTATCGGAATCCTGGTCTTGGATTCACTATCGGTGGTGGAGCCAACAGTGGATCTCACGAGGTAACTTTCTTGACGTTTGCCAACATAAATTGGTGACGAGGTTTTGTATAAAACGTATATGTTTGATTATGATGATAATGATAAAAGAACACAAAAACCTATTGGCATTGCAAAAACTCTCGGTTCTGTCGAGGAAGAAGTACTTCAGAGGCATGATCTCATCGGAAGTTGAAGAACATTGCTTTTTATAGATGTAGTGGAATCAGTTGCAAACTAGAAATTTTCTCCTTTATTCTTAATACTGTTAGTTTTCTAAAATCAACTTCAGGTCTTTTGGGCAAAGTAATATCATTTAGAAACTAGCTAAGATTGATACCCCTTGAGAAGTAGTAAGGGAACCTCTGTTTTAGAAAATAAACTATATAATTAATTATTGTAAATTCTATTTGTGCTAAAAAAAATTTTCTATTCAGGGTATATACGTGGTCTCTGTCAATCCAGATGGACCTTCATCTCATTTATTACGTGCAGGAGACCGTATTTTAGAGGTAAATCATACTTCTACTTCATTTTCTTGTTCGCCAATTGAGTTGATTGTCGTCTTTGAAACTTGTATACTGACATGCACATTGCTCTATAGTAAAATATCTAGAATATAGTAGAATATTTCCAAATGCAGTTAAAAAGATCGTATTTTTTTAACTTTATTTCAGGTGAATGAGATCAACTTGCGATGCGTCTCCCATGAACACGCTGTTCTCTTTTTGACCCACAATCAACAGTTAGATCTTTTAATTGAGAGGGTTGTACAGTGATTTAAATAAACTATTAAAGTATTAATGGCTAAATAATAAGTTTGTAAATAACATGTAAACTAGCTACTAACTAACCATTTCAAGAAATAATACTTCTGTCTTTGTACTATTGGCGAGGTATTTGATGAAGGGTCCTTCTAAAAAATTTTAGGGCGTAAAAGTCGTACAAACTGCATCATACATGTTGAATAAATTCTATTTTTGTTGTATTTAACTTATTGTGTAAGTATAACATCAAAATATATGATTATTTATGCTATTCAAGGAGTAATCTTATCGCCAAATATGCAGGGCGCTGCCAGATGCTGAAAGAAGACAGGGAAGGGGGGAGTTGGTCGTTCCCGGGTACGAGATTGCCTGAGTACGTGGTGCGTTGTATCTCTCATTTGATTTCGTTCTTTTTTATTTAGGCTGTTCTTGATACTTCACAGTATTGTAACTCGTTATTTTCTCGCTAACAATTATGTTCACTATTTCGCAAAATGCTCTTTGCCTAATTCTCGGTGTCTACTGACTGTGATCAAACTACATCTGTGCTGTCTGCACAGGGCTGCCAGTCTGAATAACCCATAGATATATCTATCATATCTATGGACCTCATTATCATGCCGCCGCGGCCGCGCTATGAAAGGAAGTGCGTTGCCACTTATTCCACGTCCAGTTTATATTGAGATCAGTCTTACTTCGGGAAAAGAGTGCGGGAAATTTTAATACGTATTTTGGCTCTTCTTTTTATTTATCTTTTATTTTCTTATTATTGCTGGTTAACTCATGAAAAATCATTGGTTATAATTTTCATTTCAATCCATTTCAAACTGCCTAAGATTTGACTAAAATCAGAATGGCAAAAGTTAATATTTGTAATGTGACAGTTCTTGATAATCCTTCGCCATATTTCAATCCATTTCAATTTGAAATTACGTTTGAATGCTTGGAGGATCTTAGCGAAGGTAAGAGGTTTGAAGTTGTTAATCATGTTAGCATTATTGTGAGATTAATACAGCGATAGTTTTGCTACAAAATCACGATCATAAACCTCATGAATCACTGCACTGAACGAGCAGGGATGCCAAGGAATGATGGGTAGACTTGTATTTAAACTTGTGTGAGAATATTTCTGTTGCCACAATCCTAAAGAACGTTATTAACACTCAGACAATGTACAATAACATGTGTCTGAAGTAAGTATTCAAATTTTACGTTCAAAATTGATGGATCCCCAATGTCCTGGCATGGCTGATACATGGTACCTAAGGTTTTTGCCTATTTGGTTTTCATGAGACAATGAGGATATATATAATAGTGTGTCAGTACTTTAGTGCCAAATCTTTTCACATGTAGGTTTTAACATTGTTGTGTTGCAGAAAATAACTTTGTACTAGAACGATACCTGATGAATATTTCATTGCCATTCGCTGATACCAATCTCCTTTCATTGCAACAGCTGATATTGCTGGAATAGTGAAATAAGATTTTGTTTTTCTCTATCAGATCTAGAGTGGAAACTTATATATGTTGGTTCTGCTGAAAGTTCTGATCATGATCAAGTACTGGATTCTGTTTTGGTTGGACCAGTTCCTGAGGGAAGACATATGTTTGTATTTCAGGTAGTATGATAAATATTTTTGTGCAGCATTGATAGCATTTTTTTGTGATTTACCCAATTATAGTTAACAAAGTTTTCTTCATTTCTTGCAGGCTGACAGTCCAGACCCAAAAAGAATCCCAATTCAAGATGCAATTGGAGTGACAGTGCTTCTTCTAACTTGTGCATATCGAGGACAGGAGTTTGTGAGGATTGGATACTACATCAATAATGAATATATTGATCCTGAACTAAAAGAAAATCCACCAGATAAAACAGATTTTCAGAAGGTTTGTACTTGTAAATTAATTGCAAAAGTGTATAAATTCAACTCCTATAAATATAAGCTATATTGTAAAAGCTGACACATTTGCTTTGCAAGTTGTTCATGGCTCAAGTACAACTAATCTTGTTATTGTAAATTCAAAATCAAATTTGAGAATTAAGATTGTGAGTTTAAAGTCAATTATCAATTGAAAGTGTTCTTTCTTGGATCATTAGAATTTTGAAAGTGTGATCCACAGTTGACAATGTTATGTGCTTTGTTTAGTTGCAAAGAAATATTCTTTCTTCTGAACCGAGAGTCACTCGATTTAAAATTGAATGGGATACTGTAAAAGATGAAAAGGAGGAAAGAAAAACCTGCATCCAAGGTTCAGAACAAACTGCTATGATAACTGGATAGAATCTGGAAATAGAACTTTATTATCTCATTTTGTTTCTGAACGTTCATTTTCTATTCTGTAAATACACCGCAAAACGTAGAGTAAAATAGTTTAGTTATAGCTTTAATTGTTTCCATTTTTGACTGTCAATGGTGGCCCGTCTCTATCCCGCATCATCAACTTTAAAAACTGCGCCTCTTCGAAAACCAACATTTGATTGCTAATTGTAAAATCAGTCTAAGTTTGTTCATTTTGTTTGATATATATCATTAATGTCTCTACCAATCCTCATCTACGATACAATCGTAGATCAAAATAATGAGACTTTTCTAGTTTCTCACTCGCTTCATTTCGTCTTAAATTAATTATTCCAGTATGACCTTGTACCTACACCTCACTTTTCTAACCCCTCTACATATAAAGTGTGAAACACAATTATAATATAATTTCAGGTACTTTTTTACACGAAGCGTCGCCGCATTCATATAATCCTTATAGCGACTTATTGCCAATCATATATCACAGCATGAAGCAATGGAAATTTTGTACGCAATAATGCCAAAATCAATGAAGCTCGCATTTTTGAAAAAAAACTTAATAACGCGTCATTAGCATAATTAAAACATTTAGTAGCGATGGCATGCATGTAACAACAAGTCAGACACTTCTCTCTTTGACCAATCTAAGTTATTGTGATTCAAAATTATTGCTCTGTCTATTCGTTTAAAACTTTTGAAGCTGAAAAAGGGATTCTCATACTTGGGTAAGTCCAGGTTTTAAAGCTTTCATGACATTGAGTAAGTTCATAAAGCCACAGTTGGGTTTATAGGGTAATAGCTACGTATTTATTTTCTTGAAGTTCCTATTAGCTGTATTGTGTAAAAAACCAAGCGGTATGTTACACTTAAGTATATCACATTATTTAAGTTTTAATGTTAAAATTGTTTTCATCCGTGATTCTATCGAACCAGGCCTTTTTACTTTGGAGTTTCCGCAGTATATTCTATAATCACCCTCTCGAAGGCTGCTCACTCGGCTGACTTGCACTTACAGTTCTTTTGCTTTGAATTTGCAGGATATTTTCTGAGGAATTTCAAATTTTTCAGCCTAATTACTCAGTTAAAGAGAAAGATGCATTATTGCATCAACCTACTGTAGTCCGCATGTGGTACCGACTGCTTGCGGTAATTAAATTGAATCTAAAAATCACGAACTGCGCGTCTTTCGCCGTTTATTGTATTAAAGTCTTAAAAGTATAAACTGAAACTATACAATTATTACGAGATTTTCGTATGAAAAATAGCTATTACACTACCTGTGGAGTAGAAATTCTTGATTTCTCATTAAGTTTTGTTTTCTTTCGACTCTTTATACTCGAGGATTAAATTGTGTATTTATAGGCTGCGACATTTTGATATAACTATTTAATTAAGTAGTTTTTTGCCATTTAATTTAGAGTAGTGTTTTAATAACAGTATATGTTCAATAAATATTGGTAGAAATATAGAATACACCACTTTGCACAGGGATTTATACAAACCAAAACTTCTAGCAAGCTGAGCGCTCAGTTGGTTTCCGTTCTGGAAGACTAACTTAAGAAAAATACTTATACCACCTGCGGTAGAATCTTTAATTAGATATTATTTATGGACTATTTGATTGAACTTGCAGAAACAATTAAGTGGCTGTTCTGACATTGCGCTACTGACAAGAATGAGATTTGTAGTAAAACTTGGGTCTATTTTTGAGTTTATTTACGTCATGAAAAAAGTCCCATAATACAATGTCAACTTCAATGACCTCTCCACTATTGAAATAAGAATAACAAATTGAATGGAAAATTGCTGTACCAGGATCATGACCAGGATACGTGCAGTGTGCAATGAATAATCACCAGAGTTTACAAAGATAGAGCGAAAATCACCGAACACTACTCGACCAAGTATTGTGTAACTACTGCGTTTACAGAAAAAACCCTCTGTGGAGGAGACTTTTAAAATAATTTTGTGACATTTCTATTACTTTTATTTTACCACATGTGATTTTACTCATGAAAATTTTATTAATAATTCCAGATTGGTTGAGAAGCGTTGGGAACATATTTAACCACATTTAGTCAAAGAAGAAATGGCAAGGTGAATTTATATTGAATATAGTTGCATAGACGTACAACAAACCACCAGAATTAGAGTTCAACAAAATGATCTATTCATTGAACGACGGGAGGAATTTCATTTAAAGACTGTTTTCAGACATGCAGTTGGCGAGTCAGTGACCACGTCATATCATTTTAGTCAGTGGACATCTCGGGATATTAAAACGTACAAAAGGAGGCAATTGAATTTTAATGAGGGTTTTCTGTTTTGTAGAGAAACAAAGGAGAAATGTCAGAATCCATTCTCATTTTGGAAATTTTGTTGCACACATCTTCTTCAGTGGATTTCATTCTTGTTTAGTAAAGCTGGTGGATGGATAGCTAAACATCCTTGGTGTGTTATTATTCTCACTCATTTCCTAGTCTTGTTCTTCGCCACTGGCTTTATCTTTATTAATTTTGAGAAGAATACAGCTAAACTATACAATCCTCAAAATAGTCAGGCGGAGAAAGACTTAACAAGAGGGAACAAGTATTTCCCTCTTAAATTTCGAAGAGAAATGGTTCTACTCAGACCAAAGAGCCAACACCCTCAAGGCGTTTTGACTAAAGATTGTTTTTTGGATGCTCTACGCTTGCATAGAGCTATCACGAGCCTGAAAGATTACAAAGAATATTGTATGAAAGATCCTTTCACTGGCAATCAGTGTGTAACAATTACACCCTTGGAAATATTCCATTTTAATCCAGCGTACTTAAATAATATCGCCACTAAGCTAACATCTGCCTACAGAAATAAATCTTATCTTATGTCAAATAATCGACCAGCATATTATAACTTTCCTGCAATATTTGGCACAAGTCTTATGATAGATCAACGTAGTGGAAAGATTAAAAAGGCTGATGCCCTGCAAATGATTTACGTCATGAAAGATCCATCTAACGATGCAGAATACGAGAAAATATTGACATTTGAAAAAGCTTTTCTAAACTCAGTCGTTAAACTAAGCAAGGAGTTTAAGTTTGTGGACGTGTTTTACAGCAGTGCTCGAAGTATTGACGATGCTGTTAATGAGAGCTCGTTTTCTGATTTAAGTTTGTTCTTCGTCACATTTTTAAGCATGATCATTTTTGCATGTCTGGCTTCAGCAAATTTTGTCAAACCTACGCAAGGACATGCGTTATTGGCTACTTCATGTGTGATTGCTGTTAGTTATGGGATAGTATGTGGTTTAGGATTTGGAATGTGGTTAGGCGTACCATTCATAAGCATCGTGGGATTCCTGCCATTCCTCATCCTCGGTATTGGACTTGATGACATGTTTATTATCGTAAACGAGTTTGATAGGTTACCACGCGGCATGTCTGTTGTGCGTTGTGTTAGCATCGTTATGACTAATACTGGTTCGTCTATTACCATGACAACAGTTACCACATTAGCTGCATACGTGATAAGTACATCGACAACGTTTCTGGCATTGCGTTACTTCTGTCTGTACGCGACTTTTTGTATCACATTCTCGTACTTGTTCGTTGTTGGTTTCTTCGTGGCAGCCTTGTCTCTAGACGGACGACGGATTAAAACTGGAAGATTAGATTGCTTGCCTTGCTTAGCCGTCGAAGAGGAAGAGGAAGAAAAGCCAGCCCTTGACAGGGAAAAACGACACAAAAAGAGAAAGAATATATTTTTGATGGCGGACAGAATTATGAAGCTTTGGGCGGAATTCATTTTGCGTACTCCATCAAAAATTGTTGTTCTTCTTCTTTTAGTTGGTATGATTGCGTGTGGACTTATAGGAGGAATAAACATAGATCAGAGGTTTGATAACGACTTAATTGCGAAACCCGGTTCCTACCTGGAAGAATATCTGCAAACATTCGAGAAATACTACAGTGAATCCTTGGAAGTCGACATAATTATCGATACGAAAATTTCTTACAAATCGTGGAATACACAAAATGAGGTGCTGAGATTATCCAGCATTGCGAGGGAAAACCAATTTTATAATAATAATTCCCTTTCATGGATGGACGCTTTCAGGATGTGGTCGAGCACATACAATATAAAGACAACTGGTAGAGAATTTATCAACTCCTTAAAAACGTTCCTCACCATCCCTGCATTCCGTCAGTTTAATCAAGATATAGTTTTCTCGCAAAATCGGACAGAAATCGTTGCATCTCGTGTTCATGTCTACATGAAAAGTACCACGGATACAATAGAAATGTGTCAGGCTATGGTTGGAATAAGGGAAGATTTAAAGACAAAGTCAAAATTGCCAGTATTCGCTATAGCCAAAGAGTTTCTCAGCTTTGAAACTTATTTGTCAACTCTACCAGAAACGATACAAAATATTTTCTTCTCATCGCTCGCAATAGTCCTGATAACCAGTGTATATTTGGTCCACCCTGTAGCAATATTTCTGGTATTCATAAACTTCGTATTTCTTGTTATCGAACTACTGGGTGTTCTTCATCTCTGCGCTGTACCACTGAATACCCTGGCAATGGTTGGTTTTGTTATGGCGGTTGGTTACTCAGTTGATTATAGCGCTCATATTGCACACGCGTTCATTCTTTCACCTCAAGAAACAGCAAAAGAAAGAACTGTACACGCGTTGGCAACCGTTGGATCCAGTGTGTTTTGGGGAGGTAAGCTATTAGCATTTAGTAAAGTGACGCCATGTACGATATAGCAAAATCGTCATAATTTTACATCGACTCACTCCTAAGTTTCTCTGCGTCGATAGTTTTAGGGTTCGAAGGGACGAAAACTTTTTGAATGATAATTTTCTTTCAACTTTTCTTTCAGGCTTCAGTACATTTCTGGGATTGATTGTTATAGCATTTTCTGAATCCAAGTTATTCCAGTTGTTATTTCGTATTCTGGTATCCATTGTTATCCTTGGTTTACTTCATGGTCTGGTCTTTCTTCCTGTATTGCTTTCCTTGTTTTGTCCATGGAAACTGGACGTCGCACAAACCAGGAACAAAAGAAGCACCACTCAACACAACAACTCCAAGAGTGATGAATTATCTGAGTCCGAAGATAATCAAGATATGTATTCTTTTGATGTTGAAAACACGATAAAATGGAATTGTCCATGCGACTTTTGCAATCGTTAGATACGGTTAACTTCTTCTTTATAATGTAATTTGAAATTAGCATTGATATTGCATGTTTGGTAACTACGATATTGCAAAGGTTAACTTCTAAATCTTCAACGAAGCTGCTTTAAAATTGTTTGAAATTATTTTTCACCGCGATAATATTTATTAAATTTTGTTTTTGACCATTCGCATGATTGATTTTGGGACTGATGAGTAAAGAACTAAAGAAATTAGAGGTACATAGGAAGTTGATCACATAGCGGCGTACGAAAGGATGAACAGAGCTTATAATTTAACGAGATAGGAGAAGTGACTATACATGAGAGAGGATGGAGGCCGAATGGAAAATGAAAACACAAAAATATTTATTTGTGTGCATGACCATGATTATATATAAAGAAGCAACGCGTTACCCGCAAGGGACGTACAATAAAAAAGACGAGATGAAATCTAAGTGATGCTATTATTTTTTTCTACCATATAGAGTCAATTATTATAATACATAGAATCAAACAGTTAATTACATTTTACCTAAAATTATGATTTGGAAAAAGGTTGTTCGTAAAAATCCCAAAAATCATCATCCTTGTTTAGTGTTTCTTGCAAAGTATTTGACTTATCATCTACAACCTTAAATTCATTTTCATTATGTCTAATTTCTTCACCAGTTTCTTTATGAGTTTGTTTTTTATTTGATATTTTAACTTTCTTTGTTTCTTTGATAACTTTAGATACATCTACATTGTTTTGATCAGGCTCTTTTCTTCTCCTTAACACTAAAACACAGAAATGATAAAATGAAATATACATTAACCATATGTACTTCTTATAAAAACTACATTTCATTACAACTTTAAGCAGCTAACCAAGGTTGTCCGCAGCCAAATTAATTCATGGTATATCACATATATTTTTGTATTGCTCTAATATATGAGACATCAGGGAAAGACATCATCACCAAAAGTTGTTCCTTTATATGACAATGCACATCTATCTTCAACCTTGTGCCCTTTTTTGTAGGAAGGTCCTTTATACTAGTATATGTACTTCAATATATGTTCTTGAAATAAATTAAACTGTACTTATACAATATGATCGAAGATCTATTTCAAGAACATATTGAAGTGGAAAATATGAAATAATTTCTGAAAAAAATGAATTACCCTTACCTACCCGCTCCAGGTTTTGTTATAGATTCCAGATATACATCCCATGCCTTTTTCATCCGTTCATGATGCACACTTGCTTCATTCCATGCTCCTAAAGCATCCCGAGTGATCCCATAAAACCCATCTTGTAGATCATGTCCACCTTGATCTCCCAACTTCAATGCAGATTGAGTGTACACATTATTTGATTGGCTAAACCAGTTATGTTTACCTTTACCAGGGAAAATGTTAGCTCGAGTGTTGGTTGAGAGCATTTTGTAGTTTGAATCCTGTCTTGATGATCTGCCACTTTTGTCAATCCGTGCAACAACTGGTCCTTTAACTGAATTTAGCATGTTATTTGAGAATGATAACTTGTTTCTAGGTTGAGTTATACTGTTTTCGTTTGGTAAACATTTATCTGGAATTCTGTATTTCCCTTGCATTTCATCTTGCAAGTCAATTTTTACTTCCCGCCATCTACCGTGTCCATCTTGAACAATTCTCCACTTTCTTCTACTGTCAGGTAGTTTCGTATCAAATTTTGGCAGTAGAAAATCTTCAATATCTTGTAAAGTTTTTTGACTCACTTGTTCATTTAATTTCTCTTTTACGTCTATTTCTTTGGAATAATACATTGCTTGAGATTTTATTCAATTAATACTAGCTTAAATTGTGAAAGGTTTCCCCTCGTATACTGTATACTGTTCATTGCATTTCGTAGCAAAAGATCAGAGCTCAGTGATCACAGCATTTTGAACCATTCTTTCATATTTTCTTTCATGCATATTCTCACCATGAAATGTTCCACTGAAAATGTTGTTATGGTAACGTATCATTGCCTTGGGTTGACGTGATGACGTCATAGATTTCAGTGGTGTTAATCTGGTGTTAATCTCAGTGGTGTTAATCTATGGTCAATGTTCGAAATCGAGACTCTGAGTAGTTTACTGACTGAGTTGAAATGTTGGTGTGGTATTAGCTTTGTGGTTGCTTGGAAATATGTTAAAATTTCGTACGACGTATAAACATCTAATTGTGTTCTTGATATTCAAGAATGTCAAGACAGACTCGACAAAAACTCGACAATAATAACGAATAACGATAGATTTTAAAATGCTATCACTCATCAGATCACAGACCTTGACAGTTGACCACCCCACCCCACCCCACCCCAAGGATGTAAAGATTGTCCTCATCGCTTTGCGACGGACGAAGAAGTGGAAGAAGACTATCATGCACCATCAGATCTCGAGTCGAGAGAGTTATTACCACAGGGAATAGAGTGAGTAGAAAATAAAATTAACAATGTATAAATTAATATCATGTTAAAAACGAATTAATTTTGTCCAAATAATATTTAAAATTACCAAATTAGACATTTTTTAGCATATATCAATAAAAAGTTGTCATGTGAGAATCATGTGAGTGATGTGACGCATGTGCTCACACGCTTGCTCACACTTATATCATCTATACAAGCCATGGAAAAATATTACGTAACGTTAGTTTGAACTCTGGTCAGAAGAGACTGCTTCGTTCAATAATGTGTACATGTGATCAAAGGTATATTGTAAAAAATCTATTGAAATTTATAAAAGTATGGAAGGGATATGATCGTTTGCCCTTATCTATTTTAAGCTACTTCTATTAGTTCTATATAGTATAAACGCCATTAGCATGAAAAGCTATTTAAATTTCTGGTCTGTATTGCGTAATACAAATACCTGAACGTCAATACGAGACAGGCCAATTAAATAACGAATGGAATGATCAAGAGTGTATCAATTTTATATCATTCCTGAGAAAAATTCCATCCCCATCTTCCCAATGTTTTCGAGATGATTACGGTAAGATTTCTTTTTTATATTAAGGTAAATATTCACGGGTATTAAATGTGCTTTCTTTTATACTCGACCCCAATGAAATGTAGACTTCCGTTTCACAGTTTCCAATAATTTGTTGTCTGTAATATACATTTTCATGTATATTCATATATGAATTTTAAGGAAGACAAGGAAGTGTGTTAAGATAAATAATGGTCAATTTTAGATCAGTGTTTGATAAGTATATATTGTAATATTATTAAAATTGAGATGAATTTGGCAATTTGATTTTTTTGACACATTCATATCACGTGATATTAAATATGTCATATTTATTGTTCTATACAACAATCACAATACAATAAACAGTTGATACTTTTGTATGTTGACCATCCAAACACAGTGGTGTACAATGTCCATTGTGGAAAGCTTCAAATTAATTGTAAGTTTACTGTGGCATATCAAGATAAATTGAACAGATATTGATATAAAAGAACAGTTTAAACTCACAAAATCAGTTTAAGTTGTTTTACAATATCTCTGTCCCCAGAACGTTTTTATTTGGAAGATCATGTTAAAGCAATCATGCTTTTAGAGAATTTGCTTTCCCTACAACCATAGTAAGGCATATTTGTATAACAACATGTATTTGGACGTATTATTAAATCATCACTTGACTGTGATTTGATAAAATCTAAATTAAATTATTTTAAAGCATGCAATCCTTGCTCTAACGTACAGCTAGCCATATGCTTAACAAACATAGTTATAGAAAGTTTGTTTATTAACATTTAAATAACATTGATGTATATATATAATAGTGTATGTATATATATAATAGTTTATGTATATATATATATAATAGTGTATGTATATATATAATAGTGTATGTATATAGCAGTAGATAATATAAATATATGACATCTTGTTTGTTGTTGGTTTTTGTTTAGGAAGACAATGTCATAGAAAGTGCTGAAATGAACGAGATGAATGAAACAAAAGCCAGTCTTCAATCTAACAATGGTGCAGTTAATGCTGAAGGTATTAAATCAAAATTCTAGCAACATTGGAACCCCACTAAATGAATGTGTATATTATAAGGTTATGGAGCAACCTGTGATGGAAGTCAAGGTAGTAATGTAACAGACCACTGTGCAAGTAATAATAAAAACAAAGAAGGTCATGATCACAAGACAACATACTTTGAATCAAGAATACCAATACCTCGTGAGGCAGACAGAGATGTAAGTTGAAATGCATTAAGATGTTGTAAAATACTGTGTTTTTGTTTCTTAGTTTTGTTTTTGAATAAGACAACAAAAGGCATTGTAGACATACTAGTAATAACCCAGTAAAGCTGGCATAGTAACAAACCATAGTCGCTAATTATTACTATCATTCCGTCTTCTAGTATGGCTTCAGTTTTAAACGTCTTTGGGCATTTACTGGTCCTGGATTCTTAATGAGTATTGCGTATCTTGATCCAGGAAATATTGAATCAGATCTTCAGTCTGGGACTACTGCAGAGTTTAAGGTATTGATTGTGGTATAATATCATATTAATAATAATCACAACTGATTGTAACATATTGATTAAGTATAATATTTGCTTTCCATCATTGCTTTAATTTGCACCCAGATTATAATAGAATTCATAATCCTTTGATATCTTAACCAACTATATCTACAAATGGTTCAACTGAAAGTAGAGTAAGTGCACCATAAAAATAATTTTGAAGTATGTTATTTTTTTATCATTATTTTAGCTCCTATGGGTTCTCATGGTAGCAACATTTATTGGATTTTTGATGCAGGTGAGCAATATCATTAGAGTCTCAGAAATTATTGTATGTAATAAATGTGACCATTGAGTAGTCAAATTTTATGTGTAAACTTGATTTACAATAAATGATATCTTTTGAGTTGGAATTGGATACCAGGTATATGTGATCTGAACTTGAGAGATAGTAATGCCTTCCATATGCTCTCTCGTTCATTCTCATGGTATTTAAGTTATACAAGAAATGCGACCTTTTTGTGGACCAAAGATTGCAAAAGAGATTAGCGAAGAAAGGAGAGGCCAGATAATCATATCATTATAAGTTTAAATTGGAAACCTGAAGTTAGGTCAACTTAGTTGCACCTGTATATTTGATTATTATTATTAGTTTACCTACAAACGTTTTATATTATAATTACAAGAATTTTATTAAACAACATTGTTTGCATTTCCAGAGACTATCAGCTCGTCTTGGAACAATCACTGGCAAGTAAAATTTATTTTAGAAGGAGAGATAAGTTTGCAACGAGGTTTTCAGGCAAAGAGATTTGTGTAGGAAATGTTGAAGAAATGTGTTACTATACTGTCCAAGTCTTCTTAAACCATTCAAAAAGTCCTTTGACCTTGGCTTTGGCCCACTGCCTCGCACATTTCAAGAATACTTCAAAACAATATTCTTATACAACGTCGCCATCGTGAGTAATTGTGACATTACTCGCTAAAAAACAACTGTGCTGGGTCTTTTTTACAGGAAAACATTTGGCAGAGTTATGTTACGAGAAATACCCAAAAGTACCGCGGATTATATTATGGATCATGGTGGAGATTGCTATAATTGGCAGCGACATGCAGGTATGTACTACAGCTGGCTGCAGACTTTTGAGTATTCACATTATCAAAAACTGCGCGTGCTACAATATGAATTTTCAATTTTGCATTTTTTTTGTTACAGGAAGTCATTGGAACTGCAATAGCGTTTTATCTTCTTTCAAACGGAAAGTTAGTAGTTTTTTTACGTTTTTTCTTTTCCAATTCTGTTCTACAGCGCAATTAAATAAACTATACCAATGTATTTTATTCTCTTTTAGAATTCCTCTGTACGCTGGCGTACTTATTACAATCATGGATACGTTTGTTTTCCTCTTTTTAGATAAATATGGTAAGTGTATTTGTAAAATCCTTGAAAATATTTTTACAATGTTGTCATTATTTCAAATATTCTCAGTGTTCCTCCACGATTTAAATAACAACTTGGCTATCGAGCCTTATATATAGCCATAGAGTATGAATTTTGACCTTTGGTTGTTGAGCAACCTTAACTATATATAGGCTAAATGTATAATATCACAGATGCACGTATGAAATGTTTTTTTTTCAGGTCTAAGGAAACTTGAAGTATTTTTTGGCTTCCTAATTACAGTTATGGCAGTAACATTTGGATACGAGGTTTGTTTTGCATTTGATTAAAATTGTTAAAAGTCACATTCGTAAACAGTTGTATTACTCAATGACAGCAGACAGCGTGTATATAATTGTAAAGTTCACAGCGTATCGACATCGTCATTTAAAAATGTGTTACCGCTACTGCTTTATTTCAGTATGGTGTTGTTAAACCAAATCAAGCATCCGTAGTGAAAGGAATGTTTATACCTGGTTGTGATAACTGCACTGCAAAAGCCAGGAAACAAGCTGTAGGAATAGTTGGTGCAGTCATTATGCCACACAACTTTTACTTGCATTCAGCCCTTGTCAAGGTAATTATTTCACTCAGCATTTCTTATACAGTAATGATGAGTAAATTTGATTCGTTAAAACATCCACAATTCAGTTTATTGCTTTAATTGAGATATTTCACTTTGTATGCATGGGGATGATCTATATCTTCCATGTAATGTCTCTTGAGAATAAGACGTACCATACTAAGAAATTGCAATTTACCCTAGGATTTCGGATTTCCTACAATATATCTTTCAAGTCGCCTCAGGAAGACGTAGCTTTGTAGTTCAAAATTTGTGAGGATTCTCTGACTTGTATTTTAGTCTCGACAAGTTGACAGAAGTAAACATCAGGAAATTAAAGAAGCGAACATGTATTACACCATTGAATCAGGTATAAATCCTTCTGTTTTTAACGTTGTTCTCTTCCACTCTACTGTTTTCTGATAATTAATATGAGCTGTTTATTGACAAAACATAATATGCAGTATTTTAACGAGTTTTAGGGCCCCTTAAACCTCAGGCCCGGGGGGAGATTGCCCCATGTGCTAAGCTCTGATCTGACCACGTTCCACATTTTTTATGATTTCTTTAAATTCAATTTAATTAAAGGAATCGCCTTGTTTGTCTCTTTTCTGATTAATTTATTTGTCGTTGCTGTTTTTGCAGAGGTTCGTGTATTGTTTTATTTATTTACAATGGTGCATGACAATACTGTATTGTTTATGTATATAAACGCTGATTTGCCTTTCGTAAAAGTGAACCAACGTATTTTTTTGTTTTTAAAGGGATTTTATAATAAGACTAATAAGGATGTGGTGAGTGCCAAATATTTTAGGTTGTAATTCATCTTTTGATGTTTGAAAACCTTAATCATCAATTTTTCTAACTCGTAGTTTCCATTCTTCGTGTGAATGTTTATGTCTTTTCCACGCAGTATTTTTTGTCTGCAAGTTTTAATTTTTTACAGATTGGTATTTGCCAAAATGCGACATATGACATTCGTTATGAAGGCATTTTTGACGTGAGTCTCTAATCCAGATTTTCTTATACAGTGTATTTGAAAATTGGTAACCTAAATGTTCTATATTTACCATAATCTGTATGGAACATGAGATAGAAATATGGTGTGTAGAAAGTATTCTATGTTTTATATTGTGCCAGCTCTGCATAGTGCTGCTCAGTGCTCATGCATGAATAATATTGATAATATACGTCCATTACTGTAATAATCATGTTGTAATTTTGCATGGCGATTAACAATATATAATAATTATTTTAAACGTACGCCAGGTGCATTTTTTAAATGCAATTAATATTTATCTTAGAATAATACAGACGTAGTTGATGGAGATCTTTATAAAGGCGTAAGTTTGTCCACGTTTAAGAAATATTGGTATTTAGTGTAATAGATATGCTTACAGTACGTTGCTGTCGTTGCTGTTGTTGTTATACCCCGGTCCCCATGTCTACGAGAACAGGTGGCCCTATTTTGTTCCATGAAATTTCTTGTCTACATGTTTTGTGATTCAAATCTATTGGAAACTGAGAATTTTTTATATATTTTTAAAAGGGAATATACCTTGGTTGTGAATATGGTGTCGCGGCGTTATATATATGGAGTATTGGTATCCTAGCCGCTGGACAGAGTTCTACTATGACTGTAAGCGCAGTTATGTGAATTATTTCAATGCTTTCGTTATACTTTTGCAAATGACGTTTTGTGTAGTTCTTGAAAACATCAGTTAAATAGACATATAAAATCTTGATCGTTATGTTAAAGAATATGTCTAAAAAATGTTTTAAATTTTACGTTTAGGGAACCTATGCTGGTCAATTTGCTATGGAGGTGAATAACATTAGCATCTAACGATTGCATGTAGCCTGACCAAAAATTAGTTGCCCTAATGATCTTAAAAAGTGCTTTATTTCTCTCACTCTTTCCTGCTCTGGAAATGACAATTTAAACCTCAACAGTATTATGATGATATACCAATGCCATGCAGTTCCATTCTATTACTTCCTGAAATATTTGTACAGCAATGTTCTTTTATTATTTTTCGTCAAACAAACACGATTTTAGGGTTTTCTCAAAATGTCGTGGACACGTTGGAAACGAGTTCTATTTACTCGGTCTATAGCAATAGGACCGACTTTGGCAGTCGCTGGTTTCTTAGGAATCAATAATCTCACTGGAATGAATGATTTTCTCAATGTCTTACAAAGTTTGCAGGTATTGTTCACAATATTTGCATATTAGATATATTGTTTTTTTCTGCCACGCAGTAGTTATTCCAGGTTTAAATGAAGAAAATGCGTGCACGAGACCTGGGTTTGCCATTAAACGTAGCTTCGCTTCAGTATGCATGCCATTCAGTACATTGTTCTGTACTTTGTTCTTATTTTTTAAGCTTCCTTTCGCATTGCTACCAATGTTGTACTTTACGAACAAAACAGAAGTGATGGGCAGTTTTGTAAACGGAAGGTAATTGTTTCCCTTTTTCCACTCTTTTTGCCTCGAATCTTTAGCTCGGCTAGCTTACTTAGAGTGTAAGATTCCTCTAATATTTTCAAAAACTTATCTTATTTTGAAAAGCAACAGACCTACTGTGAAAGTGTTTGCCTACCTGCCTGTTCTTGGAATTCCTTAACAATGTACATGTTATTTCTTCTAAGGATTATGTGCGCTTTTTCATGGGTTGTCTCCATTGTGATATTAGGAATCAACTTCTTTTTTGTCGGCGAAACACTGGTAATGTTCATCAATATCTTTGCTTAACTAAATATCCTGTATCACTAACAAATATCAAATATTCAACTGCTCGAAATGGGGGGGGGGGTGGCGGATGCCTGGACAGCCTGTTTGTCAAATTTGCTTCCGATTATTATAAAATTGACCAAAGAAACTTTCCTGATTCAACATTTCTTTTCAATTTCTGATTGTATAATTTAATTTCTACTTCTAGACGAGTTTACCGAAAAATGTTGCACTGTTGATCTTCATCTCAATCCTGGTTATTTTTTATTGCGCTTTTGTTCTACTCTTAGTAAGTGCACATTCCCTACTTTACACCAACATTCCCTTATTCACATCAACATTCCCTACTTTACACCAACATTCCCTTATTCACATCAACATTCCCTACTTGACACCAACATTCCTTTATTCATATCAACATTCCCTATTGGGCGGTGATGTGGATACAACACGGTCAAAACTGCGTATTTTTTATATTTCTTTTGTTGTACTGATTGTAATATTTTATCACCTCCTGTTGAGCGGGGGATTTGCAGTTTCAGCGCTAGCAAGTTGAACTTTACCATTTTAAGTGAATTATCGCGAGCGTACCGGGCAACAATATAGAATCCAGATGTCTCTTATAAATCGTCAAGTTCATCTTTTTAATGTTAAAAGAAAAACGGCCAACAATTTTTTTTCATATTTAGGGAAACGTTAACAGAATTCTTGCAAAGATTTTCACTAGATTTTTTTAGTTTCACATATTTAGCTACGAACTAAATCATCTCCCATCTTGTTTTAAGATTAAATGTGATTATGTGATTAATTAATCTAATTAGTTTCAACGTGTGGTTTCAAGCTGTGGATATCACAAATACGAGTCAAATGTCGTTTATATTTGATGATGACTTGATGATATTTTTATAAGCATAATTATACGTTGTTATTTAATGTTGTCTTGGAACATATTATATAAGTTTATCTGTCACGTTTTCCTCGCATATAACTAGTCGACCTTATTTATCTTTCTTCTAGTTTTACTATGCTCTTGAATTCACTTTTCTTGATCGGTTTAATGTAAGTGTAATTTATAATATTTTTTTGGTCTTTCTTGGGCACATGCATGCAACAGGAAAATTGAGTCAACGATTATGCTTATATAAGACTACAGAAAAAGATTGAGATCTGGATTGTGACATTGTTATAGATTGCACAACTTGCAATCAGCAACAATGATTAAATTAATATATTTTCATCTCATTTCGCAACCATTTTTTGATGACAACAACATTCCTAGAGTCGATCTATGACATTGCTTCATTTTTATTTTAAGTGTCTTCGAAGCAAGAGCACGGGATATGAACCACATGACGATGAAGATGATTATATAAGTGATGAATAGTCCAAGTGAAAGAAATAGAACCTCGTTTTTTTGTTGATAAAACATAATCTGAATACTGGATATGGTGGCATATGCACGTCGCTCATTTTCCGTCTACAGCACTTTGCTTTTTCGCGATAACAAATTACAAACATATTTTACGAAGTAATGTAGATTTAGAATATTTTATACAACATACATACATGCATGTGATCCGTGACGGCAAGCAGTAACAAAACGCGTGTTGCAATTTGGGGGCGTGATTATCGTAAATATTATTAGAACTCAATTAAAAAAATTTTAAAAAGTTGACGTTGCCCGGCAGGCATTACCTGGCCAATTCTGTCAAAACCAGTTTTTACTAAAAAATTTTTACCAAAAAATGCGTTCTCAAAAAAGTCATTATAAAATAGATTAGACAACTATGTGGAATCTCCATGTATTTCCTGCATGTGTTTTTGAAATTCAAAGAACCATTTACAATGGAAAAGAGAGAATGCTGAATAGCATGCTGATATACTCGTTATCGCGTGTTTTACAATCGCGTGTTTCACAATCGTGAGGTTCACAATGACCGTCTGTTGACATCACAATTAGTCCAACGATCAGCGCACGCGCAGTAGTGAAATCTTTACCATCCTCTTCCTGTGCTACTATCAGGTTAGTGGGTTTTTCTTCAGATTTGTTCTATCTTATTTGCAGTAACCTTCCAGGCTTATGTCTATCAAAGTGCTATGCCCCTATGCTCAATACCTTCTTGTTAAGGTTAGGGTGATGACCTCCATGTTTAATGCCATTCTTTGGCCTCTTAAAAGAATTGACTGAAATTTCCGGAAGTTTTTTTATTAAAATTTTTGCAAAAATTTTACCATTAAGCAGCTCTTCTGAGGTGTATCAGAAGTGTGTTTAAACTAGAATTTCTGCTAAACTAGAATATCACGAGCACCGATCAATCCAAACTCTCGTGTTTTGTCGTTAATATATGACTTTCGCAAAGAAGCCTTACAATACAAGCCATAAATACAATCGCTGCGTTAAATACAATGTTGTCGCGTAGAAACGAGGCGTTTACACATGCAAGCATACTGACCTCGCCTGGTCGCCACAACATGTTGTGATGCGCCCAGATTTCCAGGCATGGACCAGCAAAAATCTTAGCCGAAGTCGTGTCAGATTAGGACAATACCGGCAGCACTGATATAGGTCGATGGTTTTCTAGCAGTTTGCGATTCCAGATTTATAGACTGGCACAATTTTTGCAATCTTGACGTAGCTTAAAGACCCGAAAATGCACTTCGCCCGTGCAGTCTTTCAGCATTCCAGGTGGTAGTTCATCAATACAAGTAGCTTTAGTATGCTGCCGTGCTTCCCGTGACAAAGGGTCTAGCATTGACTTGGATGATTTGTTTGGATAAATATTCTTTATACAGTCCCTGAACTTTTTACTAAGGGTCACAACTCTTCTCGTTCAAAAGATTACGATTGTACTTCGCCTTGGCATAGCGGCCTTCGTTTGTGCACTTGTTGCATGCCGTTTTATAAGCTCTCCAGTGTGCTGGATCTTTTGTTCGACAGGCTTTTCGTAATAGTTTGTCGCACTCACTCAACGAACGTTTCAATTCACTTGTTAGCCATGCATTCACATTTCCTCCTTTTACGTGTTTCTCTATTAAAGAGAATGTTTACGAAACCTCTCTTCAAGAATGTTTTTTAAATAATCCAGTGCTTTATTTACGTCAATAATTTTAAATAAAGGTTGCCAGTTTATTTATGTTTCATTTTATCATTTTATGTTTTATTATGTTTGTTTCATATCTTTACAGAGCTCATTATGATCGTATGGTTCTTATAGTCTCGGCATTTAATCATTCTAAGGTTGTAACGTTTGTGGGTAATTTTTTTTATACAAGCAACCATGTCATGATCGCTGAGAGATGTTGCAACAACGTCAACTGCAGATATGTTTTGTGCAGCGTTTGACAAAATCAAGTCGATTGTTGTTGACGATGTCTCCGTTAAACGGGTGCATTTCTTTACAAGTTGTTGCAAAACAAACAACTTTACGATCGTCTTGAACATTGCGTTTGAGGACGTATCATTATATAATTCATATTTAAATCTACATTAATATATAGTTTCCTTGTTTTCTTTGTCATCAATGCACATATGATCTTGTAATAGGTCATTAAAGTTGGATGGTGGTATTTTGATGTCACAGGATGACAATAGAAGCAGCACCCAACCATGAGATTTAGCAAGTTTTCAAAAATATCTATATCCATAAGCACTCGATTGCAGTAGAATTTTCTAAATCAAATCACCGTTTAAATGAAATACCATCTTTTACATACTTCGAGATTAAAGGAAGCGAGAGATGCATTTGAGGTACCTATATAAACGTATATTGAATTAGAGTCTTTTCCTTCTATATGTTGTATTCAAATTGTAATAGCGTATAACATTTCTTATTTATTAATTAAAATGTGAATACAGAAATCAGTTCTGTTTCTGCTTCACTCACAGAAGTCTTGAGTGTTCAGTAAGACGACAAAAAGGAGTGTGTGTACTACATTGGAAGTTTTTAGACCTGCATGTTTAAGATGTCTAACTTTTCATCTACCGGATCAAATGCAAATAAACTTAAGGTTCAGCACGTGATTGGAGAAATATCGGTGTGATTTTTTTTTAGATTCGGCGAAGCCTATAGTATAATAATAGACTACCGACTAATCTTTTGGTAGTTATGTCGCAATTGATGAGTTTAGTGGACTTTAGTCAACAGACGCGTCAAACATCTGCGTTAGATATTCGCGGTACCCTTGAGTGCCTTGTCATCACAAAATGTAGCTTTTTATTTCATTGTAAAAATTAACATTTGGAGGATTTTAGGACGAAATCGGTTTTTAAATCCAGAACAGGATAGCCGAAGATCCACACTGTCACGTATCCTAGTTTGAAATTTTTTGTGGTATTTTGAGACTACCCCAAACCACAGGGTGCATCTTCCTTCAGCGCGCTATTGTGCGCAAATTTCTTGAACCAGCAGAATTTTTAAAATCTAAAAAAAATCTAAATCAGATTGCGTAAATTAAAGTATAGCTTCAGAAAGGGGATGCACTCAGGCATGTTTTGTATTTTCACGAAAGGTAACAGGTTTGTTATTATCTATAAGCAAATCACCTTATATAAAGTGTTTTTTCTTCAGATTTATAGTAGGTGTTACACATTATAAACGGTTTATATCTGATTACGATGTGGGAAAATTCCTATCCTACTATAGCTACTGACTCTGTCTATCATGGATATAATTAAATGCATGTCACGAGTTGAATATGCTTGCAATAATTTCTTGGAGATTTTGCCGTATTCTGATGGCGATAATTTAGTAGTTTTCATAGTTTTCTTATCTCTTTCCTAAGTTTACCACAACTCCACAAGATATAGTCACGGCAGTGCTCAACACCACCACATGCGCATGCATCAAAGAAATTGTTGAATTATTGAGCAGTATATGTTTTCATCTCGATACATTTTTTCATCATAAATAATTAGCCATTATTATCAGTTTGTCTTCCCCGGTGTCTCCACATTATTTGTGTATTTAGTATTTTTGTTTCAAAGGATTATTTTAATTCATTCAATTGTTCCTACAATTTCTAATCGATTTAAACCGGCCGAAATTCGTGTTTTTATTTTCGTCATGTCACATGCACAGAATTCAGAAACGTCTTCCCGATGCACGGGGTCTTATATTCGTGTGCAGTCGTGTATATTCTATGACCGTTAATCTCTATATAGTAATCCAAGGATTATATTTGTCTTAACTTTCCTTTGTTTTAAAGGAGCATGTTTGTTTATACTTTCAATTTGTTGATTTTCGACGATATCCAACCTCTAAATATCTTATTGTGATCTATTTAGTGGCACTGGATAACCTCGCATCATTTGATATATATTAAAGATGTCTGTGCAACAAGCCGCAGGACACCTATAGAAGCGGTCAGTCATGCATTCTTGAAAGGTCAAATTTGAGGTGATCATTTAACGATTGAATGCTCGTGCAGTTTGCGCGAGATGCGACAAGTTTGGTGCATTGATCCATGGCTAGCATTCAGTGCAGACCTTTCTGTATTCATACCAAAGAACTTGGTTCAGTTGACCGAGAAAAGGGAATTGGAAGTAAAGAGACCCCTCCTACTGCGCGGGAAACTAAAATCCCAATTTTACAACGCATCAGCGATGCTATTACTGGTGGTTTAGAGAGAACATTCTACAGGTAAATCCTGATTCTTCTGAGTTCATTTTTTCTACAATCACCTTTTCCTACTATAGTCGTGACTAATCTTGTTAGTGATCGACTGTTTTCAATGTTTTGCGACTCAAAGAATATAGCGTCATCGATGACCTTGACTGGCTTTTTTGAGTTAAATGCAACATGCCAAGCGTTAATAGGTAATGCTTTATAAACTTCATGATTTCCCCATAGGCCATAGGTTCGCCAATCAATCTATCCGCTATTATTAAAATATAATTACAATTTCAAAAATCTAAAAATTATTGCAATCGTTCAAGTCATGAAACAATCCATTAAAATAATCCCTTAAGAGTGATGATGATTCATCAGTGACGGGGCTTGCCGGTGTTTTCGTAACAGTATTTGGTAGAAAATAGAATTTTGTTTTACTCATCTTAAAATGCAAAACATAGACGCATAAACTTGACTTTTCATATAATACGAAAGATAAATATTATGAGCGCAAATTGACATATAGGTCATGCATGCATGTCTCTGATGAAAAAATGGTAGTACTTAAGATCAAGATCGGGTGTCCTCTGCTTGAAACACGCCACATCGTATTTTAACTTCAAACGACTGCAACAAAACATGAAAATAAGCATATTATGTTTTAGGTCACCCGTCACCTATAATGAAAATCATGATTCTTGATTCTTTTCCTCACGTGACATTTCGAGAGCCTCTTTAAAATAATTATTGAATATTTCGTAATGAAAAATCAAAGGTCCCGAGTAAATACTTCCAGACATTCACTAATTTAGCCTTTTTTCTATAAAAGAAAACCTTAGAAAAAAATTTATTTGACGTTGGATTTTATATTGATTCGCATTCAAGTCAGGGTTAGAAAATCTTTCCTTGAAAATCGGTTACTTCAGACGGAGATGACAGAAATGTGTCATTTTGTTTTGTGACCTTTCACTTCACTAAAACATCAAATATTATGAACTATTTCTTATTTATTGACATTTAAATATAAAGTATAACCTTGTGCCTCTACGGTATTTTCAAAATGCATACTCAATTAAAATCAATTAGTCATTTATCTTACTTGTCAGAGATGCGCCACCCGATAGAACTGGGCCTAGATATTTGATCTTTCTACTGTACTGTTTTGATTTTTTTGTGAAGAAAAAAAAAGTCTTCTGATAAAATTTTTAGCTATAGGTTCATAGATAGCTAGGCCTAGGTTGATAGAAATGGATTGAACCATATTTGACGGGAAATAAGTTACAATATATATTGCAATGAAAACCTGTAGCTTTGCCGGGTAAAAAGCAGTAAATGAGGTGTGATGAAATAATAGCTATTGTTTAATGTGTGCATGGCAATACAATAGTCTCTCGTGACAACAAGAATACGTTGTGACAGGATAAATCACGCTGCTAATAAACTTAATTATCGATGAAAATTAGCAACTAGCTAGAGCCGGTTTCTACAATTCTTCGATTGACATTTCAACATAAGAGCCTTCGTCAGAAAGTTAGTATGATAATGAAGGGTTCGTTATAGAGATCATATTTCGGCTGCAATTGTTAGGTCTTTATGTGCATGGTATTGGTTGTAATATAACAACTTAGCATCAAATGTGGTATAACAACTGCCTAAAATATACAAAACACTTCTCGACGTTTCGACCTGGGGCCTTCGTCAGGAGAGTTTTTTCATACTCTCCTGACGAAGGCCCTCAGGTCGAAGCGATGTCTTTTTCTGCTTGGTAGTTGGTAAGAAACCACATTTAATGCTATGGTGTTGGTTATATTCAACTGTGTCGAAAATGTGCATGGGATCATATCACTGGGTGAAGGACTGGCATAGGTTTTTTATGTGGTACCATTAGAATGAAGGATTAAATTGGAACCATGTTTGTCCACAACAGATTAAACAAAGCTAAAATTTCGTTTGACAGTGTTTGAAAACACTTAACTCAGCAGGGTGATTAAAGTGTCACATTGCTACAGTGCCCTAGAATGACACTGCGAGAGTGGAGAGTGCTGCTGTTAGAAGACAAATATAATTTACAATTTCATTCTTTGGTCTGATATAATAGACTATAATGGATATTAGAGGTTACTTGGTTGATAGAGATCCAGTGGATATTATACATTTGTGAGACTTAGCCAGGAAAAGTCAGAAAAAATGAAGCAACTATCGCTCTGTGATATAATGCCTCAGTCATAGATCAACTAATAACCCTTTTGATATTTATTTCCATCAATGCCCAAAACTTAATTACATTTATAATTTGCTGTTACGGGTAATGACTATACATTGAGTCCGCCGGAAAATGGCGTATTCGACCATGGTCAAGTCTGCCGGAAAATGGCGTATTCGACCATGGTTGAGTCCGCCGGAAAACGGCGTATTATATAGAATATATAGAATATATTCTTTTAACAAATAATTTATATAGATATCGTTGCCATTTCATCTTATTTCATTTCATCAGACTGGGTAAAAGCGTTGGTTCAAAACCTTGGATTACAATCATCGTATCGCTTATATTAAGTGCTGTATGTCTACTTGGTTTGTTGAACTTTCAAAAAGAAGGCAGGATAGAAAAGATGTGGGTTCCTGAGAAGTCTCAAGCTTTAAAAGACAAAGTTTGGGTTGAAGAAAGATTTCCGGAGAAATTTCATAGTTCTGTTCTTATCTTAAAACATCGTAATGTACTCACAGTTGAAACTCTGAACAAGGTTTGCAATTTTAATTTTCTAATAAATAGCGATTTATCTTTCAGTAATCAAATATCTTGGCCGAAACAGTGTAACGAAAAGACAAGTGCAGAATTTCGACATTCGGGCAATAATTTGGGGGCTTTTTCACATGCATAATAATTTATCATTTTGAAAAGTTTTGTACGGAGAACACATTTTTTTTCACAGATGATGGAAATTCATTCTCGTATTATAAATATCACCATACTATACGAAGGAAAGAAATTAAATTGGCAGAATATGTGTTTCAAGTAAGTTGATAGTGATAAGCAGGTTGGTTACCAAAAGACCAAAACTAAAACATAAATTTCCTAGTTCTTGATTTCTTTCTAATCAGTTCGTGATCATAAAAGGTTCTTTCAAAATGTATTGTTCAGTTTATTCACAATGGTCTATACGAATGGAACAAAACTCCCAGGAAAATAATAATTATAATTACATTTCCAACTGTAATTCCAACCAGTTTATTCCTATATAGCTACGACTAACGCACGGTAAATCAAATGACTCCAGGAGTATTAGAGAAACATTGTGACTGGATTTTTTCAAAATCTTTCGTTATGTTTGGATATTTTATAAAGGATTGGAGATAAATGTGCAATGCAGGGAATTCTTGAATTGTGGATGTTTAACAAGGCAAATCTTGAGAATAATTTGACCAATGGAGACATTCTTTCTGAGGTTAAGAAAAGACCAACCTTCAGGTATGGTATTTTTACAAATATTTGACATGTTGTGGTATGAAATCTGCGTGGCAAAATATCGCCTAATTTTCTATTTGCAGTCCGTATTCAAACAGACCGTTCAGTCTAGAACGAGTTGTTGGTGGAATATCATATGAAAATGGAAATATTTCTAGTGCGATAGCTCTCAAGGCATCCTATGCCATCGAGTCCAGATTGGAATTGGATAAATCTTCGAGAGAAGAAGTTAGGATCTGAACTGGATATTTTACATGCAATATCTATGACTATGTTGATGATGGAATCCCTGAACAAAATACATCTTTTCTCTCCTTTTCCAGGTCGACAAAAGAGCGATAATGTGGGAGAAGGAATTTGCTAACATTTTGGATGAATACCCTGACGTAGTGTATTACACCCACACAAAGTAAGTAAATTTACCGTGAGTGCGCGACAGGGGGCAAGGCCAGTGAGAGGGGGAAAAGGGTTGGGTTATAGAAGCAGGTGGGGCAAAATACCCGGGATCCGACCTGCTCAGAAGAGTCCGGTAATCTCTTTCAAAGTGGATACCATGCAATGGAAACCATGCAGGTTTTGCGATATACATTCTCAGTTGACTCATGCATATGCAACATTAGGTTATGGTACCGATGACGAAAAGTTCTGCCATCAATCCATTTTGCCAATTGTAACACTCGCAGTCCATATAACTACAATGAAACGCATTCTTGAGTACCGGAGTACTGCCAGGTTCAAATATTTAATAGCTTCATGAGCCAGTGAACTTTTACTCAGTATTTTATTTACTTCTCAAGGTTTCAAGCAACATCACAGGGCGCAATTAAGAACGATATAAAACTCTTGAGTATTGGTTACATCTTAGTCATTGCCTATGTTGCTCTTGTTATTGGAAAGTTTACCCGACTGGAAATAAAGGTAAAAGGAGCATGTCAGTTAATTTTAACATATGGAAGATATAAGATATTTGGTTTCCATCTGGCTGAAATTTCATAGTTTATATTTATTACTGTATATATTACTATACATCTAAATATAGATTTGTATCTTGATACTGCAGATTAGTTGACACCATTGACACTGATAATTAGTAATAGTTTGCAGTCTAGCATCTTCAAATAACAATTAAACCACAACATTACAGTCGACTATTCATGAACTGCCCTAAAATGCCCAAGAAAACTTATAATAGGGAAAGGCGAAAGGTTTTTTATCATGATAAGATGCTGAATTGTACATGCATTAATATTTCGATATATTCAGCGTCAGCGATATTCCGACGATAATGACTTGTTACTCTGTTTGTTTTATTAAAACAGTGTGGCAGTTTCAACTGCCAGAAAAATCGTTAAAAAAATCGTCGTTATAAAGACCTTCGTTATATAGGAAGCTCTCTCTTGACGAAGGCCGTTTGGTCAAAATTTTGTGAACTAAATTTTGTACACTGTAATATTTGATATTTGTAAACACATGGAATTCTGATGTACTTCTTTAGGTATGGCTGGCATGTGTCGGTGTGTTTGGTGTTGCAATGTCAATTGGTGTGGCTGTAGGTCTCTGTAGTGCCATGGGATTGCTGTTTGGGTCTGCTCATTTAACTTTACCTTTTCTTCTGCTTGGTAAGAAACTCAGTGATATTGCGTAATGAAATGTGAAACCAAAATATTGTAAAAAGGGGCAAATCAGGCGAAGACAACTGTTTTTGCTAACCATTGACAACCTACTTATTTTTGTTTTAACAATGAACCAATCAGAACTTTCACAAAAGTTTTAAAATATTTCTATTGAGTGGATATATAAGCCCCGTTTACACTACACTCAATTTATTGGCACGGCACGGCAAAAATGGGCACCCGTGCCCATTTCACCTGTACTCGGCCTTTGTTTTGGTAGCCTGAACACTGATAAAATTGGGTACAGGTGCCCATTTTAGCCGTGCCGTGCTGATAAATTCAGTGTAGTGTAAACGGGGCTATAGACTATAATTGTTGAAATGGAATTAGGTGTAACAAACAAACAAGCACCAAGCTTAAAAAAATTCTGGGAAAATCTCTTAAACTGTTTCTTTGTTATCTTTAGTTTGACTGAGTTTTTAAAGTTTATGCTCAAATTCAGGTATTGGCGTCGATGATTTATTTGTAATCGTTCAGTCTTGGTCCAACATCTCCTCTGCTGTTCATCGCAGTAGATCAATTGAAGAGAGGATTGGTATTGCAGTAAAAAATTCGGTAAGTGAGGAAAAATTCATACATTGAAATAGAAATAAAATAAAATGCCCCTGGGCAAAACGTTGCCTTATTCGCGTGTCGATCAGATCCAGATGACACGTGATACTGATATCAAATGCATTCCAGTATCATGATATAAACTGAAGGCCTCAAGCTAATTGATTGTGTTACATCGCGTTCGATGCTAGATAAACACCAACACTAGATGCATTTTCTAAACTGAAGGCCTTATTATGTTCTAGGGAACATCAATAACTGTGACAACTGTTACTGACGTGTTAGCTTTTCTAATTGGAGGAACAACTGTAAGCAAAAAACAAACACTTTCATTCATTTCCACCAGCATGAGTGATGAGTATCTACTTTCCTATACTACATTCTGAGGTACGCTAATTTCACACATGAAAAAATATATCCACCTAAGATCAGATTTGATGATATTTCCTTAGATTCTACCTGGCTTAAAGTCATTTTGTTTTTACGCAGCCGTTGGTGAGTTCAATTTCTAAGAAAGTAATTTTAAAAATTTTTCACGAATCGTTTTCACAACAGCTCAATCGAATTTCTAGAGGTTTCTTTTATCAGGTTTACTTGCACAGTTGTACTCACTTCTTTCCACAATAAAATATAAAACAGCCGTAATACGTTGTCAGTGGAGGTTAATTCACTTCTTTCTTACGAATAATAACTCAAACATACCCGGTCCTCACCGTTTTATTCTGTTTAGGAATTCTTTCAGGATATTTATTTCAACTTACGTTCTTTGTTGGATGGTTGACAATTGACGCCAGAAGGTATAATTATTATAAATTCATTTATAATTATGTTTTTCACTTTTTTTCCTTTCCTTTTTTCCTTTCCTCAATCTCTTCACCTGTTCTTCACTGTCCTTCCTACTCCACTCTCCCCATGCGCTCGCGACTTGTGACTGACGAATATCGTATGTTAATTCCCAGGCAGAGCCAAAATCGTGATGGATGTCTGAATTGTGTCATACTATCGTCTAATTACACTCCAAATAAATTTGGGACGGTGGAATACGCACGTCTTTTCTTTGAGAAAATATACGCAAGAATTTTGACAAAATTGCCAGTGAAGGTAGTATGTTCTTATATATATATATATATATATATATATATATATATATATATATATATATATATATATATATATACGCAGCATTGGTCCTGCCGTGTGGAATGGTGGATTTAGTACATTCCTTGCAATTGTACTATATATATATATATATATATATATATATATATATATATATATATATATATCGCTTTATGTAACGAGGATATAAAGATTAAGCATAGCTAGTTATCATCCATATTTTCAGATCATTGTTTTGCTGCTTGTTGCCATCTTTCTGGGTGTGAATATCACAGGAAGTTCATTGCTGCGTCAGCATTTTGAACCTAAATGGATTATACCACGTGACTCAGTTATCAGACAATATTTAGAAATTGACGGAGAGGTATTGATAGCATCGTTAAGTCTAGAAATGTTCTCAGGTCTTAGTTAGGCCTAGGTTATACGTCGCATTTTGGTCGCGCAGAATGAAATTCAAATAATGAGATTATAATGAGGCTTTCTGAGGTTTATCATTAATTCATTATCTATTGTTTGAATTGTATTCGACGCGACGAAAATGCGACGTATCTACAGGGTGTCCCAAAAAAAACGAAAACTATTGAAATCACCTATAACAATGCAATTGTTAGAGTTTGAATGCCTAAGCACTTTGTTGGGCCCACAAGTGTATAAATCGGGGTTGCCATAAGCATTTTTATGCATGCATATGATGCAGTCAAATTTGCTTGTTCGCAAAAATGATATTTATTAACAATATTTACAATTTACAAATATGGATAACATTATTTAAATGTGCATTTCAAGGACCATGTCCTTCGACATGTCCCCTTTCTCTAGCAGCAAAAAGCATTTAGCATTTTATAAGCTGCATTAAATCCCCACGGGCTGAAATTCGTGAACACGGCATTCAAATTCTAACAATGAGTGATTTCAATAGTTTTCGTTTTTTTTGGGACACCCTGTATAACCTATAGGCGTCATTGATCACTGAATCGACATCGATATGACAAAGAAATTTATTCAAAGCACTTCATTCTCCAACAGTAGTGGAAATCAGAGTTTCACTAAACAAGAGAAAAAGTAATTAATCACAAATTTGCGAGAGCCGCCTTTTGTGAAACAGTATTTCTAAATTAACATGTTTGTTCATTTGCCCACGAGGGTGAAAAGATACGATTTTCATCAGGATTTTTCATTGAACTTGTGTTTGCTTATTTTTTCTCCACATTGCACGTCATTCAACAGCAAAAAGCTAAATCTATCCTAATCTATAACACCGCGGGTTAATCAAGTAAGTTACGCAGAATTGCAGGCTATAAGGTTTGGCTAATACATATTCTGTAATCGCCTGTTTGAGAACTATAACGCCTATAATAACGAGGTTTTAATTTGTATATGTGTTTGACTACACTTTATTTTGATGTTTAGGAGTTCCCGCATAACGGAAATCCAGTTGCTATTTATACTGGTAAGAAAAGCAATACCAATATCTAATTTTTATTCCAATAGTTATAGAAAGCATCGAGAAACCTTACGTTGCCGTTATTACAGCTTTTATAGCGCTGTAGGCCGCACAATGGCCGCATGTGATTGTATACATTTTCATTTCATACTGTTTTAAGGTAAAATGGATTATTACGAAGAACAAATAAAGCTGCATAATCTTTACAGTGAACTTCAAAATGAGACTGAGGGTTTATCCAGTAATAGTGTTGAGAGTTGGTATGAGGAATACGTGAAATGGATGAAACAAAATAAACCAGAATATGTCGATCTCACCAACTCAAGTATGTGATTCATCAAATGTGTTTTTAGTCAACAATAACAATTTAAATACCGGCAGAGAATAAACAAAGTCCCATCAGCTTATTTTCGACAATTACGACTATATAATATGAATAGTCTGGTTACTCTGGTATAGTCTGCTATTCATCTGTGATGTAGATTTTTTTATCCAAGGCAAAAGTGCCAACATTTCACCATTTTAAATTTGTATTCCAGCGATTAATAATCGAGAAGCGTTCTATTATAACCTGAAAGTATTTCTCAATCAAACCGAAGGAAGGAAGTTCGCCAGTCATATCAAGTGGAATGATGCAGGAGACGGGATTGAGGTGAGCCAGCAAGACTGATATCACAAATGAAAATTTCGACGCCCGAAACAAGGCCTACGAAGTAGTTACCGGCTGATTATTGACCGAGCGTGAGGTTTGTACTGTGAAGTCTGTATGGACCGATCGCAAGCGATGCAGTAGAGAGGTCCATGCAAAAAAACCTCTGTCTGATATTTCACAGCACAGACAGAACAAACGAGGTCAATTGTATTTTCACACACGCACGATCCCGTAGGTTTATCACTGGTATAGGGATTTCAAATTGGGTAAAGAATTTTGTGTTTATTAGCATATACTGCATGTAGCTGTTGCGGTCGTGCGGGGTCATACGTCATCAGCATTTCCCTAAGTTCTATATCGATACTTCATATGAAATAGAAGAGAAATATTTCTTGGAAATTTCACCGTCTAATTTCCTGCAGGCCTCGCGTTTCTCAGCGCTACAACGTAATTACGCTGACTCCGTGGAAGAGGTGAAAGCAATGGACTCGTTAAGAAATCTGGTGAAGAGCATTAAAATATCCCCTAAAGCGAGAGTGTATGGATTTTCCTACTTGTGGGCTGAAAGTTACAAGGTAAACCTCAAGAGATTTCTAATCGTATAGATCGCTGGTGTGCGAGCAAACTATGACACCTTCAGGAAAGGGTTGCATCGTTCCAGTCTTCCAGACGAGATTGACAGTTTCATATTATAACATAGGCATTTCCTAGGAGGAGGTGGACCAAGATCCACCGAACGAGTGGCAAAAGTTGCGAGCCCAGCGTGGGTTATTTAGAGGCATGTCTCACCAGAGAATTTGTAATATACTTAACTATCAGAAACGGGAATTGTCGCATTTTGGGTTGAAAATTTTTCTATCAACTTAATTTGCCCGACTTACCCCAGTTTCTGCTCCGGCAATCTGAGCAGCAATGAATCTGATTGTTATATGCATAGTTATATCTAATTTTACTATGAATTAAGAGAAATCTGACGCATAATGCTTTTGGGCAAATCGTATTGACGTACTGCACATAATGGTCATAAATATTATTTCTTTGACACCATATTACATTTTGGAACCCCCTACACCATTGAAAACTACCGTCCAACGTCAGTAGCGATATATTCTTCTCTTCTCTTCAGGTTATAGCGACAGAGTTGTACCGAAATGTTCTTCTTGCCATGTTGGTCGTATTTTTTGTAACGTTTCTGATTATTGCCAATCCTCTAACGTCATTTCTCGTCTTTCTTTGTGTTGTTTTTACCATTGTAAGTACGAGGTTAACATCATTACAGTTATCACTTTTCGCTGGTAAAAGTAGTACATAAACTGGTTGTCTAGGTTGAAAACACTTCCAGGTATGACGATGCGCCTTTCTCTCAGCTTTAAATCTTTGACTCTGTATCATTTCTATAGATTAACGTTGCTGGTCTGATGTATTATTGGGGTTTAACCATCGATGTTGTATCAACCATCATTTTGGTGATTGGTGTTGGTTTGTCTGTTGATTATGCGTCACATGTTGGACATTCTTACTTGGTTCAAACTGGAAGCTCAAATGGTAACAATGATTCATTTAAATTGTTATAAATCGCAATCAGAATTTGTCTCGACTCGATGTAAGGTAATCCGAAATCTGACCACTTTTGACTTTGCAGTAGTTTATAATGTGCAATCCGGACAGAAGTATTCAGGATTTTAGGAATCAGGAATCCTAACTATCACCAATGTATTGAAGTTTCGAAACTTCTAAGCTAAAAACTTCTAAACCAACGCGCTACTATATGAAGCTCTGGCGATTGAGAGTTTTGTTGCTTATATAGAAAGAACAACAAAGTCGCTACGCAGCATTGGTCCTGCCGTGTGGAATGGTGGATTTAGTACATTCCTTGCAATTGTACTTTTACCATCTTCTGAATCTTATGTCTTTATAACTTTCTTTAAAGTAAGTAATTTGGGAAATCAGCCCGTCTCAAGTATCGTCAGACTTTGCTTCATCATTTTGTCCCCCCTACCTTCCCAGGTCTGGCCTGCCCCTGCCCCTGTATTGAAATATCGTCCCTATATATACTTGCACGAAGTGTGTATCAAGCTACTGTATCACAATGACCAACAGCACGGGATAAGAGACCAAGCAAACTTGGTTTCTATACATTTTTGCAGGTTTTATGTGGAGTCGTAATATTTGGCTTATTTCACGGCCTGGCATTCCTGCCAGTGATGTTGTCCATTCTCTCTCCTCCTCCGTATAAATCCGCTTTGGAGAACACAAGCAGTTGGCCGGAGGCCTGGAGTGGATCTCGTCGTGCTGCTAAAGTGATACCCTTGCAAGTGAAGCCAAGTGATGCAGTGAGAAAAGACGATACAAATAACAACAAGAATGATTGCATGGAAGGCAAATACTAAAAATATAGAAATGAAGTTTTCGCAGATTTTTTAACTTTATGCACAGCTAATGGCATATCCGTGCACGACTGTATCACCGTGCAGGAACAGTCAGTCAGACCACTTCACTCGGAACCTTTTTTTTGTCCCCCAGCCGCGCATCCCTTTGCATGTTGTCTGAAAATATTCTTTGCCAGCAACACGTGAATTTACCATATTTACCAATAAATACGACAAGTGACAGGCATATGTAGCACTAGCACTATTGCCATCGGAAGATACCTTGTTTTTTCAAAAGACATGTCTGTATTGGTGGTAGTCATATGATAATACAGAGGCAGGAACATTTGAGAGTTAAGACAAACCCAAGACGGCAAGAGTGTTTTATCCTAATAATAGTGAGCCGCATGCCGTTTTTCAATTTGATTTGTTGTTCAATTTATGAATGATGTTCAAATCTCTGACCAGACGATGTATGCAGTCTTTTTTTCTTATCATTTGCCCACGTAGGCGTTAATAGTAGTAGCTTTTGTAGAAAGCCTGCGGTAATAAATATAAGCAAATTTTTCGTGTGCTGCGAAAGAAAAGGATATCGTATTTTCTACATGTGATATTACAATATTTTTAAGCTAAATATATTAAATTCAAATGCGCAAATGATCAAACGTACATTTCAAAGTGAAAATAAACCCATTGTAAATAAATCAATCATGGTATCACAGATCTACTGGCTCATACTTTTTCTAGATAATCATCCACTTATGAATATATTATGAATTATAACTGAACAATAAGTTGCTTACCTTTGTCCTACTGCAGCGTAGGCAATTCCTCAACAAATCGACTATTTGAAATTTGAATAAAGAATTATTCATTAATTTTTTGATAATTCATTTCTCTTCTTTTTTCATGTCTCGTTTAGCAGATTTCAGCTGTCTAACCGCCTGTCTAACGCTTCCTACATCCGCCCACAATAAGGTGTTTGCTCGGCATGAATGATTAAATTACTGAGTCACTAAAGACGATTGATTATCGGGAGACTGCTGTTATTAAATAATTGTCCTGCTGCAAAACTTGTTGAATTCTGACAGGTAAGAATCACTATACTCTATGTTGTTTGCTACTGTACGAATTGCAATCCCACTAAGATTTTATAGTCTATACAATATCTTGCATGTGCTGGAGGAGATTTTATTTGCCAGCATATTTTTTAAGGATTTGGACTTGCGGCTAGTTTCAGCTTACTGAACCACACTTAATTTCTTTTGGCGTACAATAAGGTCCAGCCCACCTTTCAGACATTTTTGAACTATTCATCGTCAAATTTTTTAAACTTCTGCTGGTTGATGAAATATTATTGAATCAAAAACGAACTCAATTGCAAAATTAAAAAGGTTTGTTCTATGCGCGGACACTATATAGTACTCGTGCCCACTGCCCCTTCGCGTCTCGCCAGCCGTAGAAATTGATCAAATGTACTCCCCTCACAGTCTTCCCCCATCAACCGTTCTCTTCCCCCCCTGAATGTTTTCAGATCGACTGTAACATCAGATATTTATGAGTTATGTCGCCTTGATAAAAAGCATCTTGTTTCGCGCAACTAGGCTAGTCGCAGCAGTATAAAAGCCTACACCGTATTGGATTTATTGCCTTAAAATAAATTTTCCTATAAAGAAAGATTTGAGCATTTACATATTCGTCGATGAGTCCACGGGACACGCGTATTCTGCAATTTAGCCGACCATGCATCGTGTGAGAAGGTTGGAATTTGCCGACGAGCTGCCAGTATTTAGGTAATCATATTTGACCGTTTATATTCAGGTAGTCTCGTTAACTGTGGTTACACAGACACACCATGAAGCCGCTATATTGTTGTTGCATTGAAAACATCTAAAATATATCAAATATAGTTGTACTGAATAAAAATATAATCAGTCATGATTATGTTTCTACTCAAATGATCAGTATGAAGTCTATAAACCAACAGCAGTTATGGCCTTATGGCTGATAAGAAACACAGATATGTATGGTGTCACGTGTTGTTATGTAATATAACTAAGTTACAAACAGGTTACGTAATAGCTACACATGCGACTGATTCACGTGAGTTTGAGTTCGTTCATATTGAACAAACGTTAATGACGTCATAAGTTTAGCACTGTATCAGAGATCAGATGTATATGCAAACGAATGTCTTTGCCTCTAAAACCTAATCGCAACCATATCTTTTGGTTAGATCCGAGTTTCATTTTCTTCAAGCATATTATGCAGCCAACTCCGTTTTTTTATATAATCAAGGTTGAAGCGAAACGAAGCGTTTACCTGTTCAACCAGATTAACTGGTTTAACCAGTCTAACGCGCTGCGTTCAGCTGACAGCCTTGATATCATGCTTTTCAGCAAGGTCAGCAACATAGCTAGAATTTTCTGCGTACCTCTTACGTTCTTGTTACGCCCGTACAAAAAACGCGACAAACGAAACCCGCCCTTTAGGCTGCCCTGACTCTGTCTCTGTGTATGAAATTTATCCCAGCTAAAATCATTTGCCCACGGCATATGGTCATAACTAATTGGGATTGAGATTAAAGCTACGAACCGTTTGCTCAAGGTGTTACTTAGACTTAAGGTTAATTGCAAAAGATCTCTTTTTGCCACGAAACTGGTTCCTTGACAACACGATAAAATGCGAAATAATAAGCACGTCTCATATCAATATTAATTTTTATTGAGTTGTCAAAAGAGTTTGCATCAGTCATATCAAAGTACTGTGGCAGGTAACATCTCTGACAGAGAAACTAAAAGAAGTGGTTAGAAAAAGAAAAAGAGAAACTAAACAGATCGAAGTAATATTTTAATCGACTTTTACTGTAATTAAGCGTCTCATACTTGATCATCAAAATCAGTATCTAGATCCACCCCTGACTTGATGGGAACAAACCATAGAAATAATAGACAAATAATGTCGACTACTATTTCTATGGACAAACTTTTTAAAATAGAAACGCGCGTGCGTTATCTTTGAATGACGCGTGCAGAGTCAGTTGTGTTGTGCAGGTACCAAAGAGTGATTGGAATTAATTATAGACTTTATTTTATAGACGTAGACATTGAGGGAGTGAATCTTTGTTGTACTTATTTCCAACAGTGGTTCCTGTCGCCTCGAACTTTTTCATTGATCAATAATCAGGTATGTTTGGTGTCAATAGTCTGTGAGAACTACGCTGCCTGAGTATAATATTATAGATGGTTATAAGATTCATTTAACCTAAGGAGTGTGGTCCTTCATACAGGACAAAGTCTAATGTCTAATGCAAACGACTTTCAAAACTTGTGTCAAACTTGTTGCGACACATTTCATCATTTACCGGAAAACAACAGGTAGAATGTTAAGGCAGTCACAAAGCGGAATCCAAGTGCTGACTCATTATACACAATCACACAACAATAAAATAACTATACAATATCGTCCGAAAATAAAGAACTTTCAGTTGAAATTAAGATGTTGCTAGCCAGTTGGTTTTAACATAAAGATATTCTCTCTTAGTCTTATTATAAACAGTTCCGTTGCTATTCGTGATACTAGTTAGGAGAATCCGATCATTGCATGTCATTTTAAGGAAGGCATTTTGTGTGTCAGTGTCCACCTTATTACCTTGATCACCTTCATTCACAAGAATGACAGGATGAGTTTAATTTCTAAACTAAACTGACGACTTACATGCAAGCAACTTATTAAAATCCAAAGCCGGCAGTGAGGTAGGGAATAAACGAACCGGGCCGGCTACACTATACTGAAAGTTCGATATCACAAAGAATTAAAAGGAATAATGAATCTTACAATGATTGTATTCTTCAGCTTTGCTTGGCTTGACTTTATGTTATAGTTATATCTCAATGCAACACTGCCAACAGTTGCAGATATTTTTCACTCTAAGCTAGTCGCTGGATCAAGACTAATGGAAAAGTCTTATTCTTTTGATTCTAAAAGCATGTATGTGTAAATTATTGGTACCATTTTAACATTTTAATACATCATTTTCTCTGCCGCATCGTGCATTGTGCTTTAATACACCCCCGCCAAAGTCCACCCGCTGAAAACCTCAACTTGTAGTTGCGTGTAATATATTCATACACGTAACATCTAAAACATTGTTTTGACTACCCGGGTCGATAAAAATCTCTCCATCAGTATACGAAGATATCCGCTGCTTTGGTAAGTTTGGCAAGTAAGATGAATTTTTCTACATTTCGACTGAATATATTCATTTTAGTATATCACTATACATTGGTTTGTGTCTTGTGAACTTCAGTCCTAATAAGTAATGTCTTGCTATTGAAATACGACTGAGATATTGCAGTTTTAATATCAGTTCGTTGAGTAGATTGGAATATGACTTTCTCAGGTTTCTGTAAACAAAATTTATATCACAACATTATTAGCGATATTGTTAATAATAACATATAACACTTCACGTCACTATCGAAGTATATATTTTAAAAAATCGTGGAACTGAAGTGGGCATAAGCGACCGTAGCGGACGTACTGTCATTGCAAATTTCTTTCTCATTTAATTTTGTGAATATATTATTACTGCTATAAATATGAATAGTGCCATAAAAATTTCAATAACAATAACTTAGCTGCATCCTCTCGATATATTTTCTTTTAGTGATGCCATCACGGCACACTTGACGTTTATACTCAATACTGTTATATTGAAAATATTTAAAATAAACGGAACCTGAAGAGTAAAGTAAAGGCAAAGACCTGGAATTATGTCATCAAACGCGGAATGCAAAACCCAAGAAGCAAACGAGAAAGGAATATTACAAAAGATTAGTCGCATCATTACCGGTACTTTGGAGAACATTTTCTACAGGCAAGTTATATGTTTTTCGATCGCTATGTTATAAGTATTGTATACGTGAATATTATGACATGGAGTATTGCGTATTGGTCAAATTGGTCATCGTATTTTGTGACTTCTGTCGCCAGAGAAATTTTCCCCATCATGTTTCCAATATTCCTATAATTATTTGCTTTCTTATGTGCCAAGCCAGGCCATGGTTGTGATTGATTAATGTCAATAAGTCAATTCTCATGCCTCCATCCCTCATTCTACTTTTGTAAAACATTTAATTTCACTCTTTTTTTGTCCGGCAATGCCATCTTGGTATTGGCATTAATTGGCAGAAGTGTCTTCTAAAAATGCAGATTAATTAGGTATATACATGTAGTTTAGACTTGCAGATCACTGATTGCCAGTCGCCACGATCTATGTAACGTTGGTAAATGGTAATTAATTGTAACGTTTTATATTGGATATTGGCCTTTCAGTAAAATATCTATCAAAGGCAATCGAGTCGCAATTTGTTAAAACAAGTGAGGCTCTTGAACTTCTTCATTGACGGAAGAATATAGTGACTGAGAACTAGTGAAAAATTATTTGAATTCCTGAAGAATATCGCAAGGAAAGATAATGTTAAGTCAATTGAAAAGTTTTAATTTGTGAGAGTCTTGCATTTTAATATCGTGATATTCACCATGCAGCTGTGATCAAGTTTCTGGCCACGCGTTAGTAAGACAAGATCGTAATAGCAAGCGTGGTGGTGGAACAGCGATTTTTGAAATAGCGAATCATTTTTAACTCTTTCAATTTGATTTTATTGATAGGAAAACATGTTATAGAAACATAGCTACGTAATACGTATACATGCATGGTCCAACATCTGGTACTTTAGAAACCTGTTTTGAATACACATTTTAAAACTACATCATAATTATATCATCTCAACTAAGGTCTGGACCACTTGTAATGGACCACTAACTACCAACAATTGACATCATACGATGAATTATCATAATGAAGACGACATTGGCTTTAAGATCGGAAGATCTAAAGAATAAATTGAATTTTTCACAATTTAATGAACAATAGTTACAATATAGCTCCCAAACATTAATTTCTATTACAACAATCAACAGTAACTAGCTGTCACTCATAGAAATTGTTGATTTGTTTATGCATTTTAAAGTTATTAACGATTTCAGTTTCTGTCCCCATATTGCATTGCGTGCCATCGCCAGGGGAGGGGGTAGGCGCGTCTCCTAACGTTATATTCAATACTGTTAAGATTATCTTAAATTCGCTGAGAAAATGTTATGCTTTAGGCATTACGTCAGAAAGCTTTTCCCTCCGGCACTGAAGTCGTGGTTTGAAGCAAAAATGGTTTCGCCCCCACATAGTTTTGGATTTTCCAGCCATATACTTCACATAAAGAATAGTGAATTTCTACTTCTAAACGCCATTTCTTCTCTTCCTCAATTTTCAATAATCTAGGCTTGGTAGAACTGTAGGTGGGAGTCCATGGATCACCATTCTGGTATCACTGCTTCTTTGTGGTGCCTGTATGGCGGGATTTCTGAGGTTTGAACAAGAAAGTCGTGGAGAGAAGCTCTGGGTCCCTCAGGATTCCAAAGCTCAGGATGATAAAGAATGGGTTGAAAAAATGTTCCCGGAGGAATCAGGTCAAGTGAATTTTATCCTTGAAAAATCAAATGTTTTAAAAGCCGAAGTGATACAACAGGTAGGATGATTGAATTCTAATGTTAAACCACTTCGTAACTTGCTTATCAACCGCACGCAATCAGTTGAAATTTTGCTATTGTATATATATAGGTATTTAAAATTCATCAAGAGGTTATGAATATAACAATAACATTTGAGAACAAGTCTCTTGAGTGGAAAGACATCTGTTTCAGGTACGTTTAATTAAGGAACCTTATTACTTGTCATTCCATTATCCTGTTTACAAACGCCGATTTTCATTTACATTTACCTATATGCATGGTGTTCTGATCCAATTTCACCTTATTGTTATAATTGTTCTGGTAAAAGAAGTAAATTTTTGTATGAAAAGGTTTAGCTGTTCCAGACGGTGACGGTGACAAGGATATATCAGGAATTTATCTTTTGTACAAAAAGATTTCACTACAGCAATACCTTCTAGCCGAGTCTTGGTTCTCCAGTTAATATGTTAAAAAGTTCCTTCTTGTATCTGAAGCTCATTTTTTAAAAAACAATTTAATGTTTCAGAAAGGGAGATATATGTTCCCTTGCATCTATTCTGGAACTGTGGTCCTTTGATGAAAATACGATAAATTCGTTAAATGATGATAAAGTATTAGAAGACATTAATAACAGAGGTCCTTTAAGGTAATGATTTCGGGCAGTCATACCAGCTCATTCATGACTGAATAACTCATTCTATTATTTATGTCTGGAGGATGATATTTGCAAAACTATAGTAATATAAAACTGTTCCACTGTTACCATTTTATTTTTCAGTCCATATTCTAAAAGCGCGTTCAACATAGCCAGACTTCTGGCAGATATTAGTTATAAGAATGGAAGTATACGTGGGGCGAAGTTTCTTAAAGCATCGTATTTCTATGAACGGCTTCCATCCTTGATAGACCCGACGGATAATGTAAGAGGATTATTAAAGTGTATTTAGCAAATGCTGAAAATAGTTTATTACATTTTGGAAATGTCCTGTATTATATGATGCTTGTTATGTGGGTCAAGAGCATGCAACAGAACTAAAACATCATTTACTTTATTTGGATACCAAGGTTGATCCCCGCGGAGGGAAATGGGAAGAAGCATTTGGAAAAATTGTGGAAAAGTACAGTGATTTACTGTATATGACAAGAACAAAGTGAGGTTTTAGAATATTAATTTCTGTCGAGTATTTTGAAGATGTTTATCACCAGAATCTTTTTAACTATATAATGCGGGTATAAGCCCTTCAGCCTCTTTTTATAAAAGCATTTTTTTCTTTCATGATGTCACCATTCCGAATTGCCGTCAGCTTTCTACGTTGTCACACATCATGATCGTTGAAAGATCAATCTTGACGTTGAGAGTGAATCTAAAAAAACGTTGCTAAACGGTCCTCATCATCCCTTTGGAATGGAGTGACCTACGTCAAATTCGTAGCATAATGTAAAACATTTATTATTTCTACAGATTCAGAGAAATCTCTTCTGACGCTATCGCTGGCGATGTTATTCTTCTCACAACGGGATATTTTATCATTCTGCTTTACGTCATTATTATTCTGGGTAAATTTACCAGATTGGAAATTAAGGTAAATTCTATTTTTGATGAAATATTGAATTTTAACCAAGTTCATTAATTCACCGAAGAAATAATTCATAACTATCATTACTATGCTATTTCTTCTCCATTCTTTCAATATTTTTATATCTTTTATACAATACAATCCCTTCATTCCACTCAGACCTCTGTTTCACTTGATTTATTTTGATATTTTGTATTCAATGTTAAAGAAATTAATTTTCCCTTTTTCTTGGTCAGGCCTGGGTAGCACTTGGTGGTATTATAAGTGTAGGATTATCAGTCGGTGTATCGATGGGTCTCTGCAGTGCTTTTGGATTTTTTTATGGACCTGCTCACACAACGCTGCCATTTCTTTTACTTGGTATGGATTATAGTCAATATATAAGAGCCAATAATATATCGTCGTTGATAATATTGCATCAATGAATTTATCTTTTATTGTTATATTAAGGTATTGGCGTGGATGATCTTTTCGTCATCGTTCAGTCTTGGTCCAATATGCCAGATAATATTCATAAAAGTGAAAGCGTTCAAGAGAGAATTGGTTTGGCGTTGAAACATGCGGTACGAGTCTTATATCGTTTTGTATTTCATTTTAATGTTATTACTTTCCTTCGGTAACTTGGTAATGTGATCATTATTTTTGTTGCCAGGGACCTTCCATAACAATAACGACGTTAACTGATTTATTGGCTTTTCTTGTTGGTGTAACAACGGTAAGAATGTTTTATACATAGATTTTGCTTGCAAAGTACTAAAGCTAGGGCGTAGAATGCTTTAACAGTTTTAAAGTGTGATATCTAATGCCGCAGAATGTTAATATTGATGTTCACATGCTATTATTTAACAAAAGCCAAACAATACAAAGTAGATTTTTTCTTGGCATTTAGATAATCCCTGGTCTTCGGTCTTTTTGCTTCTATGCAGCTGTAGGTGAGATTCCAATCTTGCTGGTTTATATTTAGGCCAAGAGGATGTAGTACCACTCATCACTTTAGTCTTCAGCATCATCTCTCCCACCCAGACTCTTCTTCGGTGCCATTTGTGGATGAACCTTCATGATATAATATACAGTTTAATAGATAATACTAAGTGTTGTATCACACTGATCTTAAAACAGTCATTTTCATCTTTTAGGAATTCTTTGTGATTATATTTTGCAAACAACATTTTTCGTAGCCTGGCTGTCAATTGATGCCAGAAGGTATACATAATATATTTAGCACAGTGGTGAAGCTACTTTTTATTACGCCAGTTTCGCCTATCCGTTCTTTGATTAAATTTATTTTTGCGAACACATCTACCTGTAGAAGCAAATTTCCAAATGCTGCTTCCGTGCTTCGCCCATGCGAGCAAAGAAGACGTGATGGAAACGGCAGTCTTACTTAATGCGTCACATATATATTGGACGGTTGCAATTGACAAGTTTATTGATATATTCTCTCTTTCTCTAATTCTCATCTTATCATGCAGAGCTGACAAGCATCGTGATGGTTGCTGTTGTTGCTGCATTCTTCCTCAAGATTATAAACCAAATGAATGTGGGGAGAAGAGTTATTTGCAAATATTCTATGAAAAAGTAATTGGTTCCGGCGTTGTGAAACTACCAGTAAAGGTATTTATCGAGCCAGCATTTTCATGCCACTGCTGCTTTCCCAATTTTATATATCAACAGGAGAAACTATATTTACAATTGTGTTTTTTGTATCATTGTATGACGATCCTTCGCACTTTTAAATTCAGATCTGTTTATTTTCAGATATTTATTTTCCTCATTGTTATCGCCCTTCTCGGTGTAAATATTTACGGTACAACAGAATTAAAGCAACAGTTTGAACCAAAATGGTTTCTTCCTCCCGGTACTATTGTCAGGGATTACATGGACCTGAATGACGAGGTGATGAAATCCCACCACTCTTCAGTTTAACTCTTCGTCACTGTCGTGACATTTGCAGTAATTTCATTTTAAACGTCATGAAATGATAATCTTTTCCTTGTCTAACGAACTACCCTATGTACCGCCATTCACTACCTCTGCACGCACGTGTAATACTCGGAAGCACTTAATATGTTCAACTTCTAATGCTGGGTCGATTTCATCTTACAGAAATTTGTCCAAGGTGGATCACCCATCGCTTTTTATACAGGTCAGTAAATATTCACCAAACGACAGTGTGAGTGAAATATTTCTTTGTTTTATTGAAATATTGCTGTCGTTCGTCGAAACTTGATGAATCGTGGTAAATGAACATTTAAGCCTGATTCTCATATGTCACCGACGGTCGGCGATGGCTATTGTCAGTGATCACTGGAGAATAAAGTGCTCTCTTATTTATAATTTGAATAAATTTTCTTCGGGAGAATCAGGCTTTAGTATCCTGTGTCGACCTCTTTAGCAAATAAACCATGAAAAACTAATGTGAAAAAATAAAAAATACGAAGAGTGAATTCACAATATTAATGTATACCCGAAAATGAAGACTCCATATGCATGTTTCAACCTCAGGCATATAAACACATCACTGAAGAAAAGGCTAGCTAATTACGATTACTCCATAGTCGGTCCATGGACCATCATCTTAACGCATGTTGCTTTACTGAAGTCAATTTCGGCAATAAGGATATCGACGAGGTATAATAATTGTCTTGTCTTTTCAAAGGATCGATTAACTACTTCAAAGAACAAAAACAACTACACGAAACTAAACTTCAAAGAACAAAAACAAACAACGTACTTGTCAGAGAATACTATCGACAGTTGGTATGAAAAATACATAGAATGGGCGAATAAAAGTGTACCAGATTCTGTGTACAATACAAGTAAGTATATACACTACTTGAATATACATGTTCTGTACACTACCGTTTCATTAGGATTTCATTTATAGCCATGCAATGCATTTGTAAATGTCAAATAAGTGATATTAAAACAAATGTATGCACCCTTATCCTTCCCTTATCCCCAACTAAACTTTTATTTACGGTCCTGGTCATGTTTTGCCGATCTTCTAGAGAATTTCTCCCTGAGATTCTTGCACTCATGCATGTGTATATGAAATACGTTAAAAACAGATGAAACATTAACTTTTTTGATCTATCCTATAGGCCGAACTATCAAGACTGAGTCTCAATTTTATACCGAGTTGAAAAGTTTTCTAAATAGTTCAAATGGAAAACGATTCACCAACGACATCGTATGGAATAAACAAAAGACTGAAATTGTGGTAGGTCAGCGTCTAGAAAACGTGTTTTTTGCTTTAAGCATCAATCTTTCTCGACTGAAAACACTATTGCAAAGGACTTGCATAAGTTCCTTACTTATTTAGCCAAGGTCTCTAAACGATTAGGAACCTTAAGATGCACCAAACCTACGACTCGGACGTGACATGAAATCAGCTGGTAGTTTTGAGAATCAAGTTTTAATTAGTTTTACATACATGTATGTAGCAGCTCCGACCATAGACTAATCATTACAGCGTATAGCTCCACTGGCAGCTGTCTTCAGAACATCACACCTCGCGCCGGGCCTGGCTCCATTTGCTGATTTTTTATTCTATTTTTTAGGCAACTCGGATTCGGGCGTTTTTGAAGATCTTGACGGAAACTCAGGATCATGTTAAGGCGATGGATAAACTCAGGAATATCATAGAAAATATTGGCTTTAGTTCAGATCCAATTGTTTACAACAGACTAATACTGTTTGCTGAAGGCCACAAGGTAAGGTCATAGTATTAGTAAGAACTATACATAATTATTCATTCAACATAGCATTCAATGTTTCAATATATATGACACAAAAAAAATGTTAGTGTTCAAATATTCATATAGATATTCATTTGATGTTTCAGATTATTAGATCAAACTTAACAAGCTTGTTTTTTAACTTTATTAAAGAATGCAACTCCGCAATTATAGGTTATATCTCAGGAACTTTTCAGAAATATTCTACTCGCCATGGCAGTCGTATTTCTTGTAACTTTGGTAATCATTGCAAGTCCAGTGATGTCAGTTCTGGTTTTCCTTTGTGTTGTATTTACTGTGGTAAGCATCTGCGCTTATACTTGTTTAACTATTTCTGAATAGAAGTACATTTCAAGGTGTAAAATTCGATAGAGCCTTAGTTTTACGACGCAAAGAACTTTGTAATTTTAGGTTGACGTAACTGGACTCATGTACTTTTGGGGTTTGACCATTGATACAGTTTCAACTGTAGTAATAATTATCGCTATTGGTTTATCAGTGGACTATGCATCTCATGTTGGACACACATTCTTGGTGAAATCTGGAAATAGAAAAGGTTGAACACCTAAAATACTATCTTTGATTATTAAATCCCTTCATTAACGTTCCCATGCATTAAATGAGGCCGTTTTATTGCCTGTTATTCGGATCATCTTCTGATCTTCATTCTGACATTCTCGTAAAGCGACACGCCTTGAAAATTAGGCATTTTGCATTTGCAATGAAAAAATAAATGTACATTGTTCGCGAAAGAATATTTTGTTTTTATTAAATTCATTTATTTAAATTCAACATCCTGTAGAGAGAACAATAAAGATGTACCGGGATATTGGTCCAGCGGTCTGGAATGGTGGTTTTAGTACCTTCCTAGCAATTGTACCATTAGCTACATCTCAGTCACACGTATTTACCACATTCTTTAGGGTAAGGACATAACGTAAAGTTTTTGTGCATCTGACACTAAATTGCCACGATTTCTACAAACGACTTCACTTTTCTTTTAGATTCTTTTTGGTGTTGTCGTATTTGGTGTGTTTCATGGCCTGTTTTTCTTACCAGCGATATTATCAATGATTGGTCCAGCTCCGTACGAGTCTGCTAAGAAAATGGAAAGTACTTCCAAAGAGGCAGATTTTGGGAGAAAAGAAAGAAATGATATTGAAAATGTCGCCTCTCACTCAAACGAGGCAATAGAAACTGGTACAGAAGTTTATCCAGTAAAAAATGGAGGTCCATTTATCCTCAACAATATGCAGCAAACAAATAATGAAACCCTCGCAGCAGCAAACGCTGGCGTTGACGCTGAGGGTGCGAAAGACACCAAACCTAACGGGAGGATTTCTGTGGTGGAGATGCATTTATAGCACATTCTGGTACATTAATTTGGTTACTGGATTAAATTTTTATCGGCCAAGAATAGGCTACAACACTGCTCTAAAATAATGAATAAGTAATCAAGTTGACATGAAAATTGTAACTATATAGAGCATGTTCCTGTAGGTTCTAGTCTTTTAGACACGATATTAGATACATGAAAGATATATATATTTCTTACATGATATTTATGCACGATCGATGTGTGGTACGGGATGTGTTCTTCCGCACATTTCATTGTAAACTTATGGAAGATTTTTTAGGTTTAGTATTGCACTTCGTTCCTGACTTCTAAAATTTTTTGTAAAGCTATTGTGTGTACATGGTTGGTAGGACATCCAAGAATTATATTATTTCAAATTTGAAACTTAAAATTACGTTTCAACGAGTCTGTTTGCCACAGCGAGCGCGCGATTGATTTTTCTAACCCGTCAGTAGTGTATTATTGACGGAGACAACTTACAGCGCACGTAAAACGAATGTTAATTTATCAAACTTTGTTGCGCTATCAAAGAAAACGTAAGCAACGAACCCAAAGAAGACCATGTTACAATCCTGATCCTGATCGCGCGAAGCCGAGTTTCACATGATTTTTAACTATTTCTTTCATTTATCGTCACCAGAATAAAATAGCCACAGCATGCAAGAAAGACAATTTTATTTCTGAGGTTTATTTAATCAGCTTTCACTCGATATTTATCTTCAATCCTTCGGAAAATTGCAGTTAATTTTAGTCCACCATTTCTTGTAACCTTCTTCGCTTCTTCTGAAGAAATACCGAGTTTTGGAATAACTGGATCGTTAGCCTAGCAAAAAATTCACGTCACTCACAACAATCCTGGAATGGATTTACAACTAACACCCCTCCCCATTTGTAATAGCCGTAGATCATGAAACAAGAGACATTTAAAATGCAAAGTTGCTCGCAATGTTCTTACTTGTTCTTCAACTGGAATTTCTTCAAACAAAGGGTGCTCTGAAAAGTGTTTTTTCATCCATTCGTGTAAATCAGGTACATCAGTGATTGTGTACACAATACCCTGAAAAGTAAAAAGATAAGTAAACATATTTTGTATGAGCCACTGATGCTTCTAGGGAGAAATGAACAAATGTTGACCCTATACGATGTTAACAATAAATTGAATGAATACTCACGCCAACTGCCATAACGTAGGCATACTCCGCGAGAAGAGTCGGACTGAAACAAAATAGACACGAATAATTTCATGACGTATATTGCGATATAAGGCACAGAATAGGAAACAAACATTGGGAAATGCAAATGCAGCAAAACTTTGCGTCTTCCGCGGTCAATTAAATTTGGCTCTTTATCAGCACGAACGTTCAGTATAACTAAAGTTGAATTTAATTTGATTTTGAAAAAAAATTGTCTCTAAGCAACTCCAGGTATTCACCTTATTATTCTCCATTTGTGTTTCTTCTGTTTAAAATGTGGATCAGGAAAAAGGAAAAACAACTTCTTTAACTAAATATATAGAGACAGCAACGTCAATATCGTGAGTATCAAGTTTAGATTGGTTCAGCCAAAACGTTATTATGATCAATACTTACCTGACCTTTATTGAAGTAGTTTGGCAAATATTTCATGGCATTTCCACGAAGAACATTTATATTTTGATATTGTCCTGGGTTTGCTTCTCTTAAAGCAATCACTCTGTCTTTTACGTAATCGCTGACCTGTGCAAAAACAACTTCACATTATTGAACATTTGGCCACAGCTCCATGTTATTACAAAAAGTTGGTAAATATAGACTCTTGTAAGATCATGATGTACATGGTGTATATATACTTCATTCTCTCAATTAAATACAGTTGGTCTGAGGTAATAATGCTGGTGACTATAAACACATTGGTGATCTTTCCAAAAATGCTTTTTTAATCTCTACAATAACTTTGATTGATAATTTAACGATCTAACGTCACACAAGTCTTCCCAATAACCTTGATTCGTATTTCTAATCCAAGCATCAATGTGTCTGGATATTCTGTGGCTAAAGAAACTAAAAAAAAATTTTAAAACATCACGTTGCGTTCTTTTTACCAGGAGATTTTAGGACTAGGAATCATTGTCTAGGTATAAGTCTCACCAAGTAATCCTCCATAACCACATCCTATATCAGCATATTCCACCTTTGGACACGAATCATTTTTGTGTTCAAAAAATGCCGGATATAATGACAACCAATCCATATCATCAGGTGTTGTTGGGCTGGGAAAATACGTTTGAAATTTCTGTTCAAAGGGTTAAAATTTTAAGAAGGCTGTTCTAAAGGCGATATCCATATTCACGTTCCCACAAGAAATCGACGGGTGGGGATTACCCTGTGAGAGTGTGAGTAGTGGGGCAAAAACCCGGGTTCCCTAACCCCTTGCATTCCCGGGGCCTGATATAACCTAGATTTCACAATTTTTAAAATTCGCGAACTTGTTGTTCTACTTACTAATCAAGAGCATGGTCTGCTATCGGATTAGAGATGAGCTCTTTGTCGATAATATTTTTTTTGTGGCATACCTGACGGCATCGTTTCGTCCGCCATATTGTTTTTTTTGCAAAACGTCATGTAAGCTGTAATAAACTGATTATATTTCCGAGACGTCACGAGTTATCAGCCAATCAAATGTCTTCGTGCATGGGCGGGGAACTTTTAAAATGACATAATTGAAATTCTTTCATGAAATTAGAACTAACATTTTATTTAAACTTTGGCGAAGTTCTCTATAAATTCACGTCGTTGTTTTGAAGATTCCAACGTATTGGATCAGACTTAATAGAGTAAATGGAATCAGGTCAAAACATTGCGTTATTTGCCGAGAATGAACCTTTTAGGGCAACCAAAATGGTGAGTATTTGTGTTTTTTAATTCATCAAAAAATCGGCAAAACAATGATGTCCGACAATCAAACGGCTTGAGCTAACAAACGCGATTTAATGCAATTTATCTGTTGATTTAGTGGAACGAGCTTGTAAGGAACTTCAAAACTGGCATTCGTTTAAAAAAGAAAAGATGGCGAATGAAATATTATGAAGATTGCTTTAGTGGCTCAGATGCCTTAGCATGGATTCACGATTTCCTAAAATTAAATCCTAATTTTAACCAAAATGATGTGTCACGCACCCAAGCAAAGCTTCTGTGTCAAAAACTTCTACAAAATAATGTGTTTGAAGACATTGTCAGCCAATTCAAATCAATAAAACCAGCATTTGAAGAGAATCACCTTTATACTTTTGAGAACAAGGCGTCTTGTGATGCGAAGGAAAATCCAAAATATAAAGTAGAGATACGTTCTAAGAAGGCAGCATCATCTCTGAAGAGACATTCTAGTTTTTCAGACAGGTTTGAGTTGACAAGAAAACCTTTAGCTGAGAGAAAAGCATTGCAGAATATTTCTAAAGAAGAGAATGATAAAAATAACCCTAAACCCACACATTTGAAACCAACAGGAATTAGAGTAAAACAAAGTTCACGCAATGAAACAGGTGGAATTATTCTTCAAGATTTAGGCACAGATAGTGCAAACTCAAAATTATCAAATAAGCATTCAAGAAAGAAGCATAATGGTAAGAGTCCAAGTATCTCAGGGTTGACTCGGAAATGGAGAAGCGAATATGATGTTACTTTAATGGAAATCCATGAAGATTGTGATGAAAGAGAAGGAGACACTGATGGGTATGATGGAAAGATTGCAAATCATAATAAATCAGGTGCTCAACAATCAATGGCTGACAAGAATGAACAAACAAATGTTGATAGTAAGAACACAATGATAAGTTCTGATAATCCACCAGATAAAGATGAGAAAAGTTGCAATGGTGAAATGCATCTTCCACAAGCTGATGCAAATGAGTTCTGGATGACCATTTGTCTTGAAAGGTATTAAAGGTGTACTAATTGCCAGTTTATCTATATAGCCTCTAATATACAAAAATATGTATACTGTGTTGTATGAAGCACAGAAGAAGATTTTTGTGCAGTTGTAATTGCTACTGTACTTGAATGCTACTGCATGTACACTTACACAACATATCATCAGTATAACACCACTGTTTATATATATTTTTTAATGTAGGCTGACAATTTTTATAATTTTTTAAGGTTACAGCAGGCACTCAATGTTAAAACCCTCGATGGTATTTTGGATGTTAGTTTGCTCTGTTGGAGGAACGTTATGGAGAATATTACATCTGACTTAAGATGTGGTATGTGGTAATCAATCTAAGAAGGGAAATATCAAACTTTTCCTACAGTTCCATATGCATGGAACCGCTTCTCACTAAGTCTACATTTTTCATCATTTTAGTCACAGATGCTGTACCAAAATGGTTGGTCTCTGCAATGAAATGTTTAATTCATTGTATGTGTATAATTGATTATTTAAAATGCAATCATTACTGTTAGTGTTAGAGCTGATTGTTACGCTCGCTTCCCTTAGAAATGTTTAACCAGTGTTTCTTAAATCTTAGGGCCACAGAGTGTTGAAGCTCGTGCGTCAGATTATTTAGGGTTTGAAAAAGACGTTTTCAAGACAGTTCAAGAATATTTCCAATTACTTCCTGAACCAATGATTCACCCAAGTTTTATCGAGGTTTTTACTAAAATATCGGGTGAGATATATTGTGTTTTATATTATATTATACCAGAATGTTGTAGAAAAGCAAATTCATGATTACAATCAAATAGAACTTGGTTAGAGGTCGGCTAAAGCAAGTGCAAAGTATTTACGAAATATATTTCTGTGTCATTGGAAAGGTCTTATAACAAAATGCAAGCTGTCCGGAATTCGAGCTCTCCAACATGCATTACTCTTGTTGAAGAAAGAACAACGACAACAATTACAACTTCTTCTAAGATTTATGATTAAAATCTCAAATAATCATCAGCTGAACCTGAGCAGCCGTTTACCAACACGAGAACTGGTAAGATTTCATTTATTTTATTGTTACACAATTCTCACAAAGCACCAACTAATTTTGACCTAAATTTAATCTTTCCGGCGTACTGTTAGTTTATGAAAGTTACGAATTCTAAATAGTTCACGTATAGGACCCGCAATTTAGCGGTATAATGTTTTATTCCAGGTAATTCAGTCGTTTGTTCCAATTATTTTTGGTGGAAAGGAAAGCCAAAATGTACATGAAATTCTTGGAATTCGAATTACATCGTTTATTATGGAGAATTATGCAGAAATTTTCAAGGTTTGGTAACTTAAAGTTAAAAAACTATATTTATGCATGTATAGCTACGTGAGAACTGCATGTATAGCTACGTGTGGTAAAAGATATTTGTCAGAGTCGAAAGCCAATGTACAGTATATTGGCGAAGTGTAATAACTGTAATAGATTGATATTCCTTTTTATAATAGGTTCCAGATGGTTTAAAGTTCCAAGTGGAACAGCAAATTGCATTTCATAAAGGATTACAAAATGTTCGTTTCTTTTCAACTAGTTATCATGCCCGGCCTAATTCTTCATTCCATGCAGATCAGCTGTGATCAGAGATCAGACTTACTTCAAAGGCAATTTTACTTGTATGATGACTACATGCATGATGAATATTTTTGGCAACTAAGAGTTAAACTATACACATATTAGCCAAATTATAAGCCGAAACATGTTCGCTTTAAAACATTTTGTCGTTCACTTCGAACATGAGTCATCTAGCTCTTTCCAAGAATTTAACTGTATGGAACAGTGATGTTAATTACTGGGTATAATATACCGTACATTCAGGTCGAAAACCAAAGCACAGATGTCACGTTTTGTTTTCGAGTAACCAAACAAGACTATGACGAACAAAAGCAATTTGGAACGCAAAGATTTCTTGAGGATCTTCTTGAAAATATTGTTCAGAATGAAGAAATCGGTGAGAAAGAGCGCAAGAAAAAGTTGAAACAGGTTTGTGATGCGTATAGATACATATGCACTTATCAGGCTGCCACCTCATATCCAGCTTATTTAACTAATTTTATTTCAGTTTCAGAAGACGTATCCTGAGATATATTTCAGTCGTTATCCAGCAGATGGTCTATCATTAATGTCTCGACAACCTATAAAATTACGACGTGTCATAAAACCAATCTCTCGTAGACATGTAAAGAATTTCCGCTAAAAATTTCACCATATATTAATTACTTCCATGCAAAAACTTTGAAATATCAAGCATGAAGACAGCGGAAAGCCAAGTTAAACTTTTTATGCCACCAAGCACGGGTTGTACGATGAGATATTTACCTAAAACGATCGATTTGTAGACAATACATTTCACACAATTCCCCGTGTAGCTCTGGATGATATATGCTATATATACGTTTCTTTTTGCTATATACTTTTTATTCTTTTCAATTTTGAGAAATAAAGTTAGATTGTTAGTGAATCGGATTTTAAATTAATCGTTGTATTTTTATTATAATTAAAAGTTAGATTTTATCGAAATATTTTAAGGAAAAATTAACCTTGTTACTACGGCCAGAAAAAATTGTTGTCGATTGAAATTTTTTTATAAATGTATATCACTAAACAGTTTGCATTAATTCCGTATTTTTTTATATGAGTTCACACTGCAAGATTGCTTTTTTCCCCGTCTGACAATATGTTTTATTGTAAGATGATATTTAACTTACAACTTTCATGTATATTCCAATAAGTATACCAGAGAATGATCCCCATCATGCATTGCTAAGGTAACTCTATTTCTTATTTAGGGTTCTTAAATATACTTTGAAATCACCAACTGGCAAGTAGCCGGTGTTTTTTCTATGTTCCATATCAATTTAACACCAATTTTAACATCAACGATATTTCTATATTCTTTGAACGCTTGATAAGGGTATTTGTTTGCCCAAGATTGGAGCCTCATCAAGTACTTTTCCACATGGTCAGTGCGAATATCTCCCATAATATTGCCAAAACGCTGTTTATGCATTTTAACATGGGTTAGTGTGGATTCGATGCTGTTCTCTGTTGTTTGAAACATAATTTCAGCCATACCGCCAGTTTTTTTATAGGAGGTGGGGATCAGCTTTCTCCTATTTTTACGAAGGACAGCTTTAACTTTCGCTTTTCCACCATTCGACAGTTCACTGCTGAGAATGTAGTCAATGGTTTCCTGATCCTTCCAGCCTGTGTAAAGTCATGAAAAATATACGTTCTGAAACTATATACTGCATGGCATGCATCCTTAAAATATTTCATCATTTTATTTTCACCTTTTTGTTTAAGTTCAAATTCAATGGGAAAATGGTCACTCACATCTGCTGCCTATGTTCCAATGGAATAGAATATATTAAAGTGATGATAGTGTGTTTGTAACTCGAAGTGAATCACTCCAGCTGGTTTCATCAGTTTAAGCATTGATATAATATGTTTACCTCTTGCATATTCAAATTATAAGCTACTTTGAAATTGAATAATCCTGGACTTTCGGCGACGATACTCTTGAGTAAATTATTTCCAGTTGCAACAAATCTATAAATTTTCGAAGTGAGTGATTTTGATATAAAAGGCTGGTCTTCCGATCATGATTAATTCTGACTTCCGATGCATGGGTACAGTTGTGTATCTCAAATCATTTTATTTTTCAATTTTACCGACAAATCCGCAATGAGTCGACTGCAGTTACTGCAGTCGTGCTTGGAAACCATAATTACGTTTAATGTACGATAGTGAAAACCAGTCTTTTTTAAAGTTAACTTATCTATATAGATTTATTTTACTTTGAGATAATACCTGTCATAGGCGCATCTTGAACCTTGTACTGACGTATCCTCACAGTCATCAATTAACCACCAAAATCGTTTATCAGTCGCTAAACGTATATTTGCCCAGTCTGAATCGCCAACATAATCACATGCTGCGTTCAGATCACCCATGATAACGACGTCGCCAATATTCCATTTTTTAACTGCATCTTCATAAACGTCAACCAGTTTGTCAATTTCATTCACTGCGTCATCTGGCTTCGTGTGTAGAGCGATGAACACCATGTCGGTTACCGCTAGATTAATTTATAAACGCACTTTTACCGGGATTATATTACTAAAGCGTCCTTGGCTGATATACATATATCTTGGTTTTGCGTTCAAAGAACTTTGACAGAACCATGCCGGACCATTCCCTACCAGGCGATTTGATTCGTAAAGGGAAAACTGAAACCCGTCAATAACGTGATTATAGGCAGAAAAAATGTCCGCAAAACAAGAAGAATTGTTTCCTACTCTGCTTTTTGGCCTCGCAAATAAATTCGCGCAGAAGAAATGGTAATTTCTCGTATATTTCACTAGATGAAATTAATATTCAGACCTGCAGAAGGAACATTAAAATAGACAACAAAAGGCTCTCTTTCAAAATCATCATTCTTGTCGTTGTAAGTATAATTTCTCTTCACCGTTGCAACATTTTTCCTAGACCAAATTTCGAGACGTTAGATACAAAAGCCTGACTAAGGAGTCGAGTGTGGCTTTGACGGGTTTTATCCTGAATAACACTGCGTCTAGTCAGTGAAATACTATAACCAACTGTGACTTATACCTGTATAAAAATGCATATTGTTCTTTGCTTGCAGATCGACCCAATCTTCCACTAATTATCATTTCATACTGGTTGGAACTGTTTGCAATCCTGCAATATTCAAACTGATTAGTGGATAAAGGGTGATGAGATATGGCAGAAAGAAATTATATTTTACGGCATTTTTTCCCCCTCAAAAATGTGGATGTTTAAAGAATATATTCATAGAATTACTCCGTGATAAATGTTTCGGTTCCTTCAACATTAACATTACCTGATGTTAACACTTTTCAAAAGTCTTTCCATTGCATCTTTTTTATCTCTTATTTCTTGAATCAATATAATATCATAGCTGCTGATAATCTATACAAGTCAAGAAATAATTTAATTTCTTTTTAAACGTGGCGAGTTGATGTGATGTTGGAAAAAACGGTGCATTTTAGTTTAAAATTTACTGCCTTTTTTATCCAACATGGCGGAATAGGTCATGTGGCCTCCTGGTTCAAGTCGCTCTTATTGCTCAGGAAATAGATAATATAGGTCAGACTGGTCAGTGGTTCACAAGCACTCAGTCATGCACCGGAGCCTTTGCGCGCGCACACGTAAGATGGCGTGTTTGTCGTATAGTTCCATCTATAGTTTAGACCTTTAATAAAGACCTATTTGGGGCTGAGGTAATTAACTCTTAACGCCAACAACAAAGTCTAGTTCTTGCTCTTCATGTTATCTTCTTTATATAAGCCAGCTGCATGTTTGTCTCATTTTTAAGTGCGGATTTCCACTATCGCCCTTTTTTTACAGCCTACACGCAAGTAGCAATTAAACCAAAGATGTTCAAAAATTAATTTTCATTGAGAAAAACGCATCAACAGAGCGTGATCTGATACATTTATGCATTTGATCTTTCATATGCCAACCACACGCACGAAAACGTCAAATGAAATCCGTTCAAATGATTCTTCAAAATATTCGTTTAAAATATTTTTCGTGCATGCATGCACAAAAAAGACGAGTAATTTGAAAACAGCCATAGCTCCTGAATGAATCATAGCAACAAACCTTGACAAGAATATCAGTAACATTATTCTTAGAAATCTTTGTCTGTCCAAAAACCTGCACGTTGAATGCGGCTACCTTTACCCCACTTAGAGCTGCTTCCACATTTAATGTCAAAGTTATCACAAGTGCAAGTGTCGTAATAAAATATGCCATTATCGTATATCTTTAAAGCTCCAGTCGATTGATGAATTGCCGTCTCAGAAATAAAACCCTGCTGAGAAATGAAGATAAATATCTATTAATATATCCTACCTTGTAGACCTTGCTGCAGTTACGATAATAAAAAACTATACAATTTGATGAATGCAAAAGACTGCCTACCCTAAAGCAATAAATAAAGGATCATCGTACATCTTCGACTGATTTTTCCCAATGAGCTATTTAGAACTGCATGATAAGGATTTTTTCGCTGACTTTAATCACCCGCTGTTCAATCCAATTATAAAATTGGTCTCAAATTATATGATTTTACGATTAAAATGCTCGCCGCTTTAATACTCTACTCGAATTGTTGCGCTGAATGCTCGCGTGTTTGAATTCTCTTCTTATTCTCTTCCCTCATATCATTGCTATTTTACCATATCCTGGACAAAGTCATTTTAATACCAGGTTTCCTCACAGTCACAAAGCTTAAACAAGACCTGACTTAGTAAAGCGGTTTACATTTACAAATACTTTAGTATAAGATCTCATCTATATTCTAACATGCAGACTAGATATCATGAACTGTGCTCACAGTCTGGTTTACAATGGAAAATATTTATTGCTCCTATATTAAAATAAATTTCAGTGAAACTTAGAAGAAATTATCCCAAAAGGTGTAACTGCGCAATGACAGTTAATCACCCGATATTACACCAGAAATGGTTAGCTTACCTTCGCCTTCACGGTCAGACCTGTGAAAAAGTGGCCATCTTGTCATAACTGACATAAGGCACTCAAATTATCTGTATATATATATATTGGCTAGCGTTTGATAAAGCCTTAGACGACTATAACTATTCAATATTCCATTCGCGCATACAAAATACTCAGTGACGATGTTTTAAGAATGGGACGAAGCTTCGTCAGATTTTGATCAGCTCTGGAATAGATACTCCCGAATGAATCATCGATGATACATAGTGAACCATGCAGATACATGCTAGGTTTCAAAAACGATATATTGTAAATTTATAAATACATAGGTATCGTAATTAATTCAGTATATTTGCATGAAATATTATAGACTGAGTGCTTTAGGTAGTTTAGTTACTAGTTAGTTATATATACTTGCTGACTTACTTGCTGACTCTTTTCAAGAAAACTAGTCGAATTAAATGAATTGCAATGACAATGGCTCAAACTAAGCAACGCTTCTAGAATTCCAGCCTTGTGAGAAAGTATCTATGGTATTGATGAATGTACAGGTGTTTGTGTAATGACTATGTTATGATATCTTTATATCAATATCGCAAGACAAAAGTGAACAAATAGACGTAAATATATAATATTTCCTCCTGTGCACGATGCTGTCTCCTGGTGTAAGTTTACATGTTCATGATTTGCGCCGTGAATCGCAAATATTTTCTTTTGGGCGACTGAATCAAATTCAGTCTGATTGCACCAGCTAGCTTTAGTGCAATCAACAGTGAAAAATCCTCGACCCGGAAAATCAGCTCCAGTAACACAACTGAACCTGCTTTGGTTGAGACTTGAGGCTGAGTAATTAATTTTTATTTGAACAGACACCTACTTTCAATTCTAAAAGTTGTGCGTGTATATATAAATATGAATGTCGTTTGGTTTACGAAATACCAGAGAGTGTTCAATACCATACAGATACTATTATATAGAGCAGATATAAAAGTCTTGTTTACCAAAGGTCGTCCACTACCGTCTGTTTCTTCCGTAAGGAACCTCAGATGGTAGACAAATAACGAAAAGATCCCCCTTCATTTATAGCTTCCTGAATCCCGATGATTAACTGGTTCATTAAGGTGCTCTTAAAGTACTAACTAGCAACTTGCTAAAACGATAAAATCTAAGAAAAGCTGTTTATGACGATATAATGGCTTCAAATAGGAAAAGACAGCATTTTACCCGGAACTCAACTGTCACACCAAAAGGGTTCCGATTGAAATTTTCCATTTAAGCCCGCCTAACCCCAAAAGCAACCTTGATATTGCCATTGCGAACTTGGGACAATGAAGATCTTGTATTAAACATCACATGCGTTTTTCATGACTTTTTGTGGTGGATATAAATTATCACAAAGCTTTGCGTGTCGGTCACAAGATTCATTTCTTGGTAATTGACTGTCGAGAACGAAACGTATCGGGTGTTTTAATTTCACCGAAGGCGGATTTCCACTTACAGCGAAATCATTTGCTAGCGAAATATTTGCATATTTTCTTTTGAATTGAGAACTGTCAAGTCGCACTAATTTATTTATGCTGTAAGAATTCAAAAGAAAATATGCAAACATTTTGCTAGCAAACGATTTCACTGTAAGTGGAAATCCGCCTTCAGAGAAATTAAAACACCCGATACGTTTCGTTCTTCGACAGTCAATTACCCAGAAATGAATCTTGTGACCGACACGCAAAGCTTTGTGATAATTTATATCCACCACAAAAAGTCACGAAAAACGCATGTGATGTTTAATACAAGATCTTCATTGTCCCAAGTTCGCAATGGCAATATCAAGGTTGCTATTGAGGTTAGGCGGGCTTAAATGGAAAATTGCAATCGGAACCCTTTTGGTGTGACAGTTGAGTTCTGGGTAAAATGCTGTCTTTTCCGTTTGAAGCCATTATATCGTCATATACCCGATTCGGCTCCAAATCGCTTCATGTGCGCCTGGCTTTGTGAATATTTACCAAGAAATGCGCTATTTGATTAACCCAAATTATTACTCCAGTAACCAATAGGGAATAAATAACAAAGTCATATGACATGTGACATATTGTTTTCATTGATTTCCCGCCGTTTAATAGGTTCAAATCCCGCCAAAACAGTAATAAAGAGTCTGGGAACGAAGCTAATTGATTAGTTAGTGCCACGAACACAGTCAACACAGTCGGTAGTCGTTCTTGTGATTTGGCTGGTAAAGACTAAAGAATTAGGCCAGAATTGTACGTTATTTCTTCATTGATCGCTTTAAATTGTAAGTATCGCTTTTATGTTAACGATATATACGATCTATATACATATAGAGTGTGACAGTGTAGAGGCGAAATTTGAAGCCCATAATGACATAACCCATCGATACCCAAAACAATTTTCCATTGCATAAAATATCTACTATTCACGTTTTACACCCGAAACCATGCTTTTGTTAATATCAGGGACAACGTTTTAAATGATAAAATTCGAATACCATACGAGTTAATTGTATACGGGGGCTTGTCTTCTTCGAAATAAAAGCGAAACCAGTTGAAATCACGTACATAATTTCATGTTTTGGTTTTTAACAGATACAATTTTCCAATCAATTATGACTACGACAGGAGTAATGAAACCAGACGCAGGACGTTATCTAGATTTAGACCAATGTGGGTTTGTCCAAGTGATGTATATTTGGATAGATGGAAGCGGTGAATTCTTGAGATGTAAAACGAAGACCATGGACTTTGAACCACAAGTTCCAAGTGATTGCCCAATTTGGAATTTCGACGGCTCCAGGTTTAAAAATCTAAAATTTTGAACAGAAATTAGATTATTCACTTAAATAAAGAAAGCACTGTTTTTTATAAATGCATCTGAATTTATGTATTTTGAGAAATATGTCAAAACATATTTACATATAAACATGCATGTCAGGCATGCGTGATTCACGTGTGCATTGCATCAGATTTCGACACAGAATATTGAATTGCAACTATTTCACAAAAAATTCTTTGTTACCAGTTTTTGTTACCAGTTGCAATTTCATGAGCTTGCCTGTACATGAATTTTGTTGTGAATTCCACGAACTGCAATTATCAGCATTCCTTAAATATATGTGGCTTTCCCTTACAAAAAAAAAACAATGCAGGCATCCAAGCCAGCTCTGAGGGGTTGCTTTTAATTTTGTAATGAAACATTGAATTAGTCCTTAATGTTTTCTGACATATTTGCTATGTTATAGTACTGGTCAAGCAACTGGCGCCAATAGTGATGTTTATCTACATCCAGTAGCTTTGTTTCGAGATCCATTCCGCCGAGGACCAAACAAATTATTGCTGTGTGAGACCTATCATTATGATCACAAACCAACTGCAACAAACCTAAGAAAAACGTGCAAGGCAGTTATGGAACTAGCAAGGTACTAAAATACTATTGTTTCAAAATTAAAGTCAATGTGTTTTCTATGATATTTCAGATACAAGTTATGATGTATTGAACGCTTTCTCTGTTATTTAGGATGAGCATCCATGGTTTGGTATTGAACAAGAATATACTTTGCTTGATACTGATGGACATCCATTGGGTTGGCCAAAAGGAGGCTACCCAGAACCACAGGGAAAATATTATTGTTCCGTTGGTACTGGAAGAGTTTATGGTCGTGAAGTTGTTGAAGCCCATTACCGTGCATGTTTGTATGCAGGTGTTAAAATTGCAGGCACCAATGCTGAAGTTATGCCTTCTCAGGTAATATGTCAGCAGTTGAAACAATGTAGTATAGGTCCATATCATGCCAGACCTTAATATTTTATTCCTACTGTTAATGAATTTTTTATCTACAGCATGTTTTGAAAAGATAACCTAATTGATTCCAAAAATTTAAAAATACATTGTTTTCTAGTGGGAATTCCAAGTTGGTCCATGTGAAGGTATTGAGATGGGAGATCATTTATGGGTAGCAAGGTTTCTTTCCTTCATCGTGTTGCTGAAGACTTTGGTATTGTTGTAACATTGGATCCTAAACCAATGACTGGTGATTGGAATGGTGCTGGGGCTCACACTAACTTCAGGTAAAATAATATGCCTTGCAAACCACTGCCATCTTCTACAAGGTTACCAAGTTTCAATGTTGACACCAGGTTATTTACCTGACTAGTTTTTTGACATGCACCATTCACAACATTGCTTTTACAAATTCTACAATTTTTTGCCCCTTCAGCATAGTCATGGGGACAAAACGTCATGTAGTTCCAAATTCAATACTATTTGAATAGATACATGTGTTTACATCTCTTATGAGTATTAGTGTCCTCTAAAACTAATGTCTATTCTTTCTTGATTTCCTATTCTTTCATTTTGGTCTTACAAAGAATAACACCTTTATCTTCTCTAAACAAGGAAGGCATTTTAGTGATATATTATTCATGATCAATCTAAAACCACAACCAACACCAGAAAATGAATTCTCTTGAGCAGATTTTAATCTTAATTTTTGGGTGAACCAACTGTGTTAGTCGCACGTTTATTCATTTGTAAGGATTGTCCTATAGTTGATGTTGTTAAAGTTGTTTTTCTGCATCCCTAGCACTCTTGCAATGAGAGAAGAAGGAGGTTTGACGTATATTTATGAAGCTATTGAAAGGCTGTCTAAAGTACACGACCTCCACATCAAAGCGTATGACCCAAAAGAGGGAAAAGATAACCTTCGACGTTTGACTGGACGTCATGAAACTGCTGATATTCATACTTTCTCTCATGGTGTGGCTCATCGTGGTGCTAGCGTAAGAATACCACGTCAGTGTGCTGAGGATGGCAAGGGTTATTTGGAAGACCGCAGACCAGCTGCTAATGCAGACCCGTACGGGGTTACCGAGGTTGTCGTGCGTACAGTCTGCGAGATTAAGGATTAATTTGCGAGATTAAAGATTAGCTTGGTTATTTTGCGCACATTCGAATGTTGTTTGACTTTCAACAACTCGTACTGGCACATAGTAACTAGAATTTAAACACAGCGACGAACAAACTTATGTACATCTAATTAGCCATGTTCAAGCACGTGATATACAAAATGTAGATAAATGAGACTTCCTCTTGCATATGTATATATTTATAAATACTAGTTTGATTGTATTCCTTTGATACATTTTAATTTGTTGCACTCCAATAAATCAATTACCGTATCCAATAAACAAAATCCTTCATCTTTTACTTCAACACGGTAGATACAAGAAGGCAGGTCTGTCAATAAAAAAATCCTTTTAAAGCATTCCCTATAGGGATATAGAGATAATTCTATTGTAAGGCAACGATAGAACGACCTGAGCTGGACTTATTCACGTAACCAAAGGCATGCCAAATGATTGCAAAATTGATTGGTCTAATTATACGACCCACATACAAAACAAGAATAAGCACGCTCATCTGCTAAGTTTGTTGTCTTGAATTATTTGTTTAATTCTTTGCGTCGTCGAATGGACATGCAAATTATTACGTGATGTACAGACAGCTTTTTCATCAGATTCTTCTTCAATCTTCACGTCACCATGGAGAACAATTTGTGGATAGAAAACATGCCTACCGTGATGAATACAAAATTAAATTAGCTGAATAGCGGCTGTAATTAACAGAAGTGCTTTAAACATCTCACGAACACACGAAGCATATCAAATAGATGAATCATAATACAAAACATAAACCTTGCCTTTAGAGTTCAAATGTATCCTAAAATGAAGCAAAGACTAAAGGCTGTTTTCCACTGTCGCGTTTTTCATACGCACGTACACGCACGTAAAAGTCTAAATACTTATATAAGTTATCTTTAAAAAAACGAAATGAATAAATCGAAAGAACTTAGTTTTCCGCGTAGCTTAGTATGCATTTGCTGACCTAGATGCTAAATAATAAAAATTTAAAAGCACTTAAACTTTTACGTGCGTGTACGTACGTGCTAAAAACGCGAAAGTGGAAAGCAGCCTTAAGTGTGAAAAGTTTCATACCACTCCACTAATTTATTCATTGAATTGCCTTTCACGTCTTGCGTTGGAGAGAGACACTGGAAGCACACAATAAAATATGCAGCTTTGTTTTTGAAATATTTACCCTATTATAACATCAAAGAATTAAATCATCTATCTCGCTGTCGAACAGAATATACCGGCAACAGAACCTCATTAACTACTTTTCTATATTTTTCATTCATGATAATTTGTTGGGAAGGTATTTTGGATACAAGCCTTGCCTGAAAGAGCTACAGTATTGAATAAAATATTACAACTAACATCCCTGAGAACGTTTTATCAACTGCAATGAATGGAAGAGACAAATATTAGAATTGTTATTCTGACGAAATCATAGAATATCAGAGAGTTTAAACATTTCCGATAAAAGCCAGAATGACGCAGAAAATACAAATCTGTATCATGTACGTCAATTGTGACGCATCGGGAATTAATTCCTGTTTGCCAACACTCGATAAATATCACTCCAGGATTTTAGATTTTCTTCGAATTAAGTTTTTTTCCACTTGTAGCAAGTCTACTACTTTTCTTGTCATTCAGCTGGTAACATTTACACATAACCTACCTCACACTGACTCAACTATACCCGTGATAATTTGGAAATGTGCCATAATTAGAAAATTCAATTAATGTTATGATGTCACGAATTATAAAATAGCTTTCCAATTGACGAAAGGGAACTGATATCCATTAAAAATGAGCCATTAACGCAAATAGATAATACTGTGACGTCTGCGCTCGTCATCCGCGCTAGTGTGTACAAGCATTGTTCATTACTTTTTTATATCATATATTATTAAAATAGTGTGTGGGAAGCCTAGCTTTAATTTGACTGGACGCATGCTACGAGTCATGCTGTCAAAATAGAGTTAAAATTCAAGTGTGCTATATACCGACGGCCTAAAATAGACAAAAAAAAACTTCTTGACGTTTCTACCTGAGTGCCATCGTTAAGATCATAAATTCAACCACGGTCAACATAAACGTAGTTGGCTGACATGAAATGCAACTCCAAAATAACTCTTGACAAGGTTTGGACAGTAAAATTATTCCAGGCGGTTTCATTCAAATAAATTAATCGGACGTTTCTTGACAGACCAGTCACTAACCCCGCCACATACCCATGCACACATGCAAATTGCACGCACAAGAACGAAAGACGTAACGGTTTTAATTACGCGATTTATTTAAAATTGTACATAGTCTTTAATCTAATAATCTAATAATAATAAATTCCGAAACGTCCTTTCATGTTTAAACAAAAACTTTCATACAGCCTTATTCTGGTCATAATTCGTTTCAGCAGAAATTCTACCAACCAATAACTATTACCTACGATTGATAATCTTTCGACAACTGTTTCTTTTACTATTTCAACTTTGCTAACACATATTTACGTTGCTATAGTATTACGTTTGATCCTGGAAATGATCAACGGTTGTGTCGGCATTCCAGTTAATTTGATATCACTCGCATTTGTAAAATGTCAAACATTTAAACAATTTGTTTATAGGTTTTTAGGGCTGGAGTGACACGCCATGACATTCACAAGACGATACCTGACGGTAAGAAGAACTTCAAAATGACAATGATACAAATGTATCTGGCGATTTTTCTGACAATGGTACCAATCGTAACTGCTTTACCAATACACTCTTTGACACGTGACAATGTCGCTAAACATAACAAGAACCATCTCAAGGTTGTGGTAAGTAATACAATATTTGCTGGTGAAAAATACAAATTTTAGAATATAAGTTTTAGAACAATAACACTATTGATATAGATATCATTTCATACGTTAGACTGTAGTAATAATTTCCTAAGTTCATTTGGATTATCAAGCAGCAATATTAAAGTCGCAATACAAACACTCTTTCGGATTATATGCAGATAATCTTAGGCGCCAGAGGCTAGTCATATTTACAAGATTATGTAAACATTTCTTCCATTGCACTAACGAAAATATTATAATTCATCCGGTGGGTGCAAGCTGTATATTAATATCTCGCGTCATTTGATTCAACTATGCGCAATACGCCGGGTGCATGTTTGTCAGAACACAAATTTGATACATCCATGAAAGACGTAAAAGAAGGTAATATAACTAGAAGATATGAAATTTAATAATGATGAATGCCATTAGGATATTCCCATGCACGCAAAGAATAGGAAATAAAAACAATCTAGCGACTCTAACTAAGGAGGAGAGCGAAATGCACTTTCTCCATGTCTGTATGTATACGACATCAACAGTATGCATACGCAGTGTTGGTGCTAAAAATACGCGCCCAGCAGACCTTTACTGGTGGTCAAACACGCAGCATGTTTTATAGTAAAACATGTGTTAAGAGTGACTACAAGATTAAAGATTAGTTTAAGAGCCATTCTTAGTTTCGTTTCTTTGAAGTAGATTAATATCAAGGAGGTTGGCAAACGACTAGGATCACCAGCAGAGTTGCAGACTGTCAATGGTGTCTTATTTTGGCATTCATCTTGTTTTGGCATATATGTTTTGGCTTTCAGTTCCGATGCCTTGACACACTCTGCGGTGCATGGCGCCAGCAAAAATCAGTAGGGGAAATTATCAAGTCATATTAAAGCCTTCCGTTGATAGTTTTTTATTACCCCCTACAGTAATTTAAACATTGCATTATTATGACTTTTATTAACATCGAAAAGCCTCAAAGTCTAAATCAATAACTTTGTTATTATCAGACAAAACTGATTTAGTATTGAGCATAAAATCACAAAAACAATATTTGGTATATAGCTAAGTCCTTATATATTTCTAAAAAAATTCTACATATATCATAGTTCTTGCTGTGAATTGAAAGGTTAGAATAATAAGAAAGGATTTATACTTGAATGAATCAAGGAATTTGTGATAAATGTTTTCTAGAAATACCTGCTGCGATATGGTTTTTTACACGCGAAACCCGACGTGAGAAATCTTTCTCAAAAACAAACATCAAACGTGGCTGCAACTATCAGCAAAAAGACTAAATATTCTTCCACCGATGACGAGATTTCAAATGGATTAAAAAATTTTCAAAATTCACTTGGTTTAAAAGACCCAGGAGAATTGAATGATGAGACGAAAAAACTTCATGTTCCTCGATGCGGCGGCGTATCTGATGAAGGCCACGAGAAACAGTTTCAACTGAAAGTGCACCATCGCAGCAAAAGATACACGATTTATCACAAAAGCGTCAATGGTTATAAAATTTTTAAATGGTCTAAGAAACTCATCACATGGCAAATCTACAGACCCTGGTCGGGGGGAAGCATTTCAAAAACAAAACAAGAAGAAATTTTTGATAAAGCGTTCAAGCTATGGGAATATGCATCTCCATTGAAATTTGAGAAACGAAGCAAATGGCCTGATATTATTATCGAGTTTCTCACGGGTGAGTATTTCCCCCCGCTGTTTTAACTGCATTCATCCTTTTCATTGACAATCATGCGTGCATATGGTTTAAGATCTATGGCTTTAGTCTAAGGAAGAACGAGTTGGGGGGATATTAGGGATTTGGCATCTTCATGGCGTCTAAATTATGGCCATGAAAGACGATTTTCTCTGAAAAGGGATTTTAGTTGCAAATTATCTCACTCTCTCAAATCTCAGGATTTTGATTTTTTTTCATCCTCAATTCCTGGTATTTATATTACCAAATTGAGTACGAGAGCATTTAAACGATTCAGTGAATACTGATAAGTCGGATTGATATACGTTTGTCATTTAATCCGTGTTGAAAATCGTACGTTTTTTTAATGAAAGCCAAGAAAAAAAATGGGAGCGGTTAAGTATTGAACTCTACTTTTTGTTTGCTGGACGTGAGACTAGTCATAAACAGACTTGCTTATATCATAGGCGTTGATAGATTGACGGTTTTGATTGACTTACTTTGGATAATCGTAAGCAGTCTACCCCAAAAAATGAAGTTTCACAGGGTTTAATGCCTAAGCGGCTAAGCCGTTATTGGTTGCCTTGGAGAAATGATATTTTTACACATGGAGATTTCCTATTCTATCGAAGATAATGATATTTCGAAATGTGCTAATAAGCCTTTAGAAATCCGGCATTTAAATTTTTATTTCTTTATATCTCCTGCAAGTAAGTTTATTTTCTTTTCATTTGCGCCCGGAACACAGTAAACTAATCGGGTCCCCTTTGGTTCTTGCCCGAAGACAGCGATAGTTAACCCGCCTCCCTTTCTATGTTGCAAAATCTAACCACAATATGACTACTGACTTCTAATGGACTATATAATGGTTATCTTAAATGACCTCATTTGATTTCATCTCTATGCGTTAGAATGAGTGTAGTGGAGTGAGGCATGTTTTATTTATCGATAGCCCATATTCATTGACAGAAATTTATAGCTCTTGGATAGTTATATTTTTACTGTTAACGTTGTTATGCAATCCAAATCAAGCTAGTGTAACCTGACGATAAGAAGAAATATAATTTTGTTTTTATCAGGTTCTCACGGGGATCAGAACCCATTTAATGATGGTCCTGGGGGAGAATTAGCTCATGCATTTCTTCCTGGAAGCTCAAAAGATGGGGATATTCATATGGATTCCGCGGAAAAATGGACAGAAACAACCATGTATAATGTCGCTGTCCATGAAATAGGTCATAGCTTGGGCCTGGGGCATTCCTCGTACTATGACAGTATCATGTACAACAGATACTCAAGAAATGGTCTCATAACCAGTCTGCATGAGGATGATAAAAATGGATTGAACAAAATTTATGGTAAGAATGAGGTTTATTTTACATCGTCTCAAAAGAATACTTAGTTCCAAACCTACATGCAGTGCATAGATGTATTTTGAACATTTTCTAACTATAATATTTGTTTTAATTTGCATGCTCAGCTGCTTAATACAGTGGTAAAAATTATACACAGCTTTTTAAAAAAATTAATATAATTTTTAAACGCTGTCTAGGTGACTGCCAAACAAGGATTGATGCTACAATGTCTCTGAAAAATGGCGACGTCTATTTCATGCGGAAAGACTTAGTATGGAAATTTGACAGCACAAGTGACCGTGTGCATGTTGGTTATCCTAAAAAGATTAATGACGAATTCCCGTCAGCCTCTGGACCAAAAATACCATCAAATCTTGATTGTGCATCACGCTATTTGGCAGAACAGTCTAACAAGGATTACTATCTCTTTGTCAAAGATGATAAAGTTTACATTTATGACATGATAGCAAAGAGAATTACGCTTAAAACGACCTCTGAATTTTGGCCTTCACATGGCCGAGTACCAGGGATACCAAAGAACGTTTCTGTAGTTGTGTCTATTGCCGAACACCCGTCATCCGGAACGTGGATTTTTCAAAATGGATTAGCTTGGGAATATGATAATTTTAAGATAGAAATACGTCAAGGAAATCCGATAAACGTAGCAAATTCACACTGGAATGGACTACCAAATGACGTTGATGATGGATATTATGATGAAGTGCGAGATAAATTTTACTTTTTTAAAGATACCCAGTACTTTGAAGGGCATATGGACAACTTTTTTCCAGAAACGCGCTCGAAAGCCAAGCCCTACATCATCTCACGCGGTTATATTCATAAAAAGTGGAAAGGAATTTGTTCCGCTAAATATAATAATGATAAAAAGAATTAATGACATGTGAAAAAGCGAATTAGCCATATCCAAGTCACGCAAACCTTCGTCATAGAACAAAAAACATGAAAAACATTTAATTTTAATGGTATTGTCATATTTTTGTTCCTTGTTGTTTGTGTGGATACTATTCGTGTTGAAAAGATTTCTGTTTACACAGGACATTGACCATACATGATGCGTTTCTACCCATGTAAGTTTTTTAGGCGTTGCAGACAGCTGTGTAACCATGACAATAAACACGAATATTTATCAGGACAATAATTTATCTCGTGCTGTGTTATTAAAACGAAGAGTAACTAGGTTTTGTGTTATTACACTTGCAATGAAATGTATAACAATGCATTTCCTAGATAAAAATAATAATAATCAATATATGAATCGACAATCGACAAATACTTCAGACAACCAATTAATGCTCTTTGCGCTATATTAAAAAGACGAAATATACTCGAAGAATTTTGAGTTTTAAAATGATGATCCTTTTTAAAACCATCCAATCAATGCTTTATAATTGCTTATAGGCAATTTTCATGAACAACGGACTCATCACCATTGCGCATACCAACCACGCAGCTGCTGGAATTTTCTGATCATGGTAAAACTACTCCAAATACATGGTCATGCATGGATAAAAAAATATGAAAATACAGTATGTGTAAAAGATATGCCGGAAAACTTCCACCATTTGATAAGTTACTTTCAATGGAAGTTATTTTACTACACGAATTTTTGGTCCCTAATAAAAGAGGTTGTTCCGTAGTTTGGGAATCAAACGATGCCTATGCCATTTTTGCGAAATTGAAATTTTGTCTCCTTTTCTCTGAAATACAGCAGCATACGTATATTATTTTACCTTATTCAACATCACAAAAACATCAGGTTGTTTTGACTGTATATGAAATTGCCAAAATTGCCGATAATTTCATCTTCATCGACATCGTTTGATTCCAAACTACGTAACAACCTCTTTTATTAGGGACCAAAAATTCGTGTAGTAAAATAACTTCCATTGAAAGTAACTTATCAAATGGTGGAAGTTTTCCGGCATATCTTTTACACATACTGTATTTTCATATTTTTTTATCCATGCATGACCAGAGCCCCCCGGTCATATATAAGTAAAGTGATTTAGTTAGTCACAATCCTGTATCTTTTACCACAGTTAACTTAACCCCGATGTTTTGGATACATAATTCAATAACCTTTTACAGACGTTTATCAGAGCGAAATCGTTTTTATTACCCGAGATTCCCTTTATCTGCATGGGAGTAACAGGAATGGTATATAATATCTTGAAAGGTATATACTGGTTACTCGAAACTATATTAATTGTTTCTATAAAATTAATGTTGAGTATTGAGCAATTTAGCTTATTTGTTTCGTATAGTTGACTCAGGCGCTTGAAAGGGAATGTAACAATGTAGAAACACTGAACGAATGATCATTGTCAAAGAATGTCTTTCCTAGTCTCTCAAGCTAAAACCATCTCGAAAACGAGTCAATCGTGTGAATAATCGGGTCATTATATAAACGGTACGTTATTCAATAAATGTGCTGATCTCTATGGGTTAAATATTCCAAAAATGTCGAAAGACATCTTCTTGATAATGTTTCCTATCATGAAAGTTAATAAATGAGTCTCCAAAACACTCTGTACTTGCTGAGAGAACTTCTTTATATTCGTAAATCCCTTTGGCTTTTGCCTGCTTTGAAGCGTGAATGTCGGGCGATATCGTTGAAGAGTTTATAGGATTGATAGTCTAATTTCTATGGTTTAATGCAATTAGGTAATTAGATCATTAACTTTGCCGACGATGCAATTAGAATTACGTCCGGTAAGTTAACAAATCAAATTATCAAAGTTATTTCCTATACGCACTTGCCAAAAAACGCTAATGGCAATGTCCTGATAATATATACCACATATGATCCCAATACTGGAATTTGGGTAAATCTAATAAGCTCAGTTATCTGACTTAGTTTAAGAACCTAATACAATATACATAGGTTGGGGTCAGTAACCGAAATCTGTAGACTGTAGCATGCTTGCTTGAGGTCGAGGACACTTTGTTGGTTTGAACTTCGCTAGTCACCACTCTGCAGGAATTCTATCTCTCTGGCTAGCTGGGTGGTAGGTACCATTAAATTAATGGATATATGCGTCTACTACGGCTGTGACCTTGGCTTAATTAATAAAAACTTGGCCTTGCCCTTGGCTTTGTCTTTGGCCTTACACATTCATTTACAAACTAATAAATCAAAACTTAAGGTCAGCACACGGAGCAATGGAGAACAGCAATCGTAGTTGCCTTTCTTGCCCTTTACTAGCAGAGGTAGGAAAAAAGGAAAAGATTTCTTTCAATATAAAGCCAGGAATGCAGTGCATGTCGTTAGTATTCAGCATTATAAGAGTAATAAGACAACGTTAGAAATGCAGCTGACGATCTTCAAAAACACATAATTCTGGCGTTCCTGATCAGTGATGAGACACTTGGTTACAATTTCCAAGCTCTCTGTCGGGTTGATTTAAGCGTAAATACAGGAGAATGGCTTCAATATTTAACCATTCAGACCACTTAACAATTACGCAAAAAAGGTTTTGCCATTTATTAGCTTTCCACTTTTGGTGCTGGTCAAAGGTATAGCAAGGAACAAACTTGTCTGGCAAGCAGATAGGAATACTGATAATTTATATCTGCCATTAATAACACGCTAAAGTGAGTTCACCTAAAACAAGGCCATTGGCAGAAAAAGTGCAATTGGTCGGTTGAAGAAACCGGAAAATATAAAGAATGGGAGATTGCGTTTGTATTCGCGCGCTACTGTGGCCTTGAGCGCCCTCTTAATGAAAACGTGCTCTTGAATGAACGTTCAAAACATGAAAATCGACACTCTAATTAACAATTATGTGCGTAGTTTTCACAATTATATCTCAGTAATAGATAGTAGACTAAATCAACAATCACAAAAGTCAATCGCCAGGTTTGTTGTATATTTAAAGGAAGAAAGTATTACAAAATATTAAAAAAATGCAAGTCGTATAAGATCCTAACAAGGTCAATACGATTTTATGACGAAATAGGGCCAATCATTTTAAATTCTAGGTCTAACGTTTAAAAATTAAATTCTAAAAAGAATATAATATACAGTATTTTTTAGGTAATCATATAAATCTTTCTCAGTGGATCTTCACAGTATAACTTTAAATGGTGCAACCCCCATGATGATAATTCCAACGACTTTCCTGCCTTCGTAGCAACTGGAATAGAATACATAAAAGGTATAATCTCACTGAACTCTTTCGTGCGTAATTCTCTACTGAGTTATATTTCCTGATTTGGGTAATTCTAGTGTTTTGAACAACACTGTTTCTCAATGGAAATCAGTTCTCAAATGCGCTAAGCAGGAAAAGAAATTAAATTTTTACAGAAATTTAAAGACGAACGTTTGTTGTGATCAATGAACATTTGCTTTTAGATTAACAAATGATGAAACATTTAAGAGTATTCCTAAAATACTATCAGAGAGAGTATTCCTAAGATACTATTACTTGTTTAACATTTCTTACGTGTGGTAAAAGTGAACTAAAACTAGTTACTGGTTATCATTAAAAATAGAAATGTAGTTAAACAGTCAAAAAACGTAACAAAAAAAAATTGTTCTAATCCTTTGAAAGCAAGAAAAACCGATATATAATATATAATCTGCAAGAGGAAAGATGTAGAATGTAGCAGATTTGTAAACCACGTTGACGGGCTGGGGGAACTCTGCCAATATACATTCCACGCGTTCTTTGAATACATACCGAACGTTTTTGGGAGCTTCAAATGCCACAATTCATAGCTCACAGATCGAGGATATCAAAATAAGATAAAATTTTTGACATCGGTATTAATATCAATGAGGAGGAAATTTTTTTGTAACATTATGTGCTAAATGAAAATTGAAAATAAAGAAAACTGAGAACAGCTTTCATTTCAATCAATGGTTTTTAAACGATTAAAATTCAGTTCCAATTAATTTAACTGATTCAGGAAGTATTCGCGTGACCTCTGTATACAATATTTATTAAATACGACGAACACGCATCACAACCGACATTCACAAGACGATACCTGACGGTAAGAAGAACTTCAAAATGACAAGGATACAAATGTATCTGGCAATTTTTCTGACAATGTTACCATTGGTAACTGCTTCACCAATACACTCTTTGACACGTGACAATGTCGCTAAACATAACAAGAACCATCTCAAGGTTGTGGTAAGTCCTGATGTCTGCACATTAATTGCTATAGGCACTCAGAAAGGGAGTAAAATGTTTTTGCTCTTAAATTAGATACTACTATTGGATTAAAAATATATAAAGAAAACAAAAAACATTGCTTTCACTGTCGCAAACTGCGTTACCAAAACATTCATAAAATTCATTACGACGTGCATGCGTATCGTTATGCAATATTTCCTGTTTTTACATGAATAGTTATTTTATCTCCGTCATTAAATCCTTCAAAGTGTGTACGCCAGAGAACATATGAATTAGAGTAGCAAGCGCAAAATCCCCCAATAACCCTGTGGGCCAGTTCTCTCATTACTGATATCATCCTAGTCTGTTGGCTGTTCGTGGGATATTTCTAAATCTCACCAGGGCGTGATCTCACTCTGAATGTTTTTATTTTAGTATACAATAACAAGGATTGCTTTTATTTCATGAAACAATAAGAGAGATATCGGACTCTCATAATATTGAATTCACTTGTTTTCTGCCAGTTTTGTGCCAGCAATGAAAGCAATACCTTATCTGGGTGGTCTTGCATGATTTATGATGAAAACTGTACGTCTAAAGAAAGCGGCGTCAAAATATATTGAACAAATATTATTACGCAAATATAATGTCTCTACCTCGCCTGGCACAATCCATAATACGTCACGTCACTTACATTGCTTAACGCGCGAAATCAAACATTCTAGATGTATTTTTTGAAATGTGTTATCTCCTCAACGAAGAGGCGATAAGTTATATATTAAACTGAAATAAAAGACCGAAATCACTTAAAATGTTCATCATATTTTTTCTTACTTTACTATGGTAAGTGATTTGAACTCCATGCAAGACGTCGTGTGCGATATACTAATGGATACTAATCCTATAGAATATTGAGAGGACCAGAAGCGGGCTACTCAGCGGTGCTCGTTTCTTTATGCAAAAATTATGCAATAAACTCGCTAGAAGGCGGAGCAGTCATCCAAGACAGTAGCGTCGATAGGGTGGGGAAGCGGGGTGACTACCCCGGGGCCGGGGGCTAATGGGAGCCTACGGGCACATGTACTTTGTTCAGGGCACATATACTGAAGAAAAATTTAAAATTAAAGTAAGAGCTAATTCCTAACTCATAGAGAAACTGCGCAATTATATTTTGCGTTATTAACTCAATTCTTAGCCTCTGCGATGGTCTTCGTTTAGTTTCTATCCAGTGGCCTGCAAAGTGGCCTGCATATGTCGCACAGCTACAGTGGAACTTAAAATACCAATAAGTTCCGGACCAAAATTTTAAAAAATTGCCCCAGGGCCCATTCACTCGACGCCTTTGATGGCGGAACACGAGAGCAACATGCACGCTACATTCACATAAAAAGTTTCCGACTTAAGTGACCCAGAGGGGTTCATTATTCCATGCTAATGCCACGGCTAGTGTGATTTACGATGATATCTAATTCATGATATTCTAGATCACTAAAATTGTGCCACGAACGTACTGTGAGGTATAAACAGCGTGACTATATCCCTGAACTTTTTCTGTAGCAATACCTTGGGCGATACGGTCATCTAGATGATAAACCTGACGCGAGAAGTCTTATCCATTCTCAAAGAAACAAACAGTTTATGGCAGACGAGACAAAACCAAAACTTGATGTTTTCCATCCTTATACTGATGACGAGATCACAAATGGAATTAAAAGTTTCCAAATTTCGTTTGGCTTAAAAATTTCAGGTGAATTAAATGAAGAAACAATGAAAGTGATGGAGTCTCCAAGATGTGGATTTTCCGACAAAGGCGCCAACAACGCGTTTCGAATGACAATTCACGTTCATCGCAGAAAACGATATTCTATAAAACATAAACTCCCAAACGGTCAAATGAAAGAATTTAAGTGGAACAAAAAAAAAATAACGTGGAATATCTTGATCTATTACAAACATTTAACAAATAAAATACAAGATGAAACTTTGGAAAAAGCATTTAAATTATGGGAGTATTCAACACCTTTACTATTCACTAAAACATCTAGCAAAGTTCCTGATATAAGGATTGAGTTTGCACCTGGTAAGTGCTGATTAAAAATCTCTACTATCACGAGTAGATTATAAATTATGTGACGTAAAAAGAGGGCGATATTAAGTTCCGATTTCTTTTCATGTGATCCACTAATTCCGCGCTGCGAATCAACGTGGTCATCAACACAGTGTCTTCAACACACTAATTTTTTTAACGCAGCTGTTCATGGTGACAAGTTCAATTTCGATGGCCCAGGAGGTGTGTTAGCCCATGCATATCCTCCAGTTAACCATAACATAGCTGGTGATATCCATTTTGATGCAAGTGAAAAATGGGATAAAGATTATGATTTATTTTCTGTCGCTCTTCATGAGATTGGACATAGCATTGGTTTGGCTCATTCCAGTATTCCACCCAGTATAATGTACGGTACTTATAAAAAGAAACCTGGACTTCATTGGGATGACAGAGATGGGATAAATGCACTCTACGGTGAGTCGACACCAACACTAGCATAAAGCAATACTATTTTCATCATGTATTCTATATACCTACGGATCCGACTGGTAGTAAGTATATTCTATATAACAATAGGTCCGTGTAAGACGAAGCTTGATGCGGCTATATATCTTTGGGGTGACGTTTATTTCTTACGCAAAGATCTGATTTGGAAAATAGACGAATTTGATATGCAAAATAGCTATGATACAGGATATCCTAAAAAGATTAAAGATGAATTCATTTCCACAATGCCAAATGATGTTGACGCTGCACTTGTATGGTCTGACCATTTTCTTTACGTTCTTAAAGGTAAGTAAGGTAAATTACTTTATTTTTGTACAATCGGAATGTATATATAACTTCAATGTGTTTTTTGGCGAGATATTTTTTCATTAAAAATTAGTTGTTGACAATCAGGATTATAGGCAGCCTAAAATTGCGCGTGCACCATCAAACTTTATCATCGAGCGTATAATTACTGTATGATAAAAAATAATCTGAAAGAAATGAGGGGAGTCCGGGCCCCCATCTCTATCCTCCCTTGGCAACGATACTGAACTAATCTTTTTAATAAACGGTGGAGCAATGCAGAAAGCCTGTTTGAGTAAATACTTCAGGTTGATCACGCAAGGTATACATACTTAGGTTAACATAGCTTGATCGGTTTTGATCAAAGCAATGTTATTGATCAAAAGGTAAAGGCCTTCTATTCCTTAAAATATAAAAACATTGGAGTGTTATTTGCATTCGTTATGTTTAGGTTCTCGCTCATATGGATATGACAGGTTTGCAAAAAACTTGAAATATGACAGTGCTATTTCCTATGATTGGCCTAAAATACCTAACAGCCCAAACGCAAGCCTGTGCTACACAGACGACAAAATAACTTGGTTCTTCAAAGGAGATTCCTGTTGGAAAATGAATGATTGGAATTTGAACGTTTTCCAAGGGTATCCTAAAAAAATCACGGATGTATGGCAAGGTGTTCCCGACAATATTGACGCGGCATATTATTCATCTTGGTCCAAGGAAACATATTTCTTTAAAGGCACCGAGTATTGGGTGGTTGACAATAGGAAATATAAGCAAGAACCGTACAAAGCTTACCCAGGAGGTCAAATCCATAAAAAATGGAAAGGCGTTTGTTCAGAGAAATACTGAAATCAACTCTAATTTTTCGTACGAAGACATTCAGCCTTCTCTGTTGGGGCCGTGGTGACCAGGAGGGGGTTGGGGTGTCTTTGTCCACCTCATAAACTTCAAAATAACTTGCATTGTAATCTTATATTCCTAGAAAGCCCTAATTTTAAAATAATTTTGTATAGAATATTGTGACTGACTTGCGTGAACAATGGTTTTGTCTGCGTGAAAATAATTGTAATATTTTTATTGATGACGTATGCAAACATTTCGTTTGCATGAATTTGAATTATAGTTGATTTATTTAATTAATATTTATTTTAATGTGCTTGTTTTCATGACTCGTTATTATCTTCTTTTTTTCAAGAGCGTCAAAACACATCAAATAAAAAAATACGTCAAGTTATACTAAATGCTGGAGATGGTTTAGACGTTCGTGACGGCCTTAGCGCGGTTTATAGAGGCATTTCTTTCTATTTCTTGTGATAATAGAAATGTGAGAAATTGCTTGCAGCTAATGCTTGCGATTACAAATTCATATCAAAGAAAATTTGCTAAATAAAATGTGTTCTGAAAAGAGGTTTTTGTTGAGCACCACAGAAATTGCTGTTTATGACGTTTCAACCCAATAATCTAATCACATTGTGCATTTCTGTATTGCATTCTGTATTTTAGAATTCCAGCTTACAAATGGAATTGTATTATGTCTAAATGTGTGCTGTGATAAATGATAATTCATGAACAACATTCTAAAATTGTTGTATACCAAAATATACCATCAAAGAGACTGCCGTGGGTATAACCCCTAAACTCTGTAACGTCCAAATAACTTAGAAATAACTGAGCTATGGAAATGATTCAAATGAATGCAACTAAGGATATAATCATGAACACGGAACACTCCCAGGATCCAATGTTGGTTCAAGTCACTCTAGTAATTAGTTATTACATGAAGTATTTCTCACAATCAAATATGGCGGTGGTACTTGATTAGTGACGGTGATTTCATCAGCTTTTTTATCGGTTAATAAAATGTTGTACATTAGTTAACAGGGGAAACAATACACATATTTATAACAGTACATACGAAAAGGACTGTAGTAGACGACGTCGGTGTACAAGCAGTATATAAAATGTGTGAATTTCAAGCAATTGTAATGGCAGCTGGTCGTGGTTCGAGAATGTACCCACTTACTGAAAACATTCCCAAATCCATTCTTCCTGTTGGTAATTTACCACTCATCTGGTATCCACTTAATCTTTTACAAACGTCGGGATTTGAAGGTACCAAGATTTGATGTAAATGGTTCATATGTTTGTCCACGTGTTTTTTACTATTAAGATTTCAATATAAATGATATAATTATTCACCAAAAAAGTTAGAAATGTAATTGGTTTCTATTATAAGCATAAAATGAGGCCAATTTTCTTACAGAAGTCATAGTTGTTGTGTTGGAATCAGAGAGAGATTTAATCAGCAACTCTATTGAAAAATGTTTTGATGCAAAGATGAAAATTGAAATAGTACCAATTCCTGATAATAGCGCTATGGGCACTGCTGACTCACTAAGACATATCAAGGAAAAAATAGAGGTGAAATGATGTACTTATATGACAAATAGCTAAAGAATATATATTATACTTTGTCTGCATCAGATGTAACTAGTGGCTGGACATCAGTAAGTGATATAAATTTACCATCTTAACATTTTTAGTAATTTCCTTGCAAAAAGTATATTCTCTACACACTTGTACTATCCTACAAAGTCAAAAGACGATTCAAAGAGCATTTATTCCTGGCATTATTTAGAGAGATATTCTTGTTGTGAGCTGTGATATTATCGCAGAAGTAAAGCTACATCAACTAGCAGATATTCATAGGACATATGATGCAACTATCACTGTACTATTGTCTTCAAATGAAAGCAATGAAGAGGAGAAAGAAGAAAATACAAAAAAGAAAACAAAGAAAAATCTATTAAGTGAGTAGGAACACCCATTTCATGTAAAAACTATCTACCAGAGCCTTTAACTTTGACTTCCATAAATGCCATGAAATTGCATTACCCTTTAAAACCACTGTAGTCATTCTTTATGTCATTCATAGCTTTATTTGTCTAAATGGCCTGGCATAAGGCAAATATTTAAACCAGTATTCTAAATTGGGCAATAAAACATTTTCACTGACAGAGTGTAAAGAAAAACAGTATTTAGAGATGTTTCAACAATCATATCAGGAATACTTCACTTTGGAAACCTAATATCATTCATATAAAACATAAAATTGTCAAATTATTAACAACATTTGTAGCCCAACGAGATATTATCGGTTTGGATGGGCAACAGAACAGATTGTTAATCTTTGATGCAGAAGATGACCTGGATGAAATATTAACTTTACACAAATCATTATTAAAAAGGTACTTTAGTTATTCTTACATCTCCAGCTATTGAGCTGTCTTGGGATAATTAATAACAGTATTAATCAATGACCAGTAAGGTACTGCGATAAGAAGACATGGCAAGATGTTGCAGCATTTCAAACATAGTTTATTCACATAAATAATTTTGGTCACTTTGTTGTAGATTTCCATATGTAAATATCAAGAGTGACCTCTTGGATGGTCATCTCTATATCATAAAGAAATGGGTTGTTGATTTTCTTATCTCAAACAAGTAAGTGTTATTATGTGGGTCATTATGACTGTCGTTGTCATGATAATATGGTGAAATTAAATTGTATAATGTTGTCTATTTTTAGATCAATTAATTCAATAAAAGGAGAACTTATTCCATATTTAATAAAGAAACAATATAGAAAAAATAAAAAATGTGTTGAACCACAAGATTTAGCTTCATCCAAGGAGGTAATGGAGGAAGATACAAAGAACGGTATGAAATTTTATTTTTTTTACTTGATGAGACAATATGCTTGAGTGTAGGCCATATTTATATGTAGATAGATAGAGGCAAAGGAAAACTGGAAGGTTTGAAGCACAAGTCAGAGTGAATTACCACAGCTCTCTTTTGCAATCATATTGGTAGATTTTTATGTCAATATATTCTTTACAAATAAATAACCAATAGCATTGTTATTAAGGTATTTTGAATTGGAAATTAGGCTGTGCAATTTATTCTGACTAACTTTAAATGCTCCACTGGTGTCTGGTTGGTACTCTTATCCCAAGTAAGACCTTGATGCTGGTTTGTTCTTTTTTAGACATTTTTAATTATATTGAGAGAAATGAACTGGATGAATGGACACAAAGTTTATCAACGTCAGATCGTATATGTACAGAAAAGATGAGATGTCATTGTTATATAATGGATGATGGTCATTGTTTACGAATCAACACAGTTCCCACGTATATGGAATCGAATAGATTAGTAAGTACATTTCAAAATCAAATAGAACATCGCTATCTCCTCCCTCTTTTGATGAATAGATCAATTTTGTTGTATAGATACCAAAACTTTTACCAACATTATCCGCCAAGAAAGAACTTGTTCATCCATTAGCGAACGTTAAGAAATCTCAGGTACTCGATGGTCACGACCGAAACTAGAGCGATGATTGGGCCGGGCCGCGGGGGGGGGGGTTTCTGCCCGACGGATTTCTTTTGTAAACGCATTTACGTAGAACGCAGAACGAATATATGAATATTCACCCCCTCCCCAATTATCGCATTTAGTTTCGCCCTTATCGATGTTATTTCACTACGTAAAAAACTGTTCTTTTGGCAGCAACCAAAAAGGCTTAAAATTAACTAATTTTCTCTTTTCATAACATCGTTGTAATGATGAACCCACCAGGTTGGTTCTGACAGCATGGTTGGTGAGGGTTGCAACATTTCGGAGAGTCAAGTATCAATTAAAAAATCAATTATTGGCAAACATGTAACAATTGGTGATAAAGTAAAAATAACAAATTCTGTTATAATGAATCATGTCACGATAAAAGACAGGTAAGTTACATAAGAAGGATCAAGATTTTTCTCCGAATAGAACGGAGTTGTTTTTATTTATTTATTATCAAATTTATTGTGATATGAGTGATATTATAAAAACGGGGTCGTTGGGTAAAAGTAAATAAGCAACCGTAAGGTTTATTATAATTGCCATACTACGTCAGCAGATATATTGAAAAATAATTATACAAATATTTCCCCTCACTGTAGCAGTGTTATATTAAACCGGCATGACTCAAAAACTAATTCGAAATTGTTTTTTTTTCTTTTAGTTGTAACATAACTGGTAGCGTGATATGTAATAATGTTCTTATTAATGAAAATAGTACATTGAAAGATTGCCAAGTCGGAGAATCACAAACTTTACCTGAGGGTTGTAAGTACAGTATTGCCTTTTTTAGAGGTCATTTTCTTAAACTTGGATCATTGCTCAAACTCATGTAAACAAGGTGCATGTCAATCCAGTCTATTTCTATGTCGAAGCTGACAACTATTGCTTATATAAATCTAAAACCTCGCACAAGAAGGATATGATGATACGCTATCGCATATGAGTTGTTTTGCCTTCACATTTCTACATCTTTACTTTGCAGCTGACGTGAAAGGGGAAGCATTTGGTAAAGGACATATGAATATTTAGAAGGTTATATATCAACTGTAAAGTTCTTTGCTTTCTTATAAAGAGGAAACATGTTGTCTCTCGTTGATAAAATTTTGTATGTTGAATTGTTCGGGAAATGAAAGGGTTTATCTACTTTTGCTAAATGCACAACCCACACGGAATCGTTTTTTCGCTGTTTAATAAAGACAATATGCTGGGTTTTTATTAAATTTTATTCATGGCAGTATAAATATCAGTGGGTGAACTACCATTGGTGCAACCAAACATATCTGCAACAACCAAAAGTAGATATTGCATAAAGAAAAAATTTTTCACTCGTAAATTCACATGTTACCTAACGAAGTAAGTTCGCAGCTTTATTCACAGCTGAATGTTTATTTAGTAGTTTAGATGACATTATTAGTTTCATCGTCCGAGTGATCATACGAGATCCATTCATCTTCTATCCAACCTTCGTCTTGTTCGTCCTCGTACGACGATAACGTTTGCAAAATTATATTTTCAAAATCTCTGCGGCATTCTTCGTGTATGGGCCGTTTACACTGGCCTTCAATAATGTTAACATTGACTGAATTTTGATTTAATCTTGAACACTTCACTTCATAAGCTGAGCGATGATCAAACCATGATTTTGAACCAAAAATGAATGTTATCTGCACCTTTTCATCTAGTGAATTGATTCGTTTTATCAGAGGATCTCTTGCCCAGATATTTAACACACTCAACTTGCTATAAGCGTTTTTACCAGACGAGTTTTGAACTTCTTGACATAACTTTTTATATTGAGACCATGCTTCTTGTTTTTTAAACAAATTTTGTACAAACGTACAAGGATGTCTAATCATTTGATATAAATATTTTAATTGACGACAGTAAAAGCACGCGATTGCGTAAATAAATTTGAGACGTTGTGCGCAGTGAAAAACAACATCTAGTTTAGTAAGCCACCGTGGGAAGAACTCGGATTGTTCAATGGATTTCCTGTTTGGACTGCGATCAGTCATACCAAATGGTAGTATTGGGAATCCCCATGGTTCATACAGTGTTAAGTGACAGACTCTCCAAGGATACATGAGAGTGTACAAGGTCGCAATGTATCCACCAAAGTCATGACCAAGTAGAAAACATTTTTCAATGGCCAGATTTTGACGCCATAGCTCTAACCATCTTACATATTTGCGTTCAATTTCGTCCACTGTTCCTGATACCGAAGGCTTCGAGCTGCGTGCAAATCCCGGAAGATCAATGGCATAAACAGTACAATTTCTACTCAATCTTTTCGCGTTATAAAGGAATGAACACAAACCGGTGTTAAGACCATGTAACAGGACTAGTGCTGGTTTATTAGGCACCCCAGGATTGAACACAACGGTCCGTATTAACACGTTATCTTCAACAGTAATAAATTTCTCTTGGTAAAAGCGCCTACATGATTTCAATAATAGCAATTCTGTCCTTTCCAGTTTCGCTTCTACTGTTTCAAATTTAAACAGCAACTTGAGGAGACAGTTTATGATAAATATCAAAATGAACCTTATCATTTTATCGATTCCAAATAGCATTTTGGACTTTTTATAGAGCTTGATTAGATAGCATGTAAAAGCTATGTTTTTAAATTTCAATATAGCGACCTTTGATCTTTATATGTCATCATACTATGCTAATATTTAATAAGGTATCAAATAGCTACAGGGAATTTTAAACTTTCTTTGTTCTCTATTTTCGTTTTCCTTTTCCGGTTTGGGATTTTTATTCTCCATCCCAGTCCTCAAAGTTCAGGTTGTTGTCGTTGCTATGACAATATTCAACATGGCGGATTATACAGCAGTAATGACTGTGACTAAAGAGTGCAAAATAAAAGATCGCTAAGTTTATTAATTTGGTGATAAATTTTTCATTTTTAAGCAATGACGGATATTATATGTCGCTGGCTAAATGACGATGTTAAACTCAGTCTAAATATCGGTAGGTTGCTATGAAAACAAAGCATCTGAAATGTAAAATGTCCCTATATATAAGAAGTCTAACGCCTTTTTAGCTACGCAATATTCGCCCAACTGACGCACTAGTACAATATTCAAACTATTTTATACAAAGAAGAGGACGTCAATGAATCGCAAATAGTTGAAATAGATTTCGTCCAACATTGCAAACTTGTCATTTACTTAAATCAGTTTTGGTGGTAGACCTGTTCGATCCTCGGCCTGCAGCATGTGTGACATACCCACAATGTAGGGTAAAATATATTTGCAGAAACTGGAAGAAATAACAAATTAAGAGTCGCTATGCCCATAGGCGTTAAATGTTACATTTTAATCCAATTACAACTGCAATTCAATCTCATTGCAACACTAGTCCATTTGCATGCAACTGTAGACTGTGAACCTTTTTTCGTGTTTGTTTACGTTTCAAATATTAACTAAAAAAACCCCTGGAGGCACGGCTTGCAAATGTGTTTGACTCGCATTTAAAACTGTTTGAAGGGCAGGTTCAAATGAACACATTTTCAACTGTAAACTTCTGTGTTTGAAACAGAAGCAAACACGGAAAAAGGTTGACAAATAATGAATTAACATTTATTTAGAGTAGAGAGTTGGAGAAATATTCATTTCAATGAGATGTTGGCATTAGAGAGTTGTTCATATTAGAGAGTTGTTCATATTTGAGTGACATATCCATATTAGAGAGATACTCATATTAGAGAGATTTTTCTAAGAGATGTCTGACTGTAAAATTTTTCCAATTTCCAGAAAAAGAAAATGTGTCAAAACGTTTTAGCAGTGGATATTTATTCGGTGAAATCTTATATAAGTATGGGTTGCAGGACGATTTCTCGTCTTTTTCTGAGGGAAGGTGAGTGCATGTCTAGCATTTTGAATATGGTATACCAGAATAAAACTGAAAGCTTAAATATCTTGTTTACATGCAGTGACTGAAACAATTTCAGGAATATTACCTATCATGTTTACACATGTTTAATTTTTAGAACTGCTGATTCTAAACTCAATAATTTTACAAGGATTGAATCTGTAATGAAGTTGCTAGAGATTCCTTATGATACAAATGTGGTAAGTATTTTCAATATTCAATCAACACAGGCTTTTTAATCTGTGGGTACAACTATGTTGTAGTTACAATATACATATATAGTGTAAAAAATTAATATTAAATTTCTTTGGGGCTAGGCAAAATCAATAATGAATGAAAACCATGGTGCTGCAACCAAGTTATTGTATCAGTTGTTTATTGCTTTGGGAAGAAAAGCTAAGAAAAATCTAACTGGTGTTGCTATGGAAACAATGCGACCGAGTGCACCAGTCAAGTTAGAGAGTATTGAAAGTTTGATGCATAAAGAGGTACACTATTACCAATTACTCTTTATATCATTTGCGAAACCTGTCGTGACTATGTTTCATTTTCTTAGAGATTAAAGCAGCTGGTTCCTAGACAAGTTGATGTTAATTTTGAGACTTTAGTTGAGAGATATCAGAGCAAGCAGAGACTTCAAGAAGAAATGGTTGTTAGAGCAAAGTATGTTTTTATGCTATTCTTTCTAAATATGCCTGCAAGACCTTGTTAAAACTCTGATGGCAACTGGTATGGAACCTATTTTGTCTCCATACATATATAGTTGTCACGTTTGTGTCCATAAATTCATGAACTATCATACTGCAAAACTTGCCTTTAGACATGAAGAAGAAAGAAAAGTTAGACAATATCAACAAGATTTGCGACAACGGAGTTTAGAAAAGGTGATCTTCCACTTACTATGATTAGTGTATAGTGTATAGTCTGTGGTAATAAAGAGATTAGAATGATCACTACTAACTAGCGTGCATGGCAGGCGGTCCCTAACTACTAACTGACGCAAATATTTTCTTTCTAGTCTCGACATATACGAGATAAACAAAATGAGGTCATGCAGAAAATAAGGTGAGTTCAAATTTTTTTTGGTCAATGTAAAGGATAGTATGGATTCATCTCATTATTTGTGAGCTGTATGTATTTATTAATTTATAAACTTTGCTTATTTCATCGTTCACGCTGCTGGCAGTAATACGTGTGTGAAATTAACGTCGTGACATTTCAAATCATTTCAGAGACGCTCAAGTTCGGATTCCCAAGCCTCCTGAATCAAAGGTGAGTTAATGGAGAGTTTTGCATTTCAGTACCGCTACCGCCGTTACTGTTGAGAGACCATAAACTAATTTTGCCAAACATTTTTCATCGAGATTTGAACAGTTGTATATTCGTTGGTTCATTTATTTCAACAGAAATCAGCAAAGACCAAACAAGAAAGTAGAAAAGAAAGAGAGATACAGGTAAAGTACTGTAAAAAGCTAAGGAAATACGATCCCTGTAAGTGTTAATTGTGTGACCGTAATGTTCATTTCATGTAGGAAGTAAAAGATCACATCAGTTCATTTGAGGAAAGTATGAGGACAAATCTACCCCAACAAAGTTCTGTGCAGTTTAACAGGTTGGATATCTCATCATTTGTTAGGTTTTGTCAAAGGTTACCTTTATAGAAATGCACCTTTTTATTTTTAGTGAAATGGAAGGAAGGCAAGATCTGGAGTTTAGAACAACTCGAAAGCCTCTTGAGCCCATATCATTGGTACGAGGATTAATTCTCATGTTTGTTTATCATTTTTCCATAAATAAGTTTTTAAAGATCAATATACAGCCAGAGCTAGTCGAACTGACGTCGTATTCTTCCATAGAAAACAGCTGGAGATGATTATGTGTCAAAGATAAAGAAAAGATTGAACGAAGATGCTGTTGCGAGGAAGGTAAATCATTTTGTTTTGTTTGTAGACCAGGCCAACGTTGTTGTGTGAGGTGTCATTTTTTTGTTCAATTGTTTATGTAAAGGAGCGGGAAAAACGAAGACGAAGAGTTTTGATTGAACAACTGAAAGCTCACGAATCCCAAGAGGTATTTTGTAATGCATGAAGCATATTATATCATTGAAGCTTTGGAGAACCGTTTATAAGTCGGGCAACATTGTACATGTATAAACACATGTTACACATGTAAACAGCTTAATTCGAGACTTTCGAGTGTACTAATCATGATGTATCCCGTAGGAACAACGTCGTGAGGAAATGTTGGTAAAACGACTCATGAGACAATCTCAACAAGAAAAACGCATAGCAGTGCAGCTTATGCAGGTATTATTTTTAGCCTACAGTGATTACAACCACAGGCGCAGTTGAAGTTTTTGGCTTACAGTAGTCGTCCTGGTATCAATCTCAGTAGAATGATAATTGTGGCTGCATGCATGGATTAATCCACAATTGAATGCAAAAATGATGATTATATGATGGACATTGTATTCTTTTCATTAGAATGCATTACTGTTGATTTAACATGAACAGCCTGGGCTGCATGTAGACCATCACTGATCATCTTTTTCAGCAAACGATTTCACTCCACATCCGGACGTCAAAAGTTAGACTTGGTTTAGAGAATGAATGAAACCATTGCTAACTTGTTGTTATTTTTCATATTATCTTTGCAGATCAGACACGAGAAACAAGTCATTAAAGAAAACAGGTTTATCTCTTTTTCATTTCATGCTGTTAAATAAAATGTACACGGAATCAAAAGGATGATGCGCGAATAAGGCCGTGGAATCTCACAACCAACGAATTTTCCGATTCCTAGAATTTTCCGAGAGAAACAGTATGCAGAAAGACGTTTGAAAGATTTTGAAGATGCTCTCAATCAAGAAGCGGTTGGTTCTTTATTTTGTTTATGATTATAAAGATATAACTTTGCCGTAACTCAAACGCAGTGGTATGTAATGATGACTTTGTATCGTAGGAAATGTGTCGCCTCGCTCAAATTGAGTATCGAGATCAGATTAAGAAAACGAAAGATGAAAGGGAACAATTATTGGAGGAAAGAAGAAAACAAAAATATGAAAAACATTATAACATATGTGAACAGGTGATCTTTCTCATTTTATATGTTTGGTTTAAACCTGCTGCCTTTTTACATCATTTTACTTTTGTCTTGTCCCATTGAACGATTCATTTAGATCCTGTCTGATATTGTCGACCTTAGCTGTAAGATTGGCGAATATCGGGAACTCACTGAAGGGTTTGTACTACAAATCTTTCTTTGATTGATTTATACACCCTCGTTTTCATGGCGTATTTCCCAATGAGAGAAAGAAAAATTCTCTGGGACAAGTATTTGATTCATGCGTAGTGTTTGGTCCAGTTTATACTTTATAGTTTCTATGAGCTCAGTTGGAATGTATTGCATTGCTAAAACACAGGGCAGGAATGCACTTTGCGGGGCGCTTCACCACCACTGGGGGGCGGTGTGAATTCAGAATTCCCTCCAATGGTAAGATCCTACATCATTTTGACCGTCTTCCAACAAGCGTTTTCCTGTGTTTTCAACCTTAGAAATGTTCCTGAGAAATTGTTTCGTGAATGGAAAGGGTATTTCGACGCTTCTCTGCCACTTTACCCACACGAGGTAACCATCATTGAAATAATTGAATTTAAGAGCGTGATAATCCTCTAAACACAAACAATATTGAATGGTTTGTTTCGTCTGGATTGGTTTTAACTACATGTACTCCGCTACGCCGTCCAGACCAATTGGGAAATCTTTATATATTGGATTGTTCATGCAGTAATTTTGTTTTTTATTTTATCAGATTTTAACAGAGGAAGAAATTAAAAGATCCCATGAACTTCTGGTTGAAGAAGAAAAAAACAAATTGACAGACGAGTCTGATTTTATTGAATATAGAGTGAGTATAGGTTTGTGTTCACCGTGAGCAAGCTGACGGCCATCTGGCTCTGGAACAGTGTACAGCGGAACTGAGGAACTTCATATAGTCACACTTGTATCGTCTTTAGTATGGGCTCGTTCATCGTCTTATATAATAACACTTTCTCTTTTTGCAGGGAGCTGTTGGTGAGTGGGAACCAAATGACGAGAGTCTTGATCATGTTCTGCCAAAAGATAATCCTATTCTTGGTCATATTGTTCAGAAGTTATTTAACATCATATCTCCTCCTGAGGTAATCATGCATTCATCAATATATAAGACATCAAAATAACTTTCTCCTAAAACAAAATATTTTATTCCAGCCTCCACCACCAACGCCAGAATTTCCTCCGTTTCCTGTAAAGGCGTGCTTTCTTGGAAAGTTTTTTAGTGGAAAAACAACCGCTGTACAACGTCTTGTTGCAAGTATGAATGAATATTGACTATTAGTGGCGATTGGGCATAATTTCCGAGTTCATTTTCACAGCTATAACATAGTTAAAAAATTATGGTCATATTGAAGACATAAGAATTTAGATGAGCACATCTATTATAAGAATTTATATAATTGTTCTCAGGGCAGACTAGGGTGGTAATATTTTCATCATCTTAAGAAATGTTTCATAATGAATTATGCAATCTTTAAATGTTCAGGTCACAGAGTGGTGAGGTTGTGTATTGATGATCTGGTTCAAGAGGCAATTGAAGCTTACCAGACTGGTGAAACGAGAGAAGAAATTATAGAAAACAACGAGGTGCGTCTGCTTGTGTTGTCAAAGTTTATATGATTATGCAGTGTTACGGTAACTTCGCATACTACAATAACTGATTACCAAAATTGCTTAAAATTAATTCCGTACTGCTGGGTGAGCTTTGATATGATGCGAACGTTGATCAACTTTCTCGTAGTCTGGAGCTCACCTGAATCCGCAATTCTTGTGACTAATGAGACAGTAAACGGTATTTCATAACGAGTTTATAGGAATGAACCCAAGACGTGTTTGTATTTTAGCCACAAAATGAGAGATGTCTTGAAGATAAACCTTCTGCACAAGCTCCAGAAACGACAACCTCGGATCAAGCTTATCAATCACGTGATGAAACAAAAGGTAGTTTTTGTCTCGTTTTTCGTTTTCACGCCCTTTTTTCGCGCGATCCATTGGGTAAAACTGTTACAATATATTAAATTATATGTATTGTATTCGTAACACGTTAACCTCCATTCCCTAATAATAATTTAGAAAATGAAGATCCAAATAATGCAACTGCTACAGAGAATGTGGAAGCCAAAGACTGCGGTGATGCTGAAGGGAATGAGAATGAGCTAGAAGAAGAAAATAAAAGATATTACGTTGTGAGAAAAGTTAGTGAAAAAAAATATCTTAAAGCTATTGAATTGTAGAAATCTCTTTGATTGATGAATTGCACTTGAATATTGAGGTGCTTGTTCAGAGATTTTATATGGTCAAAATTTGTAAAATTTGACCTTAATAAGATCATGATATTTTTCACTATATTATATATTTGAGTGTCGATGTTTTTGTCTGGTCTTTATAAAAAGCTGTATCTGAATGATTCATCTTATGTTTAGACCACGTCACGGGCAATACTCGGTGAAAAAGCGTATGAATATTTAAGGAAAGGAAAACAAATCCAGGATCAGTTGTTGGTTGATATTACTGTTGAAGCAATAAGGTAAAAACACTTCTGGTCTCCATTACCGGTAGTACTTACTATAGCTATGAATTTCGTGGAGATATTTCAGACTATTCTTTGTGCGGCTGTGTAGGCAGATATCTGGCTAACCGTACCCGCTAGTCTCAGACCTAGGTTACAAGTTTTCTTTGGAGTGCAATTGCCAATAAGAATTTTATTAATGTTTGTAGACAAGTACCAGCTGGAACAGGATGGATTTTGGATGGTTTCCCTTCAACTATAAGTCAAGCAAAGGTAATGAATGCGTATATATTCGCATCACGCAACAAATATTGTCATTTTGCGAAGTATTTGAGCTGCAGAGGTTTCTGATGCCCTTTGTGTTTGTAGATTCTTGAGAAATCATTAACTGGTTATGATGCAACTAAAGATGTTAAAACCAAAGAAACTAAGGGAAAAGGAAAGAAGTCGCGTATTGCTCCAGATCCAAATCCTGCTGTTGAGGTATTTTAAATTACACTCCACATCTCTGTTTCGTCATTGGAAATTTATAGTTTATACTATCCGAGATTGTGTGAGACATGCGTGTAGCCTCAATGTGCATTATAAGTGATTCTTGATGATTAAGAAGAGTACATAAGATGTCTAAACATTCCACGACACGAGTTTTCATTGTTTTACAGTCTCCACCTCCTAAAAGTGGTATTGACATTGTTGTATTATTCGATGTTTCTGATGATGTTGTTTTAACAAGAGCCGAAGGACGCACTTGTAAGTAAGAATGTCTTCCCAACACATCAACCTGCATTATACTTCATGAAGGATGTAGTCAAACACGATACGTTTCCGATTACTATTTTAGATGATCCAACAAACAGCGAAATATTTCATCAAGAGTTTAATCCTCCAGTAGATGGCAGTTATACAGGATTAGGAAAACAAGAGAAAGTTCGCCCGGTTATTGATCCATCCAATGATAGAGAGCAAGTACAACAAAGGTACAGAAATCTTCGCTGTCACAACTCTGTTTTCATGTAGATATCGTACGTAGCAGTATGGTGCTGTAAGGGTAATCACTGGCATTGTCTCTTCTCAGTTACAATGTTTAAGTAAAGCTAAATAAATAGAGTCTTCAATTGATAAAAGGAAAGCAAGTTCCAGGTAGAGCATTGCACATGTCCCTAGTTTTTCATTTTAGTTTTTCATCGCAGGATAACTGGTTTTGATGATTCGTGGTCAAAACTTGAAAAATGGTTTAACAAATTTGGAATTTTGAGCAAAGTTGATGTTGATAATTCTATCGGTAAGTAATTATTTTTGATCAATGAATTACGACAAGTGAATTTTAATTTCATCTGGTAAATTTATGGTCGTTCATGGTTATGGTAATCGCGTTGTTTTTCTAATGTCAGATAATGTGTATGAAAGTGTTGCATCACTTCTTGTCACGACGACAGAAAGAATTCAAGGACCTATAAAAGAAGTTAAAAGTGTAAGATTAACGTGTTTATGCATGTGAAGTTAGGCAAAGTGTGATATTTTCATTAGATTTTCAATTAGATGCAATATACCCATAGTTATATTTTTTATTTACGTCTCATGTGCATCAATATATCCTGTTCTTTGATTTAGGAAGAGGTGACAAACACTGCCATAGAAGGTAGAATTCTTAAACCTTATTCTTCTGCTTTAGTGAGAATCAAATATTAAATATTGGTGATGAAGTGCATAAAGGTGGACAGTATAACGACATATTCAACGAGAGATTTGATCTTGTAATCTACTGATGATCGGCGGATTTTACTGAGAAATCACCGAACTCTGTATTATTCTGTGTTTTAGTAATTGAATCAACCCCTGTTAATGATTCTGTGGATGTAGTCAACACAGATGAACCAAAAGACGCCACGAGCCACGAGGATGTCGAGGACACAAAGGAAACTCCAAACACAAAGACAGGTTTGTAATAATAAATGCGTTGGTTTCCTTTAGTTTCGTGATTCTTGAGTTTGCATGTTTATTAAGAAATTGGTGAGAACTAAGTATTGATGATCGTCAAGTTCGATATTCAAATATATAATGATTCAGGCGAGCATATTTCTAGAATTAATCAAGAATTTATTGTTGTATTTAGTATCTCCTAAAGCGTCAAAAAAAATGTCGAAGAAGGATCGGAGTCCATCACCCCCAAGTAAAGCTGTCTCTCCTAAGTCATCCAAGAAGAACCTACGACCCGGTTCTAAGAGGAGTTCACCATCTCCTTCCAGGAAGCCATCAAAGGTTAAGTCACCTACTGCATCACGCACTGACGCAAAAAGGGCAAAATCTCCCGGTAAATATCATATTTTGTTCCAATAAAAAAATTATTGAACTTATTTTCCTTTTTAAAACCGACAATTCTTTTTACGCTTTGACATAATAGCTATTCTATCAGTTTATATAATGTAAAAACCCATTTCATTATTGTCAATATTGATTTAGTAAAGAAACAAGACGTTCCCGAGGAGTTACCAGTCGAGCCTGTTGTACCACCAGGTCCGGAGCCTGGGTCCAAGGAATGGGAATACGTTGATCAACCTATTGAAATGGTCAGTGTTTTTATTGCATATACATGAAAGTCATGAAATCTGAGATAGACAACTCTCGCATCACTAGAATTATGTCTCGAACGCAAGAAAAGCGTCGTAATGAAATTGATCACATTTATTTTATCATCCAGCCGTTGGTTGAGGTTCTTGCAAGTCGCTGGGAAAACCTGGAGAAGACGTACATTGATACAGCTAAAAATGTATTTCGAGAAATTCGTCTTGAACGGGAGGTGATATGCAGATATTTTTATAGCACCAGGTAAAACAAGAATTAGGTTAAAATATATTTATTTTCGCCCAGGTTTTGTCCAACACATTGTTACACCATTTAGCTAGTATAACTTAATTAATGACATGATTATAATATCCTGAAGGAAAGAATTCTTGTCGTTTTTACGACGTCCGGATGAAAAAGAAGAATATGTACTTCAGTGGCAGTCTCATTATAATGACGTGCCTGAAGACATGCGCAGTGATGACGAAGTCAAAGCTGAGTTACATCAAAAAGTTGACGTAAGATTGCTTTCTCTAATTCCCTTGTTATTTCTTAAGAATGCCACTTTATACCATCATTTGTATTACCTTCATATATGATAGTCGCATTATACATGACTGGCTCATATCATGTACAAAATTTGTAGCTTATAATAATAAATAAGATAGATAGGGTGCGTTGTATGAATTAGTCACACACAAATCACCTTCAGGACCTTGTAAATAGTGCTACATGCATTCGTATTGAAAATGTTTTACTGTGTTTTCTCTCGCATTTCCTGCAGGACTTATGTGATAGATTGTACTCGATTTGTGACAACCGCAAAGAAATAGCGGAAAACGAACGAAAAATTGTAATGGAAGAGGGCTGGCTGCAGGATCGCTTGGGATTGTTAACAAATCATTATTTAACGTTGATGCAAGTTGAGGTTGATCGTTATCAAGATACATACAGGCTGCTGAAAGATTATTACAACTCTGCTGAAGGTATTATACTTTTCTTGCTTTTTTACCTTTTTTAATAACGAGGTATATCAGTAAGACACGAAGACTCTAAAACCTTCGTTTGAACTATTCTAGTGTCTGCTATTTCACATGTATCTGCTAAATATTTAGGTAAAAATCCAATTGAAGCATACTCTGATATCTGCCGTGTTCCTCTGGTTGATCTTCCGCCTATTGTTCCCACGATTCCATCATCGTCCAGTGAACATGGAAGTCAACACGAAGTGAAACAAACATCGAGTAAAAAAGATCGAGAAAATATAAAAACTCCAGAAGGTCCGACATCTGAAGGAGAAGATCATCGCAGCAGGTGAACATTTTGATACAGAAACCTAAAATGCCCTAATATTTGTTCAATTCGATTTTATTTCTACATGAAAGTCCATATTGTAGATTACCTGTAAGCCGAGACTGGAATAATAAACAACTAAATATTTTTCCAGAATTCCTCTTGTACCTCGAAGACCCAAGTCTGGTGATGTTGTCTCAACTAAGGAAAAGAAAGACAAAAGATCATCCAAAGAAAAACGTGATAAAGGTGACAACCAATCAGAAACTCCCGTTCTACCGTCAGATCCGGATGAAAGAGTACGTTGAGAATTCTTATGTGTGATATTCATTTTACAAGTTCGTCGTAATAATGACTAAATCATTCAGAATTTCTTGGTGTTAAGTACCGACTGCTTGTGAGAAATGATACACGTACTTGTCGTTCATAGTTTATCGTACCAGTTCTTTAGATAATATCACAATAGAAATGTTATTATTTTGTTTACAGTTGGTGTTTGATGGTTACTATCACGCTCTTGGTATCATTGATACTTTGGTAAGATCGGTTGGGATAACTAAACGTTGCTGGATCGTTTGGGATAACTAAAATACCTTTGTAGAACTCAACGATTTGTAATCAATTTAAACAGATAACCAAAATTTCATGGTGATTTTAAACCGATCCACGCTTTTCAAATGCTATTATATTTTATTTCT